CAGGAGTCTGGGTGGCCTGCGTTAGTCATAGCAATTACGATCTCACAATCAACCCTCTGTGGACAGTTAACATAGACATTTTTCCAGTCAGTTTTTGTGATTATTTGCATTTTCTACTGGGCGTGCTTTTAATGACTGGTTCTATATCAAGCCCAAATTGGCTATTCTAGCTTCTAGGATACAAATTTATCTATTTTTTTCAAGCCACATTTTGACCTCACTGATTATTCGCCTATTAAACCTGAATGTTTATATGTGTGTTAATTGCTCACCCTATTCATCACGTGTCTGTAGTTTGTTTTTTTTCTGACTACAAATATCGAGTCATGCTTGATCGAATCGAGCTATCCCACTCAACTCCACCGAGCGTCACTTTGTCTCACGTCGCTTCGCAATCACAGCAGTAATTTGGAGTTATAATTTCTGTACTAAGAACTTATGTTCTTTAATGCAACTAATGTTCACTCATCACATTCGTACTCAGCAATCATCGTCTCCCATTTTTTCAATTTCAGTCCAAACCAAACTTCAGCCATTGCTTTGCTTAATCGATTACCCTTACTTCAATGTATATGCACACATCAAAGATTCGATGTCGCATTACTAGTTGATTAGTAACGATTAGCTTCATCTTATCTATTCGTTCACATGTGTAACTGCACGCTGCATCACTCATTATCCATAAAAATTTTTGATTACCGCAATTAATACTGTTTTCCCGTTGCACTGTATGTCAGAATATAGAGCTTGGAGCTAGTCGCCAAATGATAAACTCTTGTTCGTTACATTCAAGTGAGACCCACTCACTGTCATCGATAATCGTATGTATTGGTACTATTATCATCGTTTCGTAAGAAGCAAATAGTTGAAGTCCGGGGTCTTAAGAGGCAAGTTGACTGGGGTCTCTTAAACTTAGCAATAGCCAGCTATTCTAAATGAGATAAATGGCGTGGAGAACTTACTTACTTACTTACGCCTGTTACTCCTCGTGAAGGAGCATAGGCCGCTCACCAGCGTCGGGAGCTCTGCATATACATCCCAGGAGTAGACTATGATTCAAAGTGTTGATTGATATCCCGACCGATTCCGGTAAACTATTCAGAATACTGTCTTCCACTTTATTACTTGTTAGGGTACCCGAAACGTATATGAGACAACCACGTCCTCGCTTAGTTTTTCTGTTACAGCGATAGAGTCCATAGTTCTGGATATTAAATCCCGAATCAGATACTGCTTGAAAGTACCATGTTTCAGTGATAAGTATGAAAGAAAGGCTTGGCTAGTAAAGCTAGGGTTTTTAAGTCTGAAATTTTATTCAGAAGTGAACGTACATTGATAAGTAATACACTTAAAAAGAGAGTATGCAGTGTAAAAAAATCAAAAGCTTCCATACTTATGTAATGCATATTAGATTTGCCTGGACTGTGGTTTGATAAGTTCGACTGACCATATGGGCTGTGGCTTGAACAGACCGTAGTGCTAGTGGGACCAGGGGTTTCTAAAGGCCAAAACAATCATTATTTCGATAAGGCGGATTTATTTGCTGAACTTGACTTGGTGGGTAGTTAAGAAAGGTATCTGCTTGTTGAGGTTGGGTTGATGGTGCGTAACATAGTATTCCATTTTGTCTATCTAGAAAGTGATGAGAAAAGTTAAATTTTACAGGCTTACTATTTAAAACTTTTGAAGGTAACGGTGGGATACGTTGGTTCTCTGCCGTCTGTCTAATATTAGACCTGCTTACACGACGGTTTTAGTGGCCGTCTTGTGCGACGCCTGAACCAAGTGTGCAAGTTTGACCTCCCCTACGATTAGCAGGACAAAACATGGTGTCGGGAAGTATATTTTTGTTTAGTAAGTTTGTCGTAATATTTTAGGTGCTAGGTTTGGAATCAGAAGGTTTTGTATATATTTTCTTCTTACATGGTATTGACTTTAATATTGACAATGTTTTTAAGAGCCTTTACATTAGAACTAGGTATTTGGTAATAGACTTCTAATGTTACACTGGAAGATATCGGATTGGTATTTCCATTAGATATTTATTCATTAACTGGGGTCACTGAAGACAGAAGAGGCTAATCATCACTCTTCATTGGTAAATTAGAGCACCGTTTAGCATGAGACAGGTTAGCTGCATCAGTGGATCCAGCTGCTGAGGCAACGGGATTTGTTGTAATCTCAACAGAGTTATTTTCGTTTAAGACATGCTTTTGTCTGTTTCATTGGTGGTCTTATCTGAGACTATGCAGGTATTCCTAAACTTCGTAAGCGCGCAGTTTACCCGTTCGGATTCTTTCAACTATTCAGCTAATAGGTGGGAATTGAATCTAAATAAGACCGAGCACGTGCATTTTTGGTGCTTTTTATTAAGACGAATAGATTGGCATGAACTGTCTTGGAAACTCACTGTTTTTAAATCTGATTCCTTGCAGATTTAATGGAGATTTTGTCGAGCATGCTATGGATACTCATGTTATTTCGAGAGATTATTCGCTTAGTAAATTCGCCAGCGATAAAATCGATAACAGACCCTACTTTGATAATGTTTTCAAGTTTTACAGGAACTACATCCTTCGACAGTATTAGTTTAAGGAGCGATAGGGTCTTTGGTTCTTGCTTAAGATCGTCATGCTTTGATAGATAACCCGCAAGCGATTCCATTTTAGAACGCATATCGCTTAATTGCTTGTAGATAATGTCTAATTCTCACTTAATATTATCAGTACTTTTTAATATTGAAGTAAAACTCATTATTAAATTAGAAACTGGGTCATTCAGCAGCAGGTGTCATATACGTCTGCTCCCAACGTTATTTGATTCAAAAAGAGTTACAGAACATGGGGTGTAGGTAGTAACGAGATTGTTGTTATCTGAAGGATAAGAGCTTCCCAGGCTCGTTTTTTGACAGCCCACCCATTTTGCCATAAGTGTTGATTTTAATGCCATTTTTGAGTTACATAACAGGTTTCAACGATATTTAAACACTTTACATTAGATAATGTGTTATCGTAACGCAAAGTCCAAACGTACCGTAATCAGGGCATAGCTCGAATATTCAGGGTTCGACAACGCTTTTACTCGAAACACCATAATTAAAAGATCACAAAGCCAGTCAAACCAGAAGTCAGGAATGGAGTTCAAAGATAGGTTTGGAGGTTTACCGATATGTCTAGAAGGATATGATCTACGTCGGCTTTTCTTTGCGAAGGATGCGTAGCACAGCGTGCTCAATAGTGACCTGGAGCGGATGCATGATCGACAGCTTTCAGTTCAGTACAAATTAGTGAGGCCAGAGTCGATGTTATAAAATTCACAAAGATATTCAATTAGGGTATTTATTCACCTCTACAGATGACTTCTATTATGAATAGACAGCGGATTGTATTAGTCCCACTTTACTATTACTGATATCTGTTTCGTGAGGTTTCTCTTATAGACACACAACTGAGCGGGTCATTAACTCGTTGTTACGAATGTTTGGTTAACCAAGAAATTTATGACAGTATTTTTGTATGAAACCAAAATTATTCGACTTACTTGAACGGGATTCATAACAATAATCAATCTACCATTTAGTTTTTCAACGCCCCAAAATAAATATGCAATTCAGGTGACCAAAACATCGATACCGTTCGTCTTGCCAAATTAACCAACTGAAGAAAGATAATTATTATACTCAACTGTGCATGTCTATTGGGAAACCCTATTTATGCGAACACGTCACCTCATCAAAATACTAACCGTCCTCATACTACCGCCTTCGCATTCCTCAGGATATGCAGCATATGAAAGCTGGCGGATGAATTTAAATGCAAATTTTAGTGGATTTAATAGATAATTCAAACGACACTTGGATTTATTACTGATCGCGTCAACTATCCATTTCTTTCGTACATAAACTGTTACTTTCAAAGTTACGTGGCGGAGTAAAAATATAAGTTCCAAGATAGTGATAAACTTGTCACTAGAAAAGCTTCGACTGTAGTTATTCTAGGGTCGCTGCCGGTCCTAAGTCCGGGCAAATGAAGAAGGCTGGGCGTGAGGTCATCAACCTCACCCCTTAAAAAGCAACCTTACTGATTAAGTGCCAGTCAGAATAAACAAATTAAATCATTTAAACTCTGCCCCGGGAGTTGAAGGATCTTCATCCAGAAAAATTATGACGCCTGAAGGTCTTATATAATTAAAAAGGGTGGTTTTTTAATACACCAAAATATAGATTATACCCAAGGAAAACACATGAGATCACTCAATTTCTCAGAAGGAGTAGTGTTTGAGTTCCTTTTCAGTCTCATACTCTACAGTTATAAGTGATCAGTGGTTTCTAATATGATTGATATAAAACAAAATGTGTATTCAGATTAATCGCGTATTGAGGATATCGTTGTGACCTGCGAACCTAGGCATCAGTTATATCGGAGTTCCGTTATCGTGACAGCTGACGTATAAGAACAAGAAGTAAATATGGTCAGCAGTGTATTTCTAAGCGATAATCGATGTCATGTTATGGGAGTACAAAACGGGAACGGAAGATGATGGTTAAGTTTTTCAAAATAGCAATTTTACAGTCAACAATGATAATTGTACAAGTTATGCGAAATCAAGGAAAAATGCAAATAATAGTAAAAACTAATTACAAAATACGTTCATGTTAACCATCCTCACAATTCTCATAACATTAACTGCCCACCCCACTTCCTATGAAATAGAGGTATTCAAGATAAAAACAGTATTCTGGAACTCAAAGTGGGAAAAACGCAAGTTGAGATCCTTTCTTAACGAGAAACTGCACAGGTAAGGAGTAATAAGTCCCAAAGACACTTACCAATTTACGATATAGAACCTTGAGTAGTGACCCTACAAATCGAGGAACGATAATCCAAGAATATCGGAAAAGCTTTTGAAATCGACGTCAAATGCCTAAACAACAATTTTTCATCCTTTCTTTTCTGACTGCTTACTCTTCTCTTGACTTACGTGGAAATAGATGGTGTTGTAAATAAGCGGGTTCTTTGATTTGGATATTCTCTTCTCACATGGCATGTAGTTTGAATTTTACTGATGCTCTCTGATAATTTAACTCGGAGACATGCAGCTGTCATAATAAAGTGAACTTATTCCCTCACAATGGATATACCAATGTCTATTGTCATTGAAAAGACTCCGTTCGGATTGGGGTTTACATTAAAAGATGAAGGTGAGTTTGGTGGACTTTTCTTTTTAGTAAATTGAGGACGCGAAACAGTAAAGCTTGAGTAAAATGTCCTCAAGACTTGAATCATAAATCGTTCGTCTTCTGTATTTCTTTAGCGTGTAGATCTCACACCTAACTAGGTTTTCAAAAGTGCTTAGCAAGCAATAACGTGAAGTCTGACTAGTAAATTCGGTTCGTTTATTGCCTCATTCGACCAGCGTTTTTGTGTTTTTAATAAAATGATTTTCGATCGAGTTGTCAGAACTGAATGTTTAGTAGATATCTATTCAAGCAATTCTTGTTCTGTTCGGTTTTTTCTTCATTATATTACATTGGTCACTGACATTAAATTCACTGTTTACTAGACTCCATTTCATACTAGTCGACCGGTTTTCATCAGAAGGGTCTGTTAAACTCTTCAAATTATAATCCCGTTTCCTCAGTGACGGTTGTTATGCTCTTTAGCTTCCTGATTGGTAAATATACTATATTATTCAATGAAAGAATCAATGTATCATTCGGAATCACTATTTCTCTTTGTTAAGTTATGGGGTCTTAAGTTCAGGTGAAGATATACTTGTTTGAATTTCTGGTCAAGTATTACCTCAGTTAGTAGTTCAGAATCGCCTTCGCTTTCACTTCATCTGTTATGATTCGTGTTCTTTACCCCAACTGATGTGAATGGGATAGGGCTTGGACACTCAGCTGCCAAAAGGCGACTGGTCAAATCATTTTGCAGACTGTCTGGTTTTGGTCCATGCATTAACTGCGATTTGCGTTTGAGGACTTTAGTTGAAATACCTTATTACCGTTCACAGTGGTGTAAATCCATTCACTCTTTATTTTCCTCTCGATTTTGAATTCCAATATTCCTTCACACACACCTTTCCACTGTCTTTTAGAGCCAAATTCCTAACATCCAGTTCTCATTATTACTGCTGCTGCATTATCTCAATATTTTTTTACTGTTCATCTTTTTATGTTCTCGTCGTGTTAATCTTGTATGGAAATGTGCCGATGCATATCTGTGCCAGATATCTACATTGGTGATAACTTACTGACTGACCTACGTGATTTTAATGCACCTTCAACATCTAGTTTATTTGTCTGGTTGTCTGTCTAATAAATAAACTCCCGTTTCCATTTTGGTAATCGGAATTTTTACAGGTAAACCATACGAGTCCACTGCTCTAGTGACTAAAGTTGCTCGAGGCAGTTCGGCGGAGGCATCTGGCTTAAGAACAGGTGATCGGATTGTTGCCATTAATCAGAAACCTGTGAAATCTATGACATTCTTAGAAGTTTCCAATTTCCTCCGAAGTGGCAGGTTAGTTCTTTCTATTCGTTGCGTGGCATTTAATGATTGCTTAAGAAATATAATAACTGTCAATTATTTGTACAGCTAGATGGAAGCTTTAATTAGTATTAAAGCTTCTTATTTGATTGTTGTTTGTGTATCTAACCAAATTGATGTCAATAATTGAAGTCAATCTTAATCGAAAGTTAAGCCTTGCGAAGTCTTTGCTTGATACTCACATTTCCAAGTGGTTGTTCACTGAGTAGTGACTAGTGCAACGTATGTCGATCCCTTCTTAATACTAATCTAATTCTACTTACTGGCACTAAAAAAGACTTCACATCCATGATATTAGTCACTACTCAGTGATCAGTCAATCGTAAATATATCTCAGTCCTCTAAAAGGTCTATCACGGTCCTAATAACTCAGTGGTAACGTTTCTAATTCTAAACCTGAAAGACATGGGATTGAATCCCATACGGAACATCATCTTCCTCAATAATACAGGTAAACCTTATTGATGAGTGCCAAATAGCACGAAACCTAGGTCAAGTAGGGTTTGATGTCGACTACCTCAAACCACACCGTCCAATATACATTTGGTATGCGTAATGGTTGCTAGCAAAGTCAGTCATATAATTAATTTTCAAATAAGTGGGTTTTTCGTTAGGATTGCTTTGCACTTACATCTAACCACCAAGTTGTCACGAGCAGAAAGAAAAACATGCTTCCTGGATTTTATTGTCAGTCGAAATTCAATGGCTTCTCCATTACGATATTATTATTATTATTATTATTATTATTATTATTATTATTATTATTATTATTATTATTATTATTATTATCGAATCCAATTGGAACATGCGTTTCGTTTACCGACGTCAATTTCCGTAAACTATTATTACTACCACTTCTACTACTAATATTAATTTTCTGGTTGTGTGAATATACAAGTCGAGTGAAGAGACTTTATTTTTTATTCGGCTCTTCTACACAAATATATCTAAGTTTCACAGTTCTAAATCAAATCACTACAAAATAAATACCGGTATGTGAAGTTAACATTATATCTCAATAGTTTCTCTAAAGATAGGAATTAGTCAGTGACTGAACGGGTGCAAAATGAACTCTAAAATCGAGGTCACATAGTCGGTTAATTATAGCAGCTCGTTACGTAAGGACAAGAATAAGACATGGTTAAGTTCGAAGTCAAGCAGTTGAACATAAATGAATACAGCGTGAACAAGCACTTGAGCAGACCAACATAAATCCATTTTATTTATGTGGGCTCTCGTCAGCCGCTTACACAACTCGTAATATTTAAAAGTCTTCATTACATCATGAACTTTCGTTCAACTTCTTTCATTTGGTTGGGTCATTATATTTTAATCAGTAATCTTATCCTGACTAACTGATCTTTACTCATTTTTTTGCCTATTTTTAGTGTTGGTTTACTACACAACCACTCATCTCTAGCTCTTTGGTCTTTTGATACTATACTATGTCATAGAATGTTCTTTCAAATAGGATGTGTTTGCAATACTTAATTTGGTTTTCACAGTTTTAAATAACGAATTGATCTTAGACCACCATTGGAAGACTGGTGTAACTAGATAGCCGTTTCATCCTAGTATGGGGTTCTTCAACAATGGGCACCCACGATCCCGCATTCGGAAATCGAACGTAGGACTTTCACTCTCGCTCACGAACACTTAATCCCTAGACCACCAAACTAGGATCCACTGCGTTACTGTCGAACTTTAACCAATCCAGGACATTGGACAACCCACATCCAATAATAGTCTCAACAAGATTTATTCATGATTTAAAACTGGAAATTCTATAATAATCACACATTCTGTATACTTTATTCAATTGCTTAAATTTATTAACAAGTCAATTTCTGTTAGCATAGAACAGATTCAACTAAATTCCAATAAGATAAATTTGAAAGCTAAATTGATCGGTATCTCGATTACATAGGCTAAAAATAAAGCTTCTAATTTTTATAAAATATTAAATTGAATTGTATTTAGCAATGAAATCTATCAGGCTTATTCGACAAAAGATAGACATATGCCTAATAAAACTAAGAAGAATAAATCCAATCAAAATACCAACAACGGGATAATCCCAATCCATTAAAAATGAAAATGAAAGTCTTTTCATTATTCTCTTTTATCCAATTAACTATACATACGGTAACGTTTATGTTAAACTGGATTGCTGTATAGAATAATACAGTTAATTAAAATAGTTGGGTAATGTAAAGGCCAAGGGTGGTAGCTGCTTACTTTTGGTTTAATTAATGTGTATTTGTCGATTATATTTAATTGTTGGCACATTAAGCTTCAATCTATTAAGTCTTATTTTATTTATTTAATTACTTAAACATGAACATTAGTACAAAGAGGCATCAAAAAATATATACACCACACAAATAATTGAATTTGCGTGTTGAATGGAATACTACCAGTGTGCTTGAACCGAAGCAGGTGATTTTCTTCGGAGGCCACTTCCTAACCCTTTGACATAGATATCTAATCAACAAGGTAGTGGAGCGTTGTTCCATGATAACTGGTAACCAATAGTAGTTTCATACTCGATTTGCCCTGCCAGGATTTTGTAGTTCATGTACAACATTAGTTTGGAATCAAAATTTTGAAACTGTCTTGAATATGTTGTCCGTACACAATAACTCCATTTAACCCGCTATTAGACATTGTCTTTTTGTCCTGTCAATTTCGCAATTAACACTGCAACCACAAGAAGTCAGTGATTCGGACTTCCTTAGCAGTGGCTATATATGGTTTTACACATGAGGGCATTTAGAGAGGTAGAGGGAACCCTCCACACCATTGGTCTTATCAGGGTATTTAGGGGTAAAGACAGACCGTGACACTCGATATTCCCAGCCGGTTAATCATGCAAGTACTGACCGGGTCCAACGTTGTTTAACTTTGGTGATCGAACGAGAACCGGTGTTTCCAACTTGTCATGGCCGTTCTAAACTGACACGAGAGGATTGTTATGGAACATGCCACTGAATAATTCTAGTACTTTGTGTCAGTCAAACTATATGCTTTAAGTTTTTGCAGTGTTGTGAGTACTAATTTGAGTTACACAGTAGCGTATTGTGATATCTTCAGTGTAATACGTTTGTTTCATGCCACAAAACACGTAAATTCGCAAATATCCCTCTAATATTTATTACTACAAAGAACCAATCGAGACTCAGTACTTTAATAATCTTTTCACAAGTTTAGTTGTAAACAATGTGATGATCGTTGTCGAGTTAAAGATAAATATTTTTTTTTCCACTTTAGTTAGTTTAGTATGACTCTTGATTGCTTAACGCGCCTTAGTTGCACGCAATACATTTTACTGTTTATATAGAATGATGGTTGTACTCGAAATCAGTTGTCTGAACCCACTGAGTTTTTCTGGAAAGTTTACTTTCGTGTATAAATATATCAGTTGAATATAGCTATTACAAATCACACACTATCGGATTTACACCGCTGTAATTTTCTTTTCTACATATCTCGTATTCACCACTTTGTAATGTTCAGGTCTTTCGAACAGTTCAATGGGCGGTTAGGCTTTTAAACTGTTCAGAATAATGTCAAGTGTCTGTTAATCTCATTCTCAATTTATAGTATAGATTTGTGTTTTTGTTTGGCAAGAAAAGCTTTATTATATTTGACTCGTTTTTGTAATGATTTCACATTTTTACTCATGTCATTTCCAGTCAGTAATTATGAGTTGTTGATTTTTTACATAACTATTATAACTTGTGAACCTGTGTGCCCTGTATATTGGATAGCGCAACGATATCACCAATCAGAGAGCAGCGAACTATCGACCGTATCAGTGACGCATAAAACACGTGCGAGCAGCCTAGAGTCCTGATTGGTCCTGCTTTCCGCCTAGTCCAGCCAATTGTATCCAGAACACCAATCCCAGCCTCTGTAATATGAATCATTTACTTTCAAACCTACGGGGTTTATGTACCAACCAGACAGACCACATCGTACCAATAAAGTAGGAAGCAACATTTATACAAGGTTTGGCCAAATGTGTCTGTGAATGTGGGAGGTAGTAATTAATGGACAGGTCATAATTCAAGAATAGTAAACCGTATAATAACAGTTCATAAGTTAAAACAAAGCTCATAATAAGAGGGAAATGAGTATGAATAGTTTAGTTATTTAACAATCGTACGATAAAAATATACGCATAGTATTGGTCCATAAATGGATCCCGAAAGTTACCATTCATTATGCTTATCGGGACATAACACCTCCCCTTTTTTGAAGATCTCGATTTTAAATTTTCTGAGTTTATCCTCTCTCACGAAACAGTGTTGGATCCTCATACTCTCAAGTTACAATTAATTCGACTTTACTTAAAACTTATTTGTCACATTGAACAGAGAATTTACTAAAGGTGATTAAATGGTAAGGATCAACGTCGCTTGATATGAGGTCATCAAAGTTTGATTCTTCTGGAACACTTATTGAATTTCTTGGAAATCTAATTAGTAGATAGTCGATCACTAGAATAATCAGAATCTATCAAAATTTTATTAGGTTCTTGATCGTCGTTTGGTGCATCCGACAAATTCCTCTCATTTTTGTAACAAATTTGATCAAAAGCAGATGAGTCATTAAAATAACTCATATTTGATAAAACAACTAGAGAACTCCAATAAGTAGATTCATCAGAACTTTTTGTTCTGGAATGATGAGCTCTATCTAATTCCACTGTCTGCATTATGCTGCTTGATTCATTTTCTGTCTCTTCGTGGGCATTGGGATTTGAACCAGCGACAGGGCATGTCTCTGAAATGAACATTTCTGGATCACTGGGAGGATCGTGAATGACTGCTACTGCTTCGCTTACATTACTGATCGTCAAGGATTCATAGAGGCTTTTATCGACACATTCATACGTTTTGCGGTCATTTTCCAGCTCTGTATGCAAATTAAAAATTAGTTTGTCAACTTCTGTCACATCTCCAAAACATGGATGATTTAGCAGCCGTGTGCGTAAATTGTCTAAAACATTCAGCTGGCTATTTTTGAAACGCTGCCGTTGTCTCTCAAATAGCAACTGTAATTGATCGGAAGAGATAACCATTTTCTGAATCAGCACGGTAATGAGAAATACTATATGATAAATTAACAATCAGCGTCTTCTAAGGACACCGATGACCAATCTGAATGCTGATTGCTCGAAATAATTGACTAAATTTCGTCCAATTACAGGCTGACGTTGAAGATTGAGGGTTCAGAATCCTTTTTCTACCACGTCGCCAATTGTTATATCTAGAAGGCTGTTCCTGATATACCGCGTATAACGTGGTCACTAGAACGCCAGAACCCCTCCAAGCCGCAATGAGAAGACAGAAAACTAATGAAAGGAATATTATTCCCAGACAGTGTTAATTATAGTACAAAATTGTCGGGTATTTATAGTTTTTAGTGAGAACGAAATCATCATTACAGTCCTCCGATCCGCATACAGGGGGTTATTAGCATTGTCCAATCGGGAAGCTACGTGTAGGAATTCTAGAATTTTCTTCCAAAAAGTGATTGGATAGAATATCTTCGGCTCCTTCTGAGCCTCCTACAGTTTCCTTGAGTTCACCCGTGGTCCGTCGTCACAATAACAAAATATGCAATATTAAAACCATTAATTGAATCTGCTAAGTGGTTGAAGGTAGTCTACAGAAAGCCTTGCTCTATTTCGGTTTTATGCTATTTGAGACTCGTCACTGAGGTGTACTTGTTATCACTAGGGAACTAATGCTTCATGTTGGATTCGAACATAGATCACTCGGTTGCACAGTTTAAGATATCACCACTGGGCAACTCAAATAGCGACTGACCATAATAATACTGAGGTATTTACTATGGTTCGATCATTTAGTAATGATCAGTTCAATGTTTGTCTGGTCCTTTAGTGTGCTGCTCATCGACGTTTGTCAATCAAGTTACATTGTAATCACTAATCCAAGTGACTATACATGCGACTAGTATATATATGTACTTAAACTTTATTTTTATTCTTTTTATCATTATTGAATTCATCTTAAATCTTTTGTTTCAGCGATCGAAATATTCAGCTTACATTACTACATAAATCTCTTGTTCCTAACCAACCAATTACTGATACAATTTGTGAATTATCACCGCTCAAAATATTGACTTCATCTAATATCGTTAATGGTATTCAAAATATGTCTTTGAAAGATTCCAATTCTGCATTTTTATACACTACTAATGCTAGTAATACTACTACTATTACTACTGATGTTCATAAAGATGAAATGAAGATTTCACCTGACTGTACTGTAAGTCTTTTAGCCTCTTGAGTGAATACTTTACATAATAAGTCTAATTAATCCATTCAGTAATGCGTTGTTGTTGTTGATGATGATGTCTCAGTTATAGTTGTGTGTAAAGCGGAAAAGTTATTATGAAATGTAAGTAGTAGAGAGTTGTGGTCTGTTCTTTGGTTTCCCTCAAATTTTGACATGCTGAATTCCTCAACTTCTTGTCTCGTTTTTATTTCACTAATTTGTATCTTTTCCTTGAATCGTATCATTGATGCCTAATCTTCCCTATTACCACTAATACTCTTACTACCTCTAGCATTCTGGGATTTGGTCTTATGATTCCATCTCTCTGTGGAGTATGGCAACTTGCACCGATGTACATACATACAGGCTCCACGTTGTGACTGACTGACTATTTGATTATAGAAGCCGATTTTCTACTATTTTATTAGATTAGAACATATTCTGTCATCATTTTATTTCTAATATCTGATTGGTAGTAGTATCATACGAATGTTACCAATAATTTACACTGCGTTTTAGATTGTAGTGGCTTGGCTTCGAGATATTTCCTTAGGTTTCGTTTATCAATTACCCCGGTAACTGTTATTAGGTAAATCCCAACGGTGTATGAATTCAGAAGGCAATACAAAGCGATGACTACATTTTATTATTGGATAGCACAGGTAAAGAAGTTCTAAGCGCATCGAGCGAATTTGAGCTGAGAGAATAATGCACACAAGCAAGCGAATACAGAAGCAGTTTCAGAGTCAAATGGCATCGAGGCGAAGTGAGGCAAGGCAGAAATTAATAAGTTTGAAATATATATGGTAAAGAGAATGATTCGTCGACCGATATTTAAGCGATCAACATTTAAGGTAAAGTGGGGAATATGTACGTGAACTCACATGTGATCTAATGTACACGTTAATACAGACATGATAGTGATCATAATAATACAAAGAGATAGACAAACTGCTACTGTTCGAATAACACTGTCGAATAAATTAATTAAAGGGTTTGACAAAATTAACCGTAATTAAAATTGATTGTAGGAGTGTTGCTATAAGATGTTCATGTTATAGCGATTTATTATCTAACCGCTCCCCCCTCCCCCCGTTTCGCAACTTTACACTAGATAAATTTAGCATACCAGCACGTTACAACGGCATAAAAATGAAGGAGTCTTAAAAGGAGATAGTGGAAAAACATTAAAATAAGCAAGAAGAACATGGAGTGATTCATTAAATGTTTATTCAAAGTTAACAGAGAAGGTGAATTCGGCCGACTGTGATTAGTTGAAGCTTAGCTATATTACTAAAGCTTACAAATCACTTACATTTGTCTACATCTCACAGCCATATATCAGCATGCAATAGATCCTTGTACAATATATACCTAGTTTCATTCGTTGTCCAAAGTTCACCTCAAGCATTTGCAGAGTTATACTACAAGATCTTTCATGTTATCAGCATCGTGTCTCTTGTATCATCCTTTGTCATGGTTCAAAGTTGGTTTGGTAGTTTTCATGGTGAATCCAAATATTAAAAGTTGATAATTGTCATCAACGATGTATCCCTGAAATCATATAGTTTGAAGTTATTTTACTGTTTATTAACCCTACGGTAACTGGAACTGGTTAGTTTATCTGTATGTACAATAAAATGGGCATTATTAACTTAAAGTCTACTACAGGTTTTCTGCTTAGTTTTCTTTCAAGTATACATGCATTTACAGTTAGATGGTATTTTATGTGTGTGCTTCGGTTTGGGTACCGGGACAGTATCCCAGCCCTCACACAAATCGAATGATTTATGTGGTTTATATCTGTTTGATACCTCCTCGTACCAATGTTTATGTGTTTGAATAAATAAATAAATCGTGTGCGTGACGTAGATCGCCATTGAATATGGCATATATTTCGCATATTATTGGATATCAAAGATTCTTCAGAGTAAATGTGTTTGTTATACTTATTTATCTCATTTGTACAGATCTTCATTACACTTCAATCATAAGCTACGTAGTAGCTGGCACTTCGTGCATCAGTCCAAGTTGACACACAACATCGAACAGAAATTATTACTCCAAACGCCTGAGTTGCAGGAGAAGTAACAGTACTGGTGGTAGTAGGAAAAAATAGACATAAGTAGTATGATTCAAGAAGAAAGAATAAATTTTCAAAACAAAAAACCCAAGGTTTACAAGAAAATAAGTAGTGAGCCCATCTCCGCAGCTGTAACCGACTCTAAGCCATCTAACCCCAACGTCTATAACTATAGATCACAATAGTTATTCGGACTTCAACTGGGTAATCTACAACTACCAACAGGGTTCAGTCCAATTGTTGGTGACTTCATGGACTGATCCTATGTCTTAGACTGACCTCTAGCATTCGTCTCGCATATGGGTAGGTAGTTGTTAGGCATCCATAACACATTTCCCAGTCACATCTGTCTATAAAGTTCCACGGTTTCATCAACTGATCTGCCATTTGTACGTAGAACTCTGTATCTGACTTTGACATTGTTCTCTTTATGGTCTCAACATATAGAAACATCACTTTGAACGTATCTATGCACCAATGAACTTATTAAGCTTTATTTGAAGTTCTTATCAATTTATTTCCTAGCAACATTTACCTTCGATTTCAATCACAAAACAACATTTATTCGTTAATCAGTCAAAATACTATACATTTCTATCTAATTTCTAACCACTTTTGTCTGTGTTTTTTCATCCATTACAATTTGTAGTCGTCAGTTGTTCCAATCTCTCAGTTGAATAAACCGACACCCAAACCTCGAACTACTATTAATACTACTACTAATACTACTGCCAACACTGGTAATAGTAATAATTGTGAAAAGCTGTTTGATAGTCAAGAAATTAAAAAATTGGACAAGTTATCTAACAATTTATCACATCCAGTTTTGTCACAACTTCAAGTATCCGGTAAATATCTTTTTTTTCTTAAAGTTATTATTATTGTTTTCGTGAAAGATTACTTCTTTTTCCATATATGGATATACTGTTCCTTATATTTTTTCAAATGCACGAACAAATTCGCCCCCAAATGCCCTGGTACGGCTGAGAGTGGGGAGGGTCGTCCCTCCCTCTCGAAACGCTCTCACATGGTCACGTGCGTACAACCACTTCCAGGGAAGTCATACTCGTTGTCTTCTCGTGGCAGGGGTTTTGTTTACGAAACTGGGAGAACGAAAAGCGAATGTCCGGCGCTTTAACTGGGTTGATGGACACGGAGAGTTCACCTAAGGGAGTTGGAAAACCCTCATTCCAAATCAATGGTTCACATAGGTTCCAGAATCCTGAAGGAACAAATGGCGTATGAACCAAACTTCGGTCACCGGCTAACATGGGAATGCATCTCCTGACGTTGCTCAACTGCCTTGTTGGACCCGACCTTTAAGTCGAAGGCTCCGGCTGTGATCCCCTAAGAAAACTACCTGTCTAGGTTTGGGCACCCGAAAAGTATCTCAGGCCTCACACAAATTGAATGATTTATGTGGCGCATATATATTTGATGCCTCATTGTGCCAATGTCTGTGTTTAAATAAATAAATAAATAATTCAATGTTAGATTTTTGGAATTTCATCCAAATCCATTGAATTACGTTAGAAATAACAGCAGATCTGTAATACACAGGTGGAAGTTTGTTATATTTCACGTTGGGATAATAAAAGACTATTTATTATGTTTCAAAACGAAGTTCAAATAAACTTATGGTCAGTAAATATGACAATGAAGCATAAAAATATGTAGTCGGATGTAAATGAATGGACATCATCAAGTGTAAAGCGTGAACTGTTCATTACACATTGAAGATTTCGAGGAAGAATGAGAATGAATACACCGATTTTCCAACACACTACTTTATAATATGAATTAATTTATGAACTCTCACGATCTTAGAAAATATAGGAGTTAAATACACGTCTCTATTGCTACCAGATTTGAGCTAGATTACCCATTGTCTCAAACTCGCCATTACTATACCTTAACCAGGTATTCCAAGTAAAACAGTTAGATGGAAGTAATGATCACAATAAGAGAAACGATATAATATTTATAATTTTTACAGAAGAAAATTCTAACGTCTTCTTCAAGCATTCACTAGCGTTGATTGGCTAAAAAAATAGTCAGTCAGTATGCTCTAGCACAATCCTGCACGGAACATACTTTAATCCAATCTATACCCCGCTGACAAAGCTAAAATCATACAGTTTAACTCTTTATATTTCACATATTCGAAATTTATTCTAAACTAAACTGTCGTTCTAAACAAGTCAGTGTTATTCACAGTTACATAACACATGAAGCTGTTTTCTCACCAGTTGTTAAATCATTTAATGATTTATTTGAATGTGCTAATATTTATAAACTAACTTTACTGTATATATCTGTGTAAACTCATTTTATTTCTGTAACATGGTATTGTTCTTTCAATCAATTAATCTGTCTAACAAATCGAATGTGTACATTAGCAATTTATTGTGTATATATACAATCGAGTACACATATATATATAACTCGGTTAATCAAATAAAATTTCTTCCTCACTCTTCATCATACCACTCCAGTAATTAAAGTCTTCTATGGTGGGTGTGTATCAGTATCAGCTTCCGGACACCGTGCATCACAACAAAATCATCCATAATAATAAAATAATAATAAATTTGTCAATGTCCCAGTGCATAGAAATTCGAATTTCTGGTTTTTCATGACTCACTGAAAGTCACTTCTTTAGAGTGAATATTCACTTTTTATCAAATGCGGAAATTAAATTACTAAGTCAAACCTTGGTACTTATACCTATAAATTGATTAATAATTGTGAAGATACGATTACGGAGATTATGGAATTTCGCTGAAATCATAAACGGCGGTTGATTAGAATTAGACATTAACACTGTTCGATAACAGCCCAGTGGTTTACAGGTTAAGCGTACGCATGCGAGACCGAAGTTTTGGGGTTGGATTCCTGCATATGGAGTCGTGAATGCTCACTGTTGAGAAGTCCCATACTAGGATGAAACATCTGTTCAGTACTTTCTGTATTTCAATAACGACCTAACTTAGATCAGTTCATGAATTCAATGAAACTCAGCAATCTCCACAACCTTATACTGACACTTAACTTGTCCCGACTAATGACTATCTTCGAGAGGAAATTTCAGACGATTTAGTGAGAAGCCGTGACCAATGAAGTTCAATCGTGTTGAGTTTGAGGCAGTTACCAACCGAAGACAATGAAAGGTTGTCGCACAGTATCGTCATTAGCAATTATCTGTATATTTTACTGCAGAACAAATGCAAACACTTTTTTTCTATGAATTTAATTGAGGCTCTTAATTTGTAACAAAATTCTAACTCCAAACAATGAAAGCCATCAAATTGATTTTCTACAATCAAACTTATTTCACACATTCGTAAGCAATGGGTTATAGCAGTTCTAGCTTGTCGACTACTTCGTGCTTAGAAATATTTAATTGGTACAGTTTTACATCTATAATAATAACAACAATAATAGTTGCTGTTAGCTATGCTTTTGTGACAATTTGAAAGATTAATTGAATATCACCTTCATTATAACAACAATCTAACAAGATTATTATGTTCTTTAAGATTAGAGTGACTATTCCCAATTGACCATGTGAACAACTAACTTTAAAGTTGGATAAATAAATAACTTTAACCAGATTACTTTTTTCATGACTCGGTGTTGTTTTTGCAATTACAAATGTGTCCTCTCAATAATAAGTATTAATAAATAGTAAGTTGTGTTAAAAACATAATGCTCTATTCATATTACAATCACTTATATGAGTAAGGGGTTATGTTAAACTAATGAGGGATGATGGTATATTTATCGTCAGTAGGGTTTTATTAATTCACTAGAAGAACATGAAGCTCAGGATGAAGATGTTTTGTTTTCTGATGTACTGTATAGTTTGGTTCTGAAGCTCTCATTATCCCTCTGAATAACATTATCAGTGTGTACTTCGAAGGGAAGTGAGCATTTGGAATTTCCCTACGATTGAATAAAAGATTGTTGTACAGAAATTTTGATAGCTCACTTCTCACTGTATTACGTGCTGATAATGATGTTGAAAAGAACAATGAAAGTTTCACAACCAAGTCATCTAACTCAGTGACTACAAAATCTCCAATATTAGTGAATTAATTTGAGGAGGAACAGGTCACATTCATCTTGGATCATGTTAATAGTCTACTCATTTATAACAATACTTCTCTCCTGATGTTATTATTATTACTATTATTATTTAAACATATTGTTTGAACACATAGACATTGGTACAAGTAGGCACCAAATACAATTGTGCCATACAAATCATTCAGTTTGTGTGAGGGCTATGATACTGCATGCGTGCTAAAACCGAAGCAGGTAGTTTTCTTACAGAGGCACTCCCAAAGCCTTCGATCCAGAGTTCTGATACACACTGTAGTGGAGCAACGTTAGGAGATGCAGTCCCATGGTAATCGGTGACCAACAACAAGTTGTTACTTCATTTGTTCTCTCAGAATGCTGGATCCCATGTATACGATTGTTTTAGGATCAGAGTTTTCCAACGCCGTAAGTGTATGTTCCGTCGTATTTATCACCCCGGTTTAAGCCGTGGCCGGACATTGGATTTTCGTCCTCTCAATTTCGTAAAGAACACCACAGCCATGAGAATAGAATGAGTAGGACTTGTATGGCAGTGGGTACGTACGCATTAACATGTGAGAGCCTTTGGAAAGGTGAAGCTAACTCCTCCCTGTAGATCGTACCAGAGCATTTGGGGGCAAAGTGTGGCAACTGGTTGTTTCAGGGTTTAAGTGCCGGGAAACAATCCCAAACTCTCGTATGCCAAGCGTTGTTAGTGTGTAATGATTGTAATAAATAATTCTACTCTTCAAAGAAGGACTGTTTATAGTTTCTGCTTTGTTTATAAACTTTGATGCTTTCTGGGTAGATCTTCTTTTGAACTTGCAAAAATTATGGCCTACAAACAACATTGTCAGTAATATCCCACCTCTATTATATACTTCAACGAATTTGTCTTTGTTAAGGATAAATACATTCAACAGCCTAATCTGTTGTTTAACATTTGAGTGTAATCTCTATGTGTGTTTGTATGTTTGTATGAATCATGTGTGTATCTATCACACTGTCCGTACTACTTTTTGTTTACTTGCATCATCACTGCTTATAAAGTTCGCGCGTATATTTACTTATTATGCACTAAGTTTGTGTTTCTTGCTACGATTTGGTGCAATCAATAAACTTTATTGATCTTCGTATGTGTTAAGTTTGTATGTGCGTGTGTGGGTGAGTGCATGCTTGATTATTAGCTTATTTTCTGGTTAATTTATTGTTCTCTATATATACATCAATCACTATGTATACGTGTTTGTGTTAATGCCATCATGCTCGGTATATCAGAGATTGACACATTTTCTGATTGAATAAACAGTCATATGATGATATTCGGTGAAACAGCTGATTTTGTTGAGCACAAACAAATAACCATTAGCTTATATTTATTTATAATATCACGAGCTAACTTTGGTTAGATAACCATTGCCTATCAAGGAGCACTGGATAAATGTTTTGGCCTAGTATATAACTCCTCAACAACACACTGTGACTAGTTGAAATTCAATCATATTTGAAGTGAAGCATTTGTGTCCACCAATAAGATTGGATAATGGTTGCAATATATCAAGAATTCATTAGGACTAAATATGTATACCATTTGGTCCTCAGCGCACTAAACTGAAATATAGATGCTCATTATACGAGTTGGTGGTCTCGGAGCTTATCCTCATTGGTGTGGTCGTGAATATGTACTGCTACAAGGTACCCCCGTTGTAGAACAAAAAAGCTATCCATTACTTCGTAGTCTCGAGTAGTTTAATTAAGCTCAGTTCGTGGTGTCGAGTACAAACGTCAGCAAACTCTACACAAATACATCTATACTGATGGCTTATTATTTTGGTGAATTATTCCTTCACACTATCCATTGTGAAATACAAAAAATAACAATAATAAGGCTTCTTTCTTTTGTTCTTTTTTTAAATTAGTGTATATCTTAAACGTAGCTTGATGAATTTATTTCCTATGTTAAGTTTAAAAACCCATCAACGCTTGTAAAATACCGCTGTTCGATATTCATGTACTGTTTAAACAAAATTACGACATATTAATGACCTTTGACGATTTATCAGTCAGTCATGGAACTTTACGAAGTTATAAAACAATGGAATAACGGCTTTGATCTGAATAATTAACCGTCATATGTCAAATTATTCCTTGTAGTAAAGAAAAAAGGTCAAGTTTACATATTTTAGGAGTCGGACTAGTGTTGTGAATTTGAGTTATCATCCTATAGAATTTTCGTTACAAACTGATATAAGTTACAATGCAATGCCTTGCCATCTTTCCGTTTACAAACTTGAAATTCTTAAGTTCGGGCCTTAAAGTAAGAGTTAAAAAAAAGAGAATATTATCTAACTTCATTAAATACTTGATTATGTAGTGACAACTACATCAAGTACTTTAATAAGCAGCCTACCTTAAGAGCAGGTATGTTTTTTAATTTAACTCAAGCACCATCCTAAATTGGTTGCATAATCTGTATTTCTATTGATTTTGAGCATTTTACGAACCAAATAATGTCAATTTTCAGTTAGTTTATAATAATATATACATTATCTATCACTGCACTTCAAATTTCGCACAAATGTATGGTGTTATCTTGATTCTAAATGGTTAACTCAGGACCATCAGTGTATTATACTGTTACGCTGTTTGATTATTGAACCTTTTGAACTTAACTGAAACGTTTCGTGTGTATGAATATTTACTTTTCTGTCAGAAGTAAGGAGAATTATTTAGTACTATCCAATTAGTGGTCAAGTCATTTGATTTTCAGCCATTAAGTCCTATATTCGATGTCCGCTTCACCTACTTCGGTTCAGCGCAACGGATAGTACTCACTGGCATTTTTGTACACATCAACGGTTATCCTTTATATTTATTTTAAAATGATATTACTTTAATGAAAACATTGTTTTCTTGTATTTTTTTTTCTAAACTTCAGAATTTGACAATTCATCAACGAGTCATTTACACTCAGATGAATTCTTATCATCAAATGAAGCTCGTAAAGAAAACTCTTGCCCACCTGATTCAATTCAGTTGATGGATAATTCTCCGACGGGAACTGATAAAACGCTGACTAAGATCAAACCTATCGATCATAATTTGAACACATATGAATCATCTAAAAAGTCTGGATTTGATTCTGTTCGAATTATTCGAAAACATACAATAGATCCGTCAAGTATTGAAGATGTAAACACAGATACACTGCCAGTTCGATTTATTCGTAAACGTGCCTATGCTTCTACTCGTCATCCTGGTCGATATGATCAAGTGAAAACATTAACATCAATGAATATCACTTCTACTGATAACACAATTATCACAAGTAATACTACAGAGAGTCAGCCAGTTTCTGTTACATGTAAAAATGTCCATACTTCACCATGTCAACTTTTACCGGCTGTTAATATTTCACATAAAAATTCCATCAATAATTACCAACATAATACTGAACCTAAAATAATTCACCTACCTCGACGTCGGAGCTCTACCAATAGCGGTAGTGTTGTACAAGGATTACATTCAAAACACCAAATGAATGTATCATGTTTTACTCGTGATGATAATAATGATGACGAGCATGATTATTTGCTTGATAAGCAACCATTTCAAACTGGTACTCTTAATATTGGGCTGTTAGGAAAAGATGTTTCAAACATACATGAAACAAATATCTCATATTCATCACGTAAGTAATATATATGAATTAAAATCCATCGCATTGCTAAAACCAGTGGTTATTTGTACTCAGTAGTTAGGTGAATAGCGCGATGGTGTTTGAAACAATTGGTACTTGTTTCGAGTTTCGGAATAAACGTCAACTTCGTAATGTAGTAGGTACATCCAGCTGGTGAGTTCCAAGTAAAGTCAAACGCGCGTTCTGGATGCCACTGCTAACCAACATCCAACTTCTGCTTAAAATGCTTATGACTTGATGCAATATCGAAGCAATCCGCACAGGATGCACATATATCAAGAAAGTGATTGATCAATTGCAGTCCTGTTATAACTTGTGGCCTGCGTGCCCTGTTAATGTGTACGTAAACGATACCTCTAATTAGACAGCAGTGACTTATCGATTGGATTAACGACGTATCAACCCGTATGAGCAGTCTAGAGTCCTGATTGGTCCCGCTTCCTGTCTAGCCAGTTAAGTCCAGAACACCAATTCGGACCTCTGCGATATGAGTTCTTTATTTCAAGCGTACTGGGTTTATATACCAGCCAGACAGACTACAACGTACCATAAAATAGAAAATAACATTTGTACAAGGTTTGGCCAAAAGTGGCTGTGAATGAGGGAGGTAGTGATTAATAGACAGGGCATAATTCAAGAATGGTGAAACTTATATTGATAGTTCATAGGTCAAAATAAAGCTTATGATAAGAAGAATATAAATATGTATAGTTTAGTTATTTAAGAATTATACGAAGAAAATATACGTATAGTATTAGTCCATAAATGGATCCTAAAAGTTACTATTCATTATGCTTATCGGGACATAACAAGTCCTAAACATCAATGGGAAGATCCGAACGACTAATAAATATAAATTATAATCATAGGTTCCTTGTTCTTGATAATTAATCGTACTACTTATGTTAGTAAAATGCAGTTCTAGTCGTATCGATGCTTTTTGGCATACTTTTGTATTTTTCAGTGCAATAGTGTATGGTAATTTACTTATATTTACATTCCCTAATTAGACTTCACTGTAACATTAGTGTTCATGTTAACTTATATGTATACCTGTGCTGTAGTCTACGGTAATTTGAATTACTAACAATTGAAATATTTTTCTTATATGAAACTTGACAGATTGGACGACTGACATAGTGATCATCTTTAACCCTTTGAAAAACAGAAATAAGTCAAAAGACTATTAAACGATTGATATTTAAGATAAAAAAGTTGTAGTGAAATAACTCTGTTTATATATAGCAAGTAATGATAATTTCGAAGTATAACACAATTAGTAAACTATAAATGAAAACAGTCAATAAGGTAATAACAAAAGTGATTAGGGGGGATATCCTTGTAAACATTATTACTGCTGAGGAGCCCCACAGCAGGACGAAACGGTCGTTCAGTGCTTACAGGTTTTCCATAGTGGTCTAGGTTCAACTGACTCATGATCTCAACTATTGACATTATTATTTCTTGATAAAAAAAACTAGATAACTCATTTAGTTATTGGCATCCCATCATCCTCGCAGATTGTTTCACTCACATCGACGTCTTGGACGGTGGGCAGAATTTTTCGAAGGGCAGTTCAACTGGCCTGCTGCTCCGGCAACATCGGTCAGACTGTCCTGCCCTCCATGGCCGGTGACGACTGATCCACCAAACGAGGAGGAAGTCCGCAAGGAACTCCAACTCTTGAAGCGTTACAAATCACCTGGCCCAGATGACTTACCTCCGGCTCTTTTTAAAGATGGTGGTGACTTTTTGACTAAGGAATTGACGACGTTGTTTACAAAGGTTTGGGAACTAGAGAGTGTACCAACGTCATGGAATGAGTCGATAGTTGTCCCTATCTTTAAAAAGGGTTCACGTCGTTCCTGTAACAACTATCGGGGGATAAGTCTACTTCCGATTGCGTCCAAGCTATTGGCTTCCGTCATTCTTCGTAGGTTGTTCAAAACCCGAGAAAGATTGACTCGCGAGGAGCAGGCTGGGTTTCGTTCTGGTCGAGGATGTATTGATCATATCTTCACTCTCCGCCAAATGTTAGAACACCGCCATACTTTTCAAAGGCCAACAATCGTAGTGTTTCTTGACATCAGGGCTGCCTTCGATTCGTTGGACAGGACTGTTCTCTGGGATTGTCTATTGAAGAATGGTGTGCCTGAGAAGTTTATTAACACCCTAAAAGCCCTGTATAAAAACACCTCAGGCAGAGTGAGGGCGTACAACCACCTCTCTCCATTGTTCTATTCGAGTAGTGGGGTTAGGCAGGGTTGCCCAATCTCACCATTCCTCTTCAACTTTGCCATCGATGACATTCTGGAAACAGCTCTGATGGATGTAAGTAATGGTGGTGTGGATCTGTTGCCTGAAGAAAGACTTCTCGACCTTGAGTATGCGGACGATATTGTCTTACTGTGCGATAATGCCCAAGGCATGCAATCCGCACTTAATCAGTTGGCAATCAGTGTCCGTAGGTATGGTATGTGCTTTGCACCTTCGAAGTGCAAAGTACTTCTACAAGACTGGCAGGATTCCAATCCTGTACTCACTCTGGATGGTGAACAGATAGACGTAGTCGAGAAGTTCGTGTATCTGGGTAGCTGCATAAGTGCTGGTGGGGGTGTGAGTGATGAGATCAATGCACGAATAGTGAAAGCCAGAGCGGCTTATGCCAATCTGGGCCACCTTTGGCGCCTCCGTGATGTTAGTCTGACTAAAAGGTCGGATCTACAACGCGTCGGTGAGAGCAGTTTTGCTCTATGCTTGTGAAACCTGGCCTCTCCGAGTTGAGGACGTTAGACGACTCTCTGTGTTTGATCATCGCTGTCTCCGAAGGATTGCTGACATTCAGTGGCAACACCATGTCAGTAATGCAGAGGTTCGGCATCGTGTGTTCGGGCACAGAGATGATAATTCGATTGGTGTCACCATCTTGAAACACCGACTTCGGTGGCTTGGACATGTTCTCCGAATGTCGTCCCAGAGAATTCCACGTCGTGCATTATTTGCCGACTCTGGGACTGGTTGGAAGAAGCGGAGAGGTGGTCAGTGCATGACATGGTGTCGCGGTATGAAAGAAAGCTGCAAAGGGCTGGCTTCTGTCGGTCCTTCACGACTCCCTGGCTGGGGTCCGAGAGATGGTGCAACACAGTGGCTAGAGACGTTATCAGATATGGCTCAGAATAGAAGCCAATGGCGATCCTGCTGTAATCTTCTTTTACTTTCTTCATAAAAAGTGGTTGTGTCTCCCTTACCTGAAAGATTTCTTCTGATTGTACCTTTTCGTTCCGTCGTTACTACCACACTACCTTACTGCAATCTCTTCGTTATTGTTCTCTCTTTTTTCTGTTGCGCTCCTTAGCATTTTTTTTTCTTTCTTTGTATTCCTCTCGAATTTTCATTGTTTTGTGTGGCGCATATATATTGGCGCTCTCTTGTACCAATATTCATGTGTCCAAATAAATAAATAAATAAGATAACTCATTATCTTCCTAACAGTATCATTTAACAATTAAACAGTGATCACTGATGATAGTCATTTGAATCCTCACTGTACACATTTGACAATCACTGGTTTTCTTCAAAATAATGATCAGTAACCTTTTTTTCATTTTGGCTAGTTTTACTGTTGAAATTTCCTGTCTAACCATTATGAATCTGTGGATTAATAATTTAGACAATTGACTCAATCGTTAACAGAGACTACAGTCTCATATTTATTTGACCAGTTCTTTAGAGTGTTGTACGTTTAATCTTCACAGCAGTTGTTCCATACTATGCAATTAGATTGTAGTTAATTTGTAATATAATTAAACTGTATAACTGTACATCTGGTTTATCTAATTTTCTATTATTAGACCAAAGTTTAATCACAACTTGGCATAGTGACATTTGTAACTCTATAGCTGGATGTATATCTATTACATCTGAAAAATTTATTTAGAGTTTACAATACATGCTATTCGTTGCTACATAGTCATAAGATCACATTATGTTATTCTCAATGGATGAATAAGTTCTCTCTAATCATATTTAAGATATCTGTTTTATGAACACATAATTGACACCATTTGCAATTATATAGATTACTTATTTAGTCCCCATATTATTGTAGTAGTTGATATTATCACATATATGTATTAATTTGCGACAAATTATAAACATGTATTAACCTGTATTCATGCATTAACTACTTGTCGATTGAGTTATTCTGTAGTCTTTGGCTTTGAATCATGGTCCATTAAATTAAGAGGCATTAGATAAACTGCAGATTTTTAATCAAAGATGTCTTCAAAGCATTCCTATCGTTTTGTTAGATAATCTAGTGAACAATAGTAAGGTTACTCTCCCAAAGTTTTCAATCTTGAGTTCTGATCCACAATGTAGTGGAGCAACGTTAGGAGATGCAGTCCCATGGTAGTCGGTGACCAACAACAAGTTGATACTTCATTTGTTCTCTCAGAATGCTGGATCCCATGTATACGATTGTTTTAGGATCAGAGTTTTTCAACCCCGTAGGTGTATGTTCCGTCGTATTTATCACCCCGGTTTAAGCCGTGGCCGGACATTGGATTTTCGTCCTCTCAATTTCGTAAAGAACACCACAGCCATGAGAATAGAATGAGTAGGACTTGTATGGCAGTGGGTACGTACGCATTAACATGTGAGAGCCTTTGGAAAGGTGAAGCTAACTCCTCCCTGTCGACCATATCAGGGAATTTGGGAGATTACACATACGTTTTATGAATTACTGATTCTTTATCGATTGAGGTGTTTGAGATGGCCAACAATAACAACTACCAATTAAGCACAGAAGTCAGTTAGACATACTTGAATTGCAGTATCATTTCATATGTGTTTTCCATTCTATCTTCTCACATTATATTCTCAACTTTGCGTTCCTTTTCATTACCGTTGCATACTGCACTATTTTGGTTGTTTCAGTTTTCTTTTTGTTAGTTTCTTTCCTTTGTGTTGATTTGATATGACAACTTGGGCCTATGCTCATTCTCCCATTGGATAATTTTATTTGTACATTTTTTATTTTTTAGCTAAAGAAGATTCACCTATGCCGTATGATGCAACATATACCAATAAGTCAAATTATGCTTCTGTTGGTACATCACACCGATCCAGTAAAACAAGTTTATTAAGTTCACGTTTATGGGCATCATTTGATCAAGATCAAAATGAATCTGTTTCAGATTTGTGGACACGAGCCGGTGAAATGTATCACATGCTTGAACAAGAAAGTCAACGTTTAGCCAATATGAAAACAATAACGACAACTAATACTACTTCTACGTCTACCACTACTACTAGGAGTAGTAATAGTAGTAGCCGTAAAAGTAAAACTCATCGACATCCTGGCATATGGGATAATTATCAACAAATGAATTGTTTTTCTGATGATAATGATAAGAATACAGTTAAAAATCTAGAATTTTCTTCACAACTACCTTACTATTCTAGTCCTATACCTAGTTGTCATAAAGATACGTCTACAAAAGCTGCTCATTACAAGTAATTCATTATAAATTAACTCATTAATACTTTTCTGTTTAATTCATTTGTTATATGGTTGTGTTTATTATTCATTATTGACTAAACACCTCAGTATATTAATTTAATTTGGAGAATGTATTGATATGGTGGCGAAGATTTGTAGCTCAAGTGGATGATTTATATGAAGTTTTCGTCTTTGAGGTAGATGATTCGGTCGTGGAGCTTTCATTGTTCTTCTGAACAACATCGTCAGTATAAACTTTAGGAAGGAGTAAAGTGTTCGGATTTCTCCACATATGACTCATAGCTTGCCTTGTTGAACGCAAATTTTATTGCCCACTGTTAACCTTCAAGTTGTCATCGTCTGCCTATTTATTTCGATTGGATCTCCTTTTACTGTGATTCTTGATCTTATATTTGTCTATGATCTTTCTGATTGATTGATAATTTGGATCGATTTCGATGTGTTTGTTGATTTCTGATTGATCTGGTGCTAAGTATTCCTTCTATCCAAGATTTCAATATTTTTTTATTCAAATGTGTGTTCACAATCGTCCTCATGCATTGATATAAGTGAAGATATATTCTGGCATTTGACCACTAATGGAGGGAGTTCACTTTGTCTGATCTAGTGTTTTTCGTATTCGGAACAGTTTGTTTTGTAGATGGTGTTCGGTTTTTCTTTTGTTATTAACAGCATTATGTGAAAAAGAAACAAAGTCTATCCTTCACTATAAACATGGTCAACATGTCAACGATTGTATCAGATCCCATTGCGTCTATCAATTTACACTCATGTTTGTGTGTTTATTTTTGTGGCCACACATTTACGGGCTGAGCAGTCGTGATTTATTTATTAAGATGTCTAAACATGTACTATCATTGCTTTAGGTACACATAAAATCCAATGTCCTAATAAACGTAAGTATTAAACACTCATCTTCATCAATTGCTAAACTCTTAATTGAAACAGCTCATGAAATTGATCTAAATAGAATTTGTCTATAGGGAATATTTAGAATTATGAAAACTTTAGCTGTATGGAATTTCAAAGCCACCTCCCACTGCGTGCATTTAAAATCATCTTATACTTAAACTAAAAACCTACCCTAATGATATTTATTTATCATCCAAAGTGGTGTGATCCATATTGTTTACACTCTATTCTCATCATTAATTTTATTTTCCAACTAGTCTCTTTCGCATCTTTACTTTCATATATCAATATCTTAATAAGTAATTCACTCAGTTCCGTCAGTAACAAAGTAGAACTTCGTACGTACGTACATCAGTTTGAGTTGCTACACCACATTAGCACAGAGATGCAGTTGTCGACTCAAATTCCGTAGTGGTAGAGGTAGTGAAAGTATAAGCAGTATTCGGAAACATTAGGGCTTGAAGATGTTATTCAAGGAGTATGGTACAGTGAAATAAATTTGGAAAGAAAATAAGAATTCAGAAGATTATAATTTGGGAGAACACGAAGAGTGGATGCACCTGCGCCATTGCAAACGATTTTGAGCCATGTCATTCAAGGTCTCTAACCATCGGTTACTATCGTCTCGCGGATCCTAATCAGGTAGTCTACACTTACCCACATGGCTCAGACCACTTGTCAGTGACTTCATGGATTTGTGCCATGTTTTGGTCTGGCTGCTTCTAGCTTTCTTCCAACCTACTCCTATACCACTGAACATCGCACGTCGAGGCAGTCGGTCGTTGGGCATACGTAACACGTGTCCAAGCCATCTCAACTGATGAAGTTTCACTACTTCATCAATTGATTTGCCATCCTTACCTAGTAGTCGTTTCCTAACAACTGCATTACTTACTCGATGGTCCCACGATATACGGAAAATATTTCGAAGACACCTATGATCAAATACTAGTAACCTACGAATATCCTCTACTCTTACCGGTCATGTTTCACTGCCATAAAGTAGGATGGAACGAACTGCTGCGCAGTAAACACGTTCTTTGGTTGATAGACGGATATCTCGCCTACGCCATAGATGACGCAAGTTAACAAAAGCAAGCTAGTCGAGTCTTCTGTATCCGTGCTGAGATTTCGTCACACACCAGACCACAAGGGCTGATAAGACTTCCAAGATAAGTGAAGCGGTCGACATGCTCGACTACTTCACTCCTTATCATTGGTTCGGGTGTCAATGCAACCCGATCCTGAAGCAACATTTTGATTTCGAGAATGGGGAGAGTCGCATGCTGAACATGCTTGCATTGTTGCTTAGAGTGGTCAGAAGACTGTGTATTTTGTCAGCGTCTTCACCAAATAAAACTATGTCATCGGCATATTCCAAGTCAATAAGTGAATCTCCTGGTAGAAGTTCAACCCCTGAAAATTTAGATGAGGAAAGGGTTATCTCTAAAAGTACGTCAATGACAAAGTCAGCCCTGACAAACATCACTTGAGGTAATCAACTCTGATGACAGTTCGCCATAAGCTCTCACTCGACCAGTTGTGTTCGAGTAGAGAGCCTTTATAAGGTTAATGCACTTCTTTGGTACTCCTTTCAGTGACAAACACTGCCATAGAACCTCACGATCAATAGAGTCGAATGCCGCCTTAAGGTCGAGAAATACTACCATTGTGGGGCGTCTGGATGTGTGTCTGTGTTCTTGAACCTGACGTAGTGTGAATATCTGATCTATACAACCACGTCTAGGTCGAAAAGCCGCCTGGTTTTCTCTAGTCTGCTCTTCATGAGCTTTGATTAAGCGTCGAAGTATTATTGAAGCTAATTTTTTAGACACTACATTAGTCAGACTGATTCCTCTGTGATTGTCACAAGAGGACTTTTGTCCTGTACAGCTTTCTTTAATACCACGACAACACCATGTCATGTGATATACTGACCACTTTTCCGTTTCTCCCAACCAGTCCCGTCGTCCGAAAATAACACAAGGATGTGGAATTCGATGAGACGACATTCGAAGTACATGTCCAAACCACTAAAGTCGGTGTTTGTAGGTAGTGATATCAATTGAATTATAGTCTCTACTCGAACACACATTACCGAATCTCCACATCATTAACATTGTGTTCTCACTGGATCTCAGTAGCCGTTCAAGGCCAACGATGATCAAACACAGAATTTTGCTTAACATCGTCAAGTAGGAGAGGCCAGGTTTCACAAGCATAGACTGCTCTGACTGACAGATTATAGACCCGATCCTTTACAATCAGACTAACACCACGAAAGTCCAAAGATGGCCCACATTAGCATAAGCCATAATGGCTTTCACTATTAGTTTACTTACATACTACCTATAATATGATCTGTTTTCACCAGAGCTCCATTAGACACAACTCTTAAGTTTGAAGTACATTCGCTATAGTTTTCTTGACAGTTGTCTATGTGAAAAGGCTTGTAATCATAAAAACACATATTTCATTGATAGCTGATTACCGTTAACAGATAGTGGCATAATTATTTCCGGCATTATAATTAATTAGTTTTTAAACTACCGTTAAAACAAAATATTTGTGTTACATAGAAGTGATTAGGTATTGATTATTTGTTTATAATTAAATGGTGTCTTAAGTTTTAAATGTTGCGACCTTATTTTGGTACTTTTGAATTATCAATAAGGATGGCAACTAAAATCCTTTCTGTATATGATACCAATTTCCTAAAATAATACACTAGAGTGAACATAAACTTCGAATTATGCGCTACATAGCATTGGCGAACTATTCGTTTAATCTCACTGAAAACACTAGTCGATCACTACTCTACATCAATTTCATTGATTACGATAGAACATTTGATAGTATAGACAGGACAAAACTATGGAGGCTTCTTCGACACTACGACGTGCCTGAGAAGATAATCAACATCATACGGAATTCTTTTGATGGATTAAACTGCAGACTCGTGCATGGGTGACAGCCCACAGACTCGTTCGAAGTGAAGACCGACCTTTTCTCTTTCTCCTGGTGATCGACTGGATTGTAAAGACATCAATATCTGAGGAGGAGCATAGGACACGGTGGACAGCAATGATGCTGCTGCACAACCTAGACTTCGCTGATGATCTGGCTCTTCTATCGCACACGCAACAACAGATGCAGAAGACAACCAGTAAAGCAGCAGATCTCAACATACACAAAAGGAAAAGCAAGATTTTCCGATACAATGCAACATGCACCAATCAAATTGCACTTGACGGAGAAGCTTTTGAAGATGTGAAGACCTTCACATATCTGGACAGCATCATTGATGAACACAGTGAATCTGATGCAGTGGTCTTTATGTTCAACATAAGATGTACACTGTTCTGCTTTTCGATTTATAGTGAAGTCGATGTTAGTTCATGGCGTCACTTCTTCATTCTTTGTTCACCAGAATTTATTGGTAGATTCAGTTTATTATACGGTTCGAGAAGTCTGAATTTTTTCTTTTTATGTATGGGTTCCGTAATCTATACGCTTCACTAAGGTACTCAGTGCAGATTGAAAAATTATGACAGCCGTATGTTATGAATTTGTTTGTTTACTTTCAGCTCTCATTGTTCAGAATCAAGTCGTGATCATACTACCGTGAACTCGACTAAAAAACGCCTACAGTTTCGTGCTTTATGCTCAGGTCTACGATCACATCGTTCAGAATCGGTAAGTCAATTGGTAGATAGATTTTCCTGAATACATAGTGGTCATTTAATTATTCCTTATTATAGTTTCGTTTTCGCTCTATAATTAATCCCACAATGAACTCGTTATCTTTTCTAGTTTTTCATCATTTGGATTCACGAAATGATATTCTAAGCTAACTTGATTTAGTGTATGATAATGTACTGTATCCTCCAGTGTTTAACAATTTTCATTGGTTTAAAGAAATGCTGATTCTTTATGTTTTTCACTAGGTAATCTGTACAGAATCTTTCTGTAACTTGATAGATACTGATAGCCTTCCTTGTGATGAGACCTTCAGTTAATAACGTTTTAGTACATATAAAGACAATATTTTTTGGGTTATAGACAACCATTGAAGTTTGTAGGCACTACTTGAATGTGATTGTTGGTTAAAACGCCTCACATGCGGGATTCTCGAATTCAGATAGTCACTTGTTGGAATTAATCACTATTGCACACATTGTTATTGACTTAAGGATCTTGAATTCGATTTCTAGTGGAATGCACACTACTGAGGAGTGGCACACTGAGGCGAAACAGCCATCTAATGCTTTCTGATTTTCTTTCGCTGTCTAACGGAGATGTTTGTTTACGTCTGTTGTTTTGACTTCCATGGGAAAGCTGTTTCTCGTTTAAGTTTAGGAAATTATTTAAGCTTTCTTGCCTACAAATTAGTTGATATCAATATAATTTATTTTCATAAATTATTAGGTAGTTTATGAAATCTAGTTTTTTCTTGTTATTAGAGTAGATGAAACTATAGGATATAGTGTATATTTTGTCTTAGAAACTGATTGTAACAAGTGGAAGTACTTGTGTGCATGATTGCTCTTGGATCAGTCATATTCTCTTGCTCCCAATTGTAGCTGCTTTCCTGACACGCGGTGGTCAGGCTTGCCTGTTGTGATAACCGAATCAAGTTTTTTTGTCTGGGTCATTCGTTCCTTTAAGTGTAACCCTGCTACACAATATGGTTGGAGAACGGTGAGATTAAAGACATCTAAAGGTTCGAGGTTTCAGTCTTACTACTGACTATATGAGCATATAATAATAATCAGGGGTGTTTCCTTTAGACAGTTCGCATATGTAACGTTGATGCTTTCTCACAACGAAAAGAAAGGAATTACAAATGTTCAACCCTAACAATAATAACACATCTCACCTCATCAGACGGATTTCTGTCTTTGTCGTCCATAAAGCCCTAAAAATACGAAGCTAACGCATAAAACACTTCTCGTAAGAAACCTATGCTTAACCTGCCTAATGCAATCGTTCCTTGAACCTTCCGGTCCCACTGCTACATTGTTCAAATTAATTCTAACGTAACTTTCTTTTCATATCTCTCAAGAATAAGTATTTTTCTACTTCGTAAACAATATCTCAATATTCCTCGTTAATTTTTCTTCTGAATACTTTGCCAACTTTTAGTTTGCTTCACTTCGAACAGTGTGTAATAGTTTCCGATTGGGATGAAAATACATCTAAACATTTGAATTTCTCTTGTCTCAGCATATTTTAATGTTTTTCAAGATAACTTCATCCATCCATCCGTCCGTGTGTGTGTTTATACTTCATCATATGTTGCCCCTAACGTAGATGACTTCTAGGAAAATCGTTGAGACTATAATTTGCGGACGATCTTCTAGTGACGCTAGATTGACCTTGAGGGTGTCCATCTAATAACTAGGACCAAATGAAGATTACAAATTCATGTGATGGAATCGAATTATGATTTACAGTTGATGGTTAAGGTTAGGAATTAACCACTGGAGCTTAGGGTAATAACCACCAAGCCAGCGTACATGCAGTCCAGCACGAAGCCAGGTGCATGCATCATTATATATTTTTGGGTTATGATAATGATCCTTCCGCAGGTTCACCTACGGAAACCTTGTTACGACTTTTACTTCCTCTAAATAGTCAAATTAAGTCATCCCAGCATCAGTCGAGCGGCAACGCCACTACAACGACACCAATCCAACGACCTCACTAAACCATTCAATCGGTAGTAGCGACGGGCGGTGTGTACAAAGGGCAGGAACGTAATCAGCGCAAGCTTATGACTTGCACTTACCAGGAATTCCTCGTTCACGGGGAATAATTGCAAGCCCCGATCCCAGTCACGACGGTGATAAAACAGTTTGCCCAACCCTTTCGGGCCAGGTTCCCAGACTCGTTGGCACCGTCATTGTAGCGCACGTGTGGCCCCGGACATTTAAGGGCATCACAGACCTGTTATTGCTCAATTTCGTGCGACTTAAGTGTGCCGCTTGTCCCTCTAAGAAGTAAAAACTGGCACCGCACCCGCCGGATCACGACCACACTACTCCATAAAGAAGCAATAGAAGCCGCGCCCTAAACGAGCACAGAGGACCAGTCTACTATTTAGCAGGTTAAAGTCTCGTTCTTTATCGGAATTAACCAGACAAATCGCCCCACCAACTAAGAACGGCTATAATGCCAAAATTCTATTTAGCCAAATGAGTGAATGAATTTCGCGCCAATATTTGAGACCTGTTATCTTATACCTAATTGGTTCGTCTTTAAATTATAGTCTTGACGACAAATCATTATATAAATTTAACTTAATGATCTGTTCTTTTTTGCCTTCTCAAGCTTATCATAATCGACTTTGATCATTTTGATCACACTTTGGAATTCCATTAAATATAAACTATGTATATATATTACCTTGACCTCTTAGTAATTACGAATAATAGTAATATCGAATAGGATTATTTCTATTTAAACTTATCATATTTATTTATTACAATAATTTATTACAAAATGCTTTATCTTAACATTCATTGACTAGTCAATATAGAGTTATGCAAATATATAGTAGTGTATTGTAAAGCTCATTAATGTTAATATGTAATTTATTATATGGTGTATATATATCTAGTTAATCATTTCAACTTTCAACTAGGTTTCATGTCATTAGACATCATACTACTATTAGTCAATCTAAAAATCTTTGTTTTATTGTTTTGTTATCTTTACATGAGGGAAATATTATTACATAAAATTATCAAACTATCAATTCATTCAGTCATTTGAATAAATAGTTATGGCTAACACTGATGGAATCCAAGAAGCGCGTCTTGTCCTATTTGTGACTTGTCTTTAGTTGGATGTACTTGTCATATTTTAGAGTTGATGTTCACTTCTGGACTCGAATTCAGTATCGTCGACTTAAAACCTCTTTGTGTTGTTGACTTTATTACTGAGTCCATATAACCATTATATATATTTTTTATTTAACACATAAATATTGGTGCAAAGGGGCATCAAATACATATGCTCCACAGAATTACAATGATTCCAGTAGCAGTTACAATTGATTAGTATGTGGGCTGTGGTACTTCCTGGGTTCCCAGACAAAAGCAGGTGGTTTTCTTAGGGAGCCACACCCCGAGCGTTTGACCTAAAGGTCTGATCCACAAGGAAGTGGAGCAACGTCAGGAGATGCACTCTTATGGTAGTCGGTCACCAACATTAGATTCATACACCATTTGTTCAATCAGGATACTGGAACCCATGTGCACCATTGTTTTGGATTATCCATATCCACTGACGTGATTAAAGCTCCGGACATTCGCTTTTCGTCCTCTCAGTTTCGCAAATAACACCCATAATTTGAGGAAGCAGTAAATAAAAATTCCCTTGCATTGGTTGTTTGAGCGTGACCATGTGAGGTCATTTGGAGAGGGAGAGCTAACTCTCCTCACTCTCGACCGTACCAGGGCCTTTGGGGGCTACATAACCACTAAGTCGTGCAGTGGGGTGAAGTTTACTGCATCTTGTATTGGTTGTTTAAATCTTCTCATTGATGTTTAAGTCTTTTATTAATCAGTCTCTTTTCTATGTTCTTATTATTTGAATAGCTCACAAAAGTATTAAGTAATTGACTATCACTTTGAGACACTAGAATTTATCATTTTACTGTTCTATATTGTTTGCGTACACATTGGTAATTGGTCCGTACTTCTTACTCAAATAATCACAATTTGTTTCTTAAAACAAACCAATTATTACTTTCATGTTTTCCATGGTGGTCTAACTTCAATTGACTCATGAATTCAACTATTAAATTACTATGATATCCACAAAGCCCCTCTTCAATTAATTATATTGATGCAAAATATCCGTGTGTCTCAATGTGTGTGTGTACTTGTAGTTGTTATCTTATTTGTAACTTCCAGGTTATAAAGTGAAACGTATCGATTTTGTGGAGTTTGTTCCTATAATAATGATAATAATAATCTTAATTATTATGGGAAAGTTTGTCAGAAGCTCCAGTAATCACACTTAAAATTTTTTACAGTTATAAATCCTTATTTGTATAGACGATTTTTGTCTGTTGTTTGTGGTTTGACTTACGCAATATCGGTCTAATCCACAAGTCAGTAGAACGGCGTCAGGGATTTCTTGTCATATTAGCTAGTGACCAAATATGGGTCTGTACTCCATTTAGATTATTGGTTTAAAATCAAGGTTTTCTAACTCCCTCAGGTAGATTCTCTACTTACCAATTCGATTGGATGTTATTTGGTGTAGAAGTAGACTGGAAGAAAACTAGGGGCAGGAAAACGAAAACATGAAGTCGTCAACAATTGGACTGAACGATGTTGATGAATGTAAACTACCTGGTTGTGGTTCGCATGATCATCGCAACCAGTGATTAGAAACCTTGAATGACTTGACTCAAAATCGTTTGGAATCACTCAGGTGCATCAGTTCTTTTTCTTCTCCCCCTAATTCTAAGATAATTAATTGTTTATGAGTTTTCTTTTGTTTTTAGATCACTAATTTATGTTTTCTTGTCGAATGGTATATTTGATGTGTAGTGTTTTCAATTAGCTCGTATATTGTTACTACTTCTACTGTTGTGGGGATTGTGCTTAAAATCTCATTTGTTTTTGCAAAAAAGGTATGGCAACTTGAACCGATATATTTAGGTATCAAGGTCGGCGTTATCACTTACTAACTGATGTACATGTAATTATTAACTTGACTATTGTATAGTTAAATGTCGGTTATAGTAGGTTAATGTCGCATAGGTGTCTGAAAATGAAATAAACTTGAAGTTAGAGCGATTAGTCCCTTTTATAAATTTTGATAGAACAATGATAAGACGTAGTTGATTTGGAAAACATGTTGTGTTTACTCTATACATTTGTTTATTTGTTTACCTGTACCTTCATTTCACTGAGCTTTATTAATTTTCCTATAAAATGTGTTGACTTGTATACGTGTGACTAATTCGTTCGAAATGTATAGAGCAAATACATCCTTTTTTTCAGACCAACCTCGTCTTCTCTTCGTTCTGCGAAACTGTAGTTGTTGATTAGCACTACGATCTTATGTTTTTTTGTATACCATAAAATTATCCTTCGTTTTCGAGTTGTATGATGTATACATAATCACTTTTACGACTCCTAATACTCTTACTATTTCCACTACTTTAAACTTAGTATTACATATCCCCAACCATAAGAAAAATCAATAAACATTTATCAATATTCATAATAACTTAATTCTAACTTACCTCAACAGTAAAAATCAAGTTTACAGTTTTGTGTTCGGTACACATCCAATTATGGTTCAAAACTACTTAATTACAACAAGTTACTATGTGTATAACGGTTATAGCGACTTCATTCTGTATTGATTTTCTGTATGGGGCTACACATAATCTCAATGTTAACATAGTTTATTCTAATATATATATATATATATATATATATATATATATATATATATATATATATATATATATGGTGTTATGAATAAGCATGCGTTTTCTGTTTTCATCAATCAACCAACTTTGAAGACCTGTTTTGTTGCAAATTTCAACTATATAGAAGTAAATATGCATTGTGATCGTGAACCGATCTAAGTTGGAAGTCAACAATCTTCACAAATCTATGCTCAATTCGGTATTGTTAATATGAAACATATATACTTATATACATGGTTGATTTCATTAAGTATTATTATTATTATTAATAATGTAAGATATATAAATATCGAGTACTTGAGATTGTTTATCTATTTCATTGTCAACTATTATTCCATTATAAAATCTAGTTACATTTAGTTTAATGTATGATAAATTGAAAGTATTTTAGAATTCAATGAACACCTTGATAGACGATATGACAAATAATACTGTTATTCATTATCATCCAGAAAAAAATTTACATAGCAACCTTCGATAGACACTGCACGATCCCCCTGATTGAAGCAATTTTTTAAAAAAAATTTACTTAGAAACAAAATGCAATACATCATAATTGACTAAAATACAATTTAAAAATTTAAGTCACATAAAGCATACAAATCTAATAACATTTAAGTACCATTATAAAAAAATGATAAGTATCTAATCATTTTAATTAACTATTATAACGATCATGTGAAATAAGTAAGCTAAATACTTTAAACTCAATACCAATCTACTGCCAGGGCAGTCCTACTCACTGCCTTCTCGTGGCGGGGGTGTAGTTTACGAAAATGAGAGGACGAAAAGCGAATGTCCGGCGCTTTAACAGGATTCCAAGCCAATGGTGTACATGGGCTCCAGTATCCTGCGGGAACAAATAGCCTGTGAACCAATTGTTGATCACCGGCTTCCATGGGACTGCATCTCCTTACGATGCTCCACTGCCTTGTAGGTCAGACCTTCAGGTCGAAGGCTCGGGGTGTGACCCCCTAAGATAACCACCTGCTTCGGTTTGGGCACCCGGTCAGTATCACAGCCCTCACACTTATCGAATGAGATTTGTGTGGCGCATATGTATTTGGTGCCTCTTTGTACCAATATCTATGTGTTGAAATAAATAAAATCTACTGCGAATACATCGCTGATGTGTCCCATTTTGATCTTTTTTTAAAAATAATCGTGTTATAATGTAGACTGTAAATGATTTGAACAATCAAAATCAATTTCTGGTTAATCGATAAATGATATGGAATGATACATTGTTTCGTGATCGAATGATTATCAGCTACTCAAGAGATTGAACCATTGACATAAACCTTTGAATGATTTGAAATCAAAATACAAGATCAAGTGATAAAAGTATCATATATATATATATATATATATATATATATATATAGAGAGAGAGAGAGAGAGAGAGAGAAAAAAAAAAACTTATCAGCATTGCAGAAGTGATTTTTTTAGGTTTCTATTCAACGATCGACTTTCATGTACTGTGAATAATAGTAGCTATAAGCTGATTTATTACAGAAAGTTGTAGTTGGTTGTGCTGAACTTATTAATTCTTCAATTGTTATTCTTAAGACTTTGTGTAACATAATATGCTTAAATCTTAAACGTTTAACCCTAAGGCAAACTTTAGTTTAATAATAATGTATTTTGATGTTAGTTCGTAATAAAGCTTGTAATCTGAAACCCCTAATTGTGATCCTAGCTAAAAAAAAACAATGTAGATACTACTTAAAAGATTTATTCTTTTTCTGAAGACAAATTCATATACAATTGTTTATTTGTAATTTATAGAATACTTAATTAAGTTCATTAACAAAGTTAAATTTGTCTACAATGTGTAATATTATTATCATCATTGTTTTCTTCCCTATAACTTATCTATTTATAACGGATATTCTTTAACTGGTTCATCCATTTACTGTTTCTTATAACCACCGACTGCCCCAATGTGCAATGTTTCATGGTGTAAGAGTAGGATGGACGAAATCTAGAGGCGGCCAGACCAAAACATGGCACAAATCCATGAAGTCACGGACAAGTGGACTGAGTCATGTTGGTAGGTTTAAACTACCTGGTTTTGATCCGCGAGACGATAGTAACCGATGGTTAGAGACCTTGAATGACATGGCTCAAAATCGTTTGCAATGGAGCAGGTGCATCTCTTCTTTGTGTTCTCCCAAATTGTAATCACCAGAATTCTCCTTGTCTCTTTTTTTCTCGTTTTAAATATATTTCACTGGATTATACTCCTTGAATAACATCTTCAAACCCTAATGTTTCCGATTACTGGTTATACTTTTACTACCTCTACCACTTTGGGATTTGAATCGACAATTGTATCTCTATGCTATTGTTGTATGGCAACTCGGACTGATGTACGTACGAACGAAGTTGTACGTTGTTGATTGACTCACTAATTTCAAATTGTTTGCTTCTCATTATTCTAGTTCTATCTTATTATGTTGATTTAATAATGTTAGCAATTTGGGTCAATTCACATTAATTATGAATGATTAGTAGATATCTAAAAAAATAAATCATAGAACTACACCTAATTTACTTTAACTTTTTCAATATTCTATCCAGGGAATGATATACAATGTGAAATACTAATTACCCTCTTTAATCATATTCATATTTATCTCTTCAAATTATTAAGTTTTTCTTTCGTTGTTGTTAATTTTTTTTTTTTTATTTTTTCATTTCATAGAATATACTATGTGATATGTCTGGATCATTTTTGTCACGTCAATGTTTTTGCAAAATTCTTGCTATCGGTGGATCTGTAAGTTATCTTATGTTACATTCTATTTATTTGTATATGAATTGAATACATATTTGACCAATGGTTAATTACTGGTATTATGATAGATAACTTTAGTGTATACTAATTAAACATTGTCTTTTTAAGAAAAGATGAATGTTGGCTAGCATTGGAATCCAGGACTCATGCCTCGTTCTTACTTTAGGATTTGTCAATTGGATGTACCTACATCTCAGAGTTTATATTCGCCACGGGGCTCGAACCAAGCGCCATTAGCTTCTTAGATTCCACTGCTAGCCATCATCCATCTTTGCTTATAATGCTTATGACTTAGTGACAGTATCGAGGCATTTGGCATAGGATGCACATATGCCAATAAAAGTCTGATCAATCATAGTCCAAAATAACAATGGGAAGATTCGAGTAAAGCAACACCAAGTGAATTTAAACTTCACCCCATTGCACAAGTAGGTGGCTATCAGGAATTAGTAGCTAAGTGGAGAATGCGATGGCGTTTGTGATAAGTCGTGTAGGTTGAACGCTATATACGGTTCCTAAGCTATTTCGGTAACCCGCAGTCTAGAACTACACAGCGACTTGAACTCCAGAGAGAAGACACAAGAATGAGAGAAAGCACTTTATTCCAAGGTTCATTTTTGTACAGAAAATCATGGGTATTTATAGATTTTGGGATCTGTTAAATCAACATCATTTTACAGCCAATCCGATAACAACACATTATGCTACCGACCAATAGTAGCACGCCACGTTGGAATTCTAGAACGTTCCATCACACTCTGATTGGCCAGGACTCTTCGGCTCCTTTGTGGGCCTCTGGAGGCTCCGTTGAAGTTCTCCGGAAGCCGACCCAACACCTCCCCCGAATAAGATTTCTTTCTGGGATCCACTTGTAGTTTGATAACTGGATTGCGTCGGCGTCCCATTATTCTTGTCGTCTTTCTTGTCCAAGACTTTTCAGTGTTCCTGGGCGTTTGTGGCATTGGTGCGTCTAAGATTAAATCTAACGGGAAAGTCGGCCGGTTACTTCCAGTCTGCACCGTTCTTTTGTCCTTAAGGATTTGATTTGTGTGACGTATACATGTCCCAAAAGCTCCTCGAACTTTGTACAGTACTCTTCCCAGTTTTTGCACCACTTCGCCCGGCTCCCATCGGTTCTTCCCGATGTAGGATTTAATGTAGACTTTGTCGCCAATACTGAAGTTCCGGATACTTGGGTCGCGACTACGCTCATCCACTAGTTTGGATGGCAACATGGCATCAAAGACTGTTCGAATACGCCTTCCAAACATGGCTTCCGCGGGAGATTTGCCGTCTTAAACATTTGGGTTTGGGGTGGATCTGTATGATGTTAGAAATTTTGTGATCACCTGCTCAGTCGTCCCTTCTCCTCCCCCTTTCAGTAATGCTCGTTTAAAAGTGTCCACAAGGCGCTCTGCTTGTCCGTTTGATTGTGGATGATAGGGTGGAGAACGAAGATGATTTATTCCGTTTGTTCTACAGAATTGTTTAAACGATTCTGCGGCAAACTGAGAGCCGTTATCCGTCACTAAGGTCTCTGGTACTCCGAAACTGCTAAATAGGGTAAACAACTTGCGGATCGTTTCTGACGTTGTACAATTTGGCATGATGTATACTTCCGGCCATTTAGTGAATGCATCTACGATAATTAGAAACATTTTCCCTTGGATTGGACCGGCAAAATCTGCGTGAAGTCTTACCCAGGGTCCCGCGGGCATAGGCCAACACTGAGGTTCGCATTTCGAAGGATTTTTAGCGGCTTGAATACATGATGAACAGTTACGGCATTTCTTCTCGATATCTTTGTCCATTGACGGCCAATAAGCATAGCTACGAGCCAAAGATTTCATTTTACTGATTCCAGGATGGCCACTGTGAAACTGCTTGAGAACCTTGTGACGTAATAACTTCGGAATAACAATGCGATTACCGAACATAATACAGGAGTCAACAACCATTAGAGAGTCCCGTCGACGAAAATATTGCAAAAGTTCTCCGTCAAGGCGATTGTTTGGCCATTTGGTCAAGAGATAGCATTTAACTGAGCTCAGTATCTTATCACTTTCAGTTATCTTCTTGATAGTTTCAAAGGTTACTGGGAGTCCATTAACTGCGTCATCCAACACGCGATGAACTTCTTCCTCGGCTTTTATATTTGCTACAAGAGTCTCCTCCGGGGTTTTCGATTGAGAGCCTATTAATCTCGACAATGCGTCAGCTTGCCCGAAAGTGGTAGTAGACTGATACTTAATCTTGAAGTCGTAACCCAGAAGTGTGGTTGCCCATCGTTGTAGTCTGTTAGCTGTATGAACAGGAATTCCTTTCTTTGACCCAAAAACTGCAAGTAGTGGTTTATGGTCTGTTATTAGGGTAAAATGTCGACCATATATCATCTTGTGGAACTTTTTCACTGCAAAGATAATTGATAGGGCTTCTTTCTCGATTTGGCTATAGTTCCTTTCGGTCGTTGTCAGAGATCTGGCAGCGTGTGAGATAGCTTTTTCAGACCCATCAGGAAAAATGTGAGAGATAACTGCGCCCACACCATAGTTAGAAGCATCTGAAGCGATGACTATCGGTAGAGAAGGATCATAATGTGTCAATAAGAGATCGGAAGTTAGGAGTTGCTTGATTTTCTCAAAAGATGCTTGGCAGTCTGCAGACCAATTCCATCTTGTGTTCTTTTGTAGTAGGTTGTTTAGTGGAGCACGTAGACGATGGAGATCGGGGAGAAAGGTACCGTAATGACTGACCAATCCCAAGAATGATCGTAGGGTAGTAACGTCCCTGGGTCTAGGCATTGTGTTCACTGCTTCAATGTTCTCTAGATCTGGACGTCTTCCGTCTTTATCTATTATGAACCCAAGGTACCGTACTTGCTGCATATAGAAGTCACACTTTTCCGCCCGGAGGCGAAAACCATAATCAGCTATGCGTTCTAGTACCTGGTCCAGTTTCTTCTGCAGGTCCATTTTATCTACTGCCGTAATTATGATGTCGTCGAGGTAAGCTGCAGCTCCTGGAATACCTTGTAACAACTATTGGAAGAGCAGCATAGGGTACAGGTCTTTTAGGTCGAAAAACGGGAGCAGCTTCAGGTTTTAGAGTTAACAGTGCTTTGGCTTTCGTACATTCTCCCAATCCTTCTCTAAACACGCTTTGATGTCTTTGTAGCATGGCGTTTTTCTGATTCCATTCTGGGGTGTTGTCTGTACTTACTCGTCTGCAGATACTGTTGATAGAATGATCTGCTAGTTTAAGTGTTTCTATAAGGTCCAACCCCATTAAGTCTAGTGCTGGCTTCTTAGTAAGATACAATGTTGCATTTGTTGTTACCGTACCTTTAGAAACAGTGCATGGTATTTCTCCAGCAATATTCAGCTTCCCCCCCCCCAGATGCACTGTGTGCCAGCTGTGTTGTTGGGAAAACTGTGGGTCTCCCAATGTTCTTCCACGTTTCTGGGCTGATTAAAGTAATATCAGAAGCTGTGTCCAGCTGAAGACGGGCACGGTGTTTATTAATATTCAAGGTCACATACTTTCTTTGGTGGCAACTTCGTGCTCTGTTATGTGATACCAATATCTTGTTGGTTGGAGCACTATATCTGTGTTTCTTTGAGTAAGACTTCACGGAACGTTTTCTATAGTCTCTTCTCCTGCAGAAGTTTTCTTTATGCCCCTTCCGATGACATTTGCTGCAACGATGTTCTTTATATGGGCAAAAACTCTTATAGTGCCAACCTCCACATGCCCAGCATGGAGATGGTGGTTTGTCGCTGTTATTTTGGAAATTATGGGTACTGGAACCTTGAAAGACTTTTCTCTTAACTGCATTGACGTTACGGAAAGAGTTACCGTTTTCTATCATTGAGGTATCATGCTTTAAGTTTACTAACCTCTGGCACTCAGTAGTCACTTCTTGCAGGGTCATATTAGGGCAGTGTTCGAGTTTGCTTAGGAGTCTGGTTCGGATATCGGCATCTTCGGGTGAACGCAGGCTGCAGATAAACACTAAGCATTTAAACTGATCTTCAGACATGGACGCCAATCTAAACCTCTCACATTCTCGGTTCACTATTCCTGCATGCTTTACCCAATCATCTCCTGGTTCTTTTGTTAACTTTAAGCATTGGTAACGGATATTAAATAGAGATGATTGTTCTCCGAATATTTGGGATAGGGTTTTGACTGTATCATCAAAACTAAAATCTCGTGGGTTCTTCGGAAGAATGAAGTTGCTATAGCGTTCATGTTCCATAGTACCAAGTTTTCTAAGAAGTATTCTGACTTTTGAAGCATCATCCAGTTTGCAAAGATCAATATAAAACAAATCTTCATACTTCTTAAACCACGACTCGAAAGTTACACCTGCTACACCATCAAAATTAAAGTCATGGATGGCGTTAATGACTGAATCAGTATGTGATACTTGAGATTCACTAGAAGCAGGGTTTTTCTCGGACAGGCAGAATTTCTGCATCAGGGTTTCCATGATTCTAATTTGGGACTCTTCAAACCTCTTTTCTTGACGCACCATATAAGCTTCTAATTGCTCCAAGGAAATATTCATTGAAGTTTTCATCCCCGTCGCCACTGATAAGTCGTGTAGGTTGAACGCTATATACGGTTCCTAAGCTATTTCGGTAACCCGCAGTCTAGAACTACACAGCGACTTGAACTCCAGAGAGAAGATACAAGAATGAGAGAAAGCACTTTATTCCAAGGTTCATTTTTGTGCAGAAAATCATGGGTATTTATAGATTTTGGGATCTGTTAAATCAACATCATTTTACAGCCAATCCGATAACAACACATTATGCTACCGACCAATAGTAGCACGCCACGTTGGAATTCTAGAACGTTCCATCACACTCTGATTGGCCAGGACTCTTCGGCTCCTTTGTGGGCCTCTGGAGGCTCCGTTGAAGTTCTCCGGAAGCCGACCCAACAGTTTGAAGCGAACAGTATTGGGTTCTAGTCCCGGAGTAAACATCGACTCTGAGATGCAGGTACATACAGCTGACTATTCTCAAATAGGACGAAACGCGTGTCTTAGATTCCACTGCTAGTCACTATCTATCATTGCTTAAAAAGTTCTATAATGAAGTAAATCACATCAGTTGGCATTCAAAGAAATACTTCAACTATGAGAAAATGAAATATATGAAAGAAACAGAACAACTTGAAATGTTACAACATACAGTATACAGAATATTAACAAATTAAACTTTACGGCAATCTATTGTAAATTAAGTGTGATAAAAGGTACTTTCTGGTAATATAATTAGGGAAATATTACAATTAGTAACTAAAAATTGGGTAGTTTTTTTCATCTCGTCCGATACTCTGTTTATATTCAGTCAGAAAATTGAGTAATGATGTAATACTTTCAGATCTCGAAGTTCTTGTCATTGTTTACTTAGTGGATCTTTGAATTATCAACTATGAACAAGATGTTTTTAAAAAAGATTGTATTGTGTATTGTGGTTAATGTGTTCTAATGGTAAGTGGAGCAATTTTGTTTTGAAAGGGTTGATTTTGTCTTTATGAAAGTTTTCTACGTATTATAGTTTGATTCTATGATATAGATTCGATTTAGAGGCTAAGAAAGTGTAGGGTGTGTTTGGTCACGGATGGCATGATTAATATTAATAATAATCATAATATAAGTATTCTGAAAATAACAATTATAGAATTTACGCCAGTTTAAAGGCATGATCAGCTTGTTATACATAACCGGGAACCGTTGATTATTTTTTAAAAGGATGTTCTGATGATTTATAATCGGTGTGTTAAAGGTCACTTCCAGTTCCATGACGGATTGAATATATTCATTTACAACGAGAGAAAATAAAACGGAATCACATATCATGGAACAACAAAAGTAATAATTACAACGATACGTTAGTTAGGTCTATTCCAATACATGTGCCAGGTTATTACGTGATCTGGGGTTTAATCGTATCTATATGATTAAAATTAGTCAGTGTTACCATGTAAGGTAACAGCAGATATGGGTATTTACTCAGTAATTAAAAACCACGACATTTAAAGTTCCCATAATCTCACTTTTGGAATTGGATACACATCTAAGTCATTTTCAGACGAGAATTAAGCATCGATGCAGTGAATAAATGATAGAAGTGGTTTTATTTCACTGACAGATTGTAATATGTTATGCCAGAGTGTATAAAATTTACTGGTAAAGTTATCCATATTAAGAGAAAGTTTAGAATGAGATTGCTTCACTAATGACGAAGAGTTACGGATACTTTAACTAGGAGTAGTTGCATACTGAATTGTTTCATTGGATGTGAAAGATAGTTTATTAAGTATTCTTGTAAGTATGAGCATTTTTTTATTTCAAAACTATATCGGGTCTTATTTTACCCATGATTACATTTTTTAAAAATAAAGGATAATAAATCTTATTCATGGAAACCGTATTACATGCGCGTATCTGGTGCTGAAGTGAGATTTATCAAAGCATCTTGGGCATTTCATGGATCTGGACGAACAACCAAAGTAAGTAACTGATTCTATCCTATTCAGTGTTTATTTTTCCTTTTCTGATCAAGAACAAATTGATTTGAATCAGTAAGCTTGTTCTCTATGTTTGTTTTGACTAATGTTGATTTGTTGTCGACAGTCAATGTTTTGAGGTCGATCTCAAATAGTATTTTTTTCTCAGTTCTTAATGTATTAGTTCTTTAGCTTTTAGGCCCTACTACTGGAGACGTAAATCTGTGTGATTAAGGTCACGTCTGCTATTATTAGGATCGAAATGTTCCAACTCCTTTCTTACGTTGTGAGATACCATCTCTTAAAATGCCAGTTATCTGAAGGAAATACCTTTTTTATATCACTTCAGTACAGTTAGCAGTAAAATTTCACCTCCGAAACTTAATTTTATGGCTTTTAGTCTCACTGTACTTCAACCTGACCCGCCTAGTGTAGTAGAAACTAGTGCAAAAATTGTAGCAGTCAATATAACTCCGTTGGGTCATTATAATAGGCAAACTTCACCATCATGTCAAAGTGGTAGCTACTGTCAAGATTTATATTTGTCTTCAACTGGACAACTGTCGGATACTAACTCAATGGTCGAAAATCGTAATGTACTCACTGTAACCCCCAAGCAGAATCGTGATATGAACACTATTAAAGTTCTTCACACCAAGTTGGATATTTGTTCAATACTATTATGTTTCTATTATTTAAACTAACCAATGTATTATTGTAATATACAAATTGAATAACTTTCCAAGTTAATATTCTTGATTTATTGAGTATTTGGTTGTAAAATGCGTTGCTTAATCAAACTGATCAATTAGGTGTTGTGTGGGTGATAAAATATTGTGATTCATTGTTTTCCTTGTTTATTTATTTATTTGAATACATGAATATTGGTGCAAGGGGGGGCACCAGATACATATACTACGCCACACAATAATGAGAATGGGAAGAGATAAAGGATGTAAGGTGCGTGTAAAATGAAAAAAAGAACGATAACGACCACAAATTAGTGTATGGTAGTGAAATAGTAATAATAATGGGGGAAACAGGAAGGTACAACCAGAAAGAATTCTTCCAGTTGAAGAAGTTACGGTCACTTTTTATGAGGAAAGTAAAAGAAGGTTACAGCAGGATCGCCACTGGCTTCTATTCTGAGCCATATCTGATAATCTCATTAGCCACTGTGTTACACCATCTCTCGAACCTCAACCAAGGGATTCCTGAAGGACCTGGACACAGACTGGTAGATAGTCTGTTAAGTATTTGATATGTCATCTATATATTTCTTTATCCCTATTCTTATACTTGATTGTTGGCGAATACATGTACTGGTCAGTTGAACCACTTGTTTTTTATTCGAGCCCCTGGTATAATAGTGCTGGTCGAGCATCTAGTATAGAGTAGATAAATCGTTTACACATATAAATCGTTCATTATTCATTATATGTAATTTAATGTAGCCTGTTAGTGTTAAAGTAGCTTCCATAAAAATTCCATATAGGATTTTCATTATCTACCAGTTGTATTGTATTTTCCTATTTATCGATCGCATTAACTCTTAGTAAAACAAATTATGTCACTGTCTTGAATGATTCTGATTGAAATTATACCACTCATTAATCTTATCACATATAAGACTGTATGTAATAATGATGTTACCCTCTTGACATTCGAGATATCGAGATAGAGGTCAAATATATATATATATATATATATATATATATATATATATATATATATATATATATATATATATATTCAGTTTAATTATGCAGAAACATTTTAACATCTTACATTGGTTAATCTATTCATTTAATTGTGAAATACTACTCTCTAGACTACTAATGATTATTCAATTGTTTTGTTTTTATAATACAAAACTGAAAGAAAAAAATTTACTTGTGTTTATCCATATAGTACTTTGTAAATGTAATCTGAGTAAATGGTGAGTAATCAGTCGTTTGTTTAAAGAGAATTAGTTATTATTCAATATTTCTGCTAGCTGTATGAATTTAGTGCTGTAAATGAATATTTCATTTGTTAAATTTATATGATTAGTCTAAGTTGATTTTATAGTTCACTACATGCCTCTTAAAGCTAATGATCTTTCACCATACCCAGTGATTCAATAACCACAGAATCCTGGTGTTTATTGCTTCGTAAACACCTTATATCTTACGGTGTTTAATAAGAAGACAAATAGAGTAAACAGGCTTTTTCTTGAATTATTGTATTGTATTGTCACAATAAATAACGAAAAGAAAACAATTCGCTGAAGAATAGCTCTGAGTTCCACCCTTACTAAATATCTGATCCGATCTAATTAAACTTCAGTGGGTTTTTTAAAAAAAATTTCATTTTATCAAGTGTTCATTTATTTCTGATTGATGATCCACAACAAAGTTGATGTTCGACTGTGTTGCTTTCTAAATTTCGCTCTAATGTTTTTTTGGTGCAATTATATTTCATATCAACAACACGGACTAATGAGTATATTGGGGGTTTATTTATTTTATTTATCTAAACGCATAAACATTGGTACAACGAGGTACCAAATAGATATGTGTCACGTAAATCATTCGATTTGTGTGAGGGCCGGAATACTGTCCGGGTTCCCAAACCGGAGCAGGTGGTTTTCTTAGGGGGTCACACCCAGAACCTTCGACCTAAATGTCTGATCCACAAGGCAGTGGAGCAACGTAAAGAGATGCAGTCCCATGATAGCCGGTGACCAATAATTGGTTCACACGCCATTTGGTTTTGAATCAGAGTTTTCCGAATTCCCTAGATGAACTCTCACTGGATTATACTCCTTGAATAACATCTTCAAACCCTAATGTCTCCAATTACTGCTTATACTTTTACTACCTCTACCACTACGGGATTTGGATCGACGACTGGATCTCTGTGCTAATGTTGTATGGCAACTCGAACTGATGTACATACGTACGAAGTTCTACTTTGTTACTGACTGACTGAGATGGACTCTTCGTGTCCACGAACCTGGTTAAAACGCTGGAAATTCGCTTTTCGTCCTCTCAAATTCGTAAACAACACCCGTGGTGAAAAGAGGCAGTGAGTAGGATTTCGCTGGCAATGGTTGTATGCACGTAATGAAAACCCTAAATCTATTTTCTAATCCTAAACTTCAACTGTATGTCATAATTCCAATTCCTCGCATTGCTTTATAAACCTCATTTAGCCCTAGCAAGTAGGTGTGCATTCTCAAGGTCATTTTAGAGTCGCACAAAGGTCTTCCATAAACTAAAGTTTCACCAATTAATCACGACTCCTAATAGTGCACACAGATATACACACACAATGTCAGCGACCGAATGTAGGAAACTATGACACTAGTTCACTGTGAATTTTACACCAAGTGCTTAGTTGCTATATATATTTATACATTAGTCTAATTACGTAAGCAATCTAACTTACTATTTTCTTGACACTGTTGTACTACATGAATCATGTGTATTCATGTTATCCCGTTCAACATGTTTAACTTCTTGTCCTATTTTAAATGGTAATTATTCAACAAATCCATAAAGTTTATTCTATGTATATCATATTTTAAAGGTTACACACAAGTATATATATATATATATGTATGTCTATTTGTTTATCTATTTGTCAGTGTTCATTTCATCTTAATTCCTGAGTACAATGTTTTACTATGTAATACACATTATTATTCATTAGTTAATAATCAGAATTGATAATTATCAAGTTCAGTGCTGTTTTTTAATATTGTAAATCAATCGATCTGTTTGTACGTGTTGCTCTTACATCCGCTCACCCCCACCCCTACCCCTATACACCCACCCACCCACTCTGTGGTAATTAAATAAACAAACAGTTCTATGTGAATAATTTTCAATAACCTTGTATAACCTTTGTTTACCAAGAATGGTTTCCATCGTATTCTCTAAAACAGTGTGTGCATATATATATCAACAGATTAATGAATTTGGAATGATATTGCGTAATATTTGTTTTGTTTTTTTAATTATTGCATCTAAGTGTTCGTATAAGTTGATTGTTTATATAATTACTAGTGTTGATTTAGTACAAATGTCTGTTTTCTTTTCTCTTTTTTTGTGTTCAGTTCAACTTTGGCAATGATACCAATACATTTTATAATATTGTAACAACGTAGAACTTGATACGAACTGACTGACTGACTGACTGACTGTGTTCAGTTTTATTTTCGTGTAGTGGTTTTCAAATCTTTGTCCATCTTATATCTTATTAATTGATTAATCTTTACAATATTGTAAAATGTATTGGTATCATTGCCAAAGTTGAACTTGATAGTTAATAATCCATATTATATTTTTTGTTATATCCCAATGAATAGAAAAATTATATTTCTAACGTTTCGTGACTTAATGTAAGCCACTTCTTCAGTGTGAATGAATAACCGAATTTAAATTTACACAAGTTCCATACTAGGACGAAACAACAGTCTAATGCTTTCAGGATTTCAATGATGGTTTAACTTAGATCAACTCGTGAATTCAACAGTGTTAATTTAAATTCGGTTATTTATTTACTCCGAAGAAGTTTATTTATTTATTTTAACGCATAGATATTGATACAAAGTGGCATCGAATAGATTTGTGTGTGGGTTGTGTTACTGACCGGGTGCTCAAACCGAAACAGGTGGTTTTCTTAGGGGGCCACACCCCGAGCCTTCGATATGAAGGTCTGATCCACAAAACAGTGGAGCAACGTAAGGAGATGCAGTCCCATGGTAGCCAGTGACCAACAATTGGTTCATATGCCACTTGTTCCTTCAAGATACTGGAGCCCATGTTCACCATTGATTTGGAATGAGGGTTTTCCGACTCCCCTAGATGGACTGTCCATGTCCAGCAACTCGGTGTAAGCTCCAGACATTCGCTTTTCGTCCTCTCAATTTCGTAAACAACACCGTTGGTGCAAGAAAGCAGTGAATAGGACTTCCCTGAAAATGGTTGTATTTAAGTGGCCATGGGAGAGCGTTTGGAGAGAGAGAGCGGACTCCCGACTCTCAGCCGTACCAGGGCATTTGGTGGCACTCTGAAGAAGTGGCTTACATTAAGTCACGAAATGTCATAAATATAATTTTTCTGTTCATTGGGATATAAAAAATATATTTATTATTGTGAGGTTTAATTGGTATAAATTCAAATCAGTCAACTTTGGATAAAAAAAAAAGAAACTCGTTCATGTAGATCTCATTCGGTATTAAACCATATTGAGCACTAAATAAACATCAATTGATTCCGTTCAATTGTTGTAAAGGCTTATCCAGAGTACATTGCTCAAATAAATTAAGGAATATGATGTAATACTGCCTCGTAAAGTTTTCTACTGTGTTGCTCAATCTGCAATATGATCTAATAGTTCAATTTATCACTTCGTAATCAGATAAAAATTAGATATTAACGTTGGTATTTTTTAAATGTTATTTAAAACAATTAAAGTCTGTTAGAATCAGGTACCAAAATATTACATTTGCTACAGAAATGGATGGTAAAAGTATTTGGATGATACTGTTAAGTTAAAAATGCAATCAAGAAAAACTTTCAGTCAAGCTAGTTCCGATCACTTATTTAAAAATGAACCGTAACATGGCTACTACTCGGTTATAATGTAAATCACGTTTGATAACATCTCAGGCTACTAAATCACACCATGTTTAGGAATTCGATCAGGGAGTTATGATAGTTCAATAGATATCAGTCAGATAAAGCTTTCTTTCATATCCCCAGCGTCATGTCATAAAATGACTATCTGCAATCTTCTTCCGTCCACTGTTTGCAACTAATGCGCAATACACTAGCCATCGGGATCATATTTGTTAAACTTGACCAAGGCCCCGTAATGATAACTGAATTATCATCACTGTGCCCAATCACATATTGTCTGACATCAGGTTCACTAACATGGCACTGACATAGGTTGTGACCAATCCTCTGAAAGCGATCATGGAATATACATAGTTGCCGAGCCTATATATAAACATATTGTCTACAAGTTTTCTACATACATTTTAAATCTATTCTTTTTCACATAGAATCATACATCGGCTTAACAGAGATTGCGGCTCACAGTTTAAATTTGCCTTTTAACCAATGTTTTTCATAGTCAAATTTATTGATTCCTGTTTAGGGGTTTATTTAATTTATTGTGAAATATGTGCAAATCGGTTATAAATTGGATCACATCACTGTTGATATATAGATTGGGTTTTTTTTCAAGCCGAAAAACTGAGCTCGTAACAATTGATAGGATTGTATAACAATGATTCGAATATACACTTGTTTGTTTACTGAAATCTACTTGTGTAGAGATTGGTCAATCGATCAGTGAAACTTAACGTAGAACCAAGTATATTTGTGTATTGGTTCAAGCTGTCACACGAGATCATCACAGCCAGATAGAAGAATGATAGAAATAATAACACGGTTATTGCTAGTAGAAAAGATTAAGCATACACATTATAGTTCGGGAAGAAAACACAATCCCATCGAAATAAAGTATAAGATAACTTGGAAACAAAGAGTCAAAGGGTAGATAAAGAGTTGTTTTTTGTTGTTGTTGTTGTTGTTGTTGAAAACAATATGTATTTGCTCTAATGCGATCGATTCTGAATCATTCCATTCAATGTTCCCAACTGTTAGCTTCTACATGAATCAGATAATCTTCATGTAGACTGTGATAATTATTCAGTTCATGTATTCAAAAATGTAATACAATGTTAAATAATCCTATGTAGATTATAATGTTAATTGCATAGAACCTATCTTACTTCATTCTAGTTTGCACTACTTTGATGGTGCTAAAAAAGAATACTGTGAAATGAGACTGAGCATATATTGTGAACCATTAAAATTAAACAGTACATACTTTTTTATGGAAATGTTTACTAGTAACTGAAAATTAATCTTAACTTGTAAAATATCGTCGAATAAGCAATCTTATCTTATTATATTTGGTTTGAAAGAGATAAATTGTAAATGATATTGTCATAACTTGTGACCGCCGATTAGAGAGCAGTGACTTATCGATCGGATCAAAGACGCGTAAACCCGTATGAGCAGTCTAGAGTCTGGACTGGCCTTGCTTTCCGCCTAGCCCAGCCAGTTAAGTCCAGAACATCGGTCTCAGCCTCTGTAATATGGATCATGTATTTCAAACATACTCGGTTTATATACCAATCAAGCAGACTACATCGTACCATAAAATAGAAAATAACATTTGTACAATATTTGGCCAACAGGAAAATGACACGTGAAATAAATATTGACCAGTATGGAAACGACACATCAAATAATAGTTGACCAATAGGAAAATGATACCATTTCAAGTCCAAGGATAGCATTAGACTTAACCGGATAATTTTTGGGATATTTTTCTGAATATCCCAACAGATATAAACTCTCTCTCTCTTTTTATACAACAGAATGTTTTTAGCAACAGTTTATTTATTTTTTCATGTGTTTAAATTGTGGACTGTTGTTAGTTTGATTACCGTTAAATACCTTGAACATTGGACGGTTGTTTCGTCCTAATATTGGGCTCCTCAACAATGCGCATTCACAAACTGGCATTCGGATACTGAAATCAGAATTTTCGGTTTCTCATATATACGTTTATCCTATAAACAACTGAGTCGGTATACAACATTAGTAATATTTAACTTTAGTCAATCCACAATGTGTTTTTTTTAACCAAAAACTTATGGGTAAATGACAATATCAAAGCAAATCACTCACAATCTATTGCCGAATATAGACGGGTAAAACGTTTTGTCTTTAATCTCAGCAGTGAGAAAATTCATACCATTACATAAAGGTATAGTTTGTTTCTTTTAGTTGTTAAATACCATTGTCATTCTGCCTCATATCCATCTAAATTATTAATAAATATTTCTATTATCATTAGGGGTTTTGTGGAGATTTTAGAAATTTCACTAGTTGAAATCATGAGCCAATTGAAGCTAGACCACCATGGAAAACCTGGAAACGCTCGCGCGCGAGACTGATAGGTCTTGTGTTCGAATCTCGCGGAGGGCGGGATCGTGGATGTGCATTGTTGAGGAGTCCCATACTCGGATGAAATGGACATCCAGTGCTTCCAGGTTTTCCATGGTGGTCTAGCTTCGATTGATTCATGATTTCAACTAGTGAAATATTTCTATGGTTAGTTGTAATTTCTTCCGTTTGTAACTACAATTGTATTTATTCTATCCTAAACAAGTTACATTGTTTTTTTTCATTTTGTAAACAATAGACTTCTAAAAGTAAAAATGATATTATCTATCCAAGAAATAATAGTTTGGGTAATCTTCGTGATAATTATTCTTCTCGGGGAACACTGGATACCTCTAAATCTCATGATGATTTAAATGATGATTCTATTACATATTATTATCCTACATACAATACCGATATGGATTGTTCAAACAATACTATTAATATTAATAAATCATTTAGCTGTAATGCATCGTGTTTAATTCTTCCGATACCCGGTCTTATTTGGTGTTCAGAACAATTGCCTGCCAATTTCCCTAATTGGTTACCTCTTGGTTGTAATTCAAATCATAATAGTAACAGTACTCAAACATTAACTTCACGAATAACCAGTGGTAATAATAACAATAATACTAGTGGAATAAATCCTGATTGGATGGATCCTCATGTTTCTGGTCTATCTCAACAAATTTTATCAGATCTCAATGATTGTTATAAGTCGAATACATTAGATTTCCAAAGTAATACTACTACTAATAATAATAATGTAAATATGAATGATGAAGTTAGTAGTCGGTCGAAGTTTCGTTGTTTTCGTTTCGCTCATTTGACAGCTGGTGTCGAATTATTATTCGTATTTCCAGATGAGAATGCAGCAATGACTTGTTTAAAAATGTGTCAGGTAATTTTTTTTTTTTTTGTTTTTTATCATATATATTGACCTTCACAGTTCACTAATTTGGGTTTCAATTTGTATCATCTTGTGTGAATCTCCCGTTGAGATGATGTACTATTTCGTTAGAAAAATCTCAATTGAATATGAATAATGATCAATGAGATTAGATATAAAGTTTCATTGTTTACATCACAGATTGTTTCTAGTGATATATCAATTGAAAACCAGGAAACACTAGACGACTATTTCCTTATGGTATGGGACTTCACAGTAGTGCGCATCACTGACCTCGTTTGATATGGCCAGAGCTTAACGTTTAAACCACGTGGGTTTACATTTATGACCTTACTCATTTCATCACCTTGCGTAACCATTATCCAATTCCATTTTTGAGTAACTGCCTCCCATTCGACCTGCTTTAACTACTGTTATTACGGCTTCTCATTAAGACTCTATGCATTAATCTTTTCAAAATTAGTCACTAGTGAGTACACGATGATCATTACGATGAGGGGTTAGTGGTGGTTCTTCAATTTCATTATATAGATCACAGCATGATCTTGGACAACTATTTAAGTCCAGGAGAAACTTATCAGTATTCCTAACCCTAACTAGAGCAAATGATTTGTGTAGCAAGTTGAGTGGTTTTATACAGATTCGTGACAGTTTGAAATCCTAGTCAGTCATTACACTATTTGATGGTAGTCTTGCATAACATTAACTAATGATACTCATTTAATTGTATATCTGTTGTTCATATGAATTCGGAAACGCCATATACAAAAAGTGCTGATAAGACTTCTACTAACACCTAAATCTGTTAACCTAATCGATTGATTATGGGGCACATGATCTGGATCATAACAATGGAATGATGGCTTCGTGATTAATGCATTAGACTTTTAGCCACTAAGTTACAAGGTTGAACGTTGTTCCGCTTGCTTCTATCTAGGCAGCCAGATCGTATCACTAACCTCCACATTTATTGTTTATCTCAAAGCCAAGTACACGAATCTGTATCCGGTAATTGAGCTAGTGTTGGAGATACTAGATCCCTAGAAATCACCTGATAAACGTCTCATTTTTGTAATTTTATCGTAAAGAATTTAATTTTCTCATCCTCGCTCCAAAAGCGCCCACATTTACCTTCAATTTGTATTTCCCACTTGGAAGGACCTTAAATGTCATTAGTTTGTTTCCTCTTCTAGTACACGTTTCTGTACTGTATATATACGCATGAGTTGTATGGTTGTTCATTTGTGCTTCCGACTACTTGTGGAATACAGATTTCCCTCTGTTGAATCTGGTGATTTTCCTCTAGCTACCAATACTGGGGCGTAGTGGAATAGCTTGGCTTGTCCTGTTGTTGTGTTGATAACTTTCGATCCGTTCGCCAGTTTTAGATGAGATCGTAATCTTTTCAAACGTAACAGCCAATATTGAATTATATCATTATAGTTTAAAGTTAATAACCAGTAAACAGTTGCCAATCAATTTAGTAAACTAAAAACTCTGTGACACTATCGTACTAATTCAATTCTCAGGCGTAGTAAGGATATAATGATGTATATCTACCGATAATTTTAAAAATCACTTAACATGAACATTTTTAATTGAAAATAGTAATTAATTGATAAATTCACGGTTCGCATCCATGATCCTACACCCAGCGGGATTCGAACCCGGGACCTACTGTCTTCGCGCGCGAGCACTTAACCACTAGACCACTGAGCCGGCCCCCAACGGCGTTAATGTACAGTAGGTCCTGGGTTCGAATCCCGCTGGGTGCGGGGTCGTGGATGCGCACTGCTAAGGAGTCCCATACTAAGACGAAACGGCCGTCCAGTGCTTCCAGGTTTTCTATGGTGGTCTAGCTTCAATCGACTCATGATTTCAACTAGTGAGATTTCTAAAACTCTCCACAAAACCCATTCTGATAAAATTCACGGTTGTCAATCTTAAATGATGTTAGTTCAATTCAATTATCTGCCATTGAGCGTTATCACCTATCTTAAATATATATATATATATATATATATATATATATATATATATATATATATGTAAAAGAATAATCCTGTTACAAGTACACGTTTTATTTAGTCAATTTTTTGATTGCGTGATCTGATTGAAGTTAGACCACTGTTGGCAACTTTGGCAACATTAGACGGTCGTTTTGTTCTTGTACATGGAAGTTCTCAGACATTTGAGACATTCAAGATGCATATCTCCATCTTTTTTTTCTTTGTCAGCTTTCTGGTGGACGTGACTATGATTGTGTTGTTGAACAGTTAGGTCATCGTAATGCGTGTAAGTTGTTCATGTATTAATTTTTCAATAATTTTCATTTTCTAATTGATAATTCAAATGATTGTAAGATTGAGAAAAAATATGTGTAGTAGCCAAAGTTGTTATATAACACTAACTTGGCAAGATAAACGTAATATAATCAGTGGATGGATACAGAGGATCTATCTAGGGGAGTTGGAAAACCCTGATTTAAAATCAGTGGTGCACATGGGCTCCAGTATCCTGAGGGAACAAATAGCGTATGAACCTGTTTGCTGGACACTGGCTATTATGGGACTGCATCTCTTTACGTTGCTGCACTGTCTTGTGGATCAGACCTTTAAGCCAAATGCTCCGGGTGTGACCCCCTAAGAAAACTACCTGCTTCGATCTGGGCACCCGGCTAGTACCCTAACCCTCGCACAAATCGGATGACTTGTGTGGTGCATATCTGTTTGGTGCCCCTTTTTACTAATGATGATGTGTTTGAACAATGAATAAATAAAAATATGGTCAGTGACAAAAGAGTTGAAATTAATGTAGAAAGATTAAATATTGAGGATGTTTTTCGAGACGAGTGAATGAAAATGTATATATAAAGGGATAGTGAAACTAGATCTTGGAGTGTGATAAACAATGAATTTATATGTACCGTTGTAATTGATTATGAATAGTGTTTTGTTGTCTTCAATCACTGGTCTATGTTATTATGTAGACCTCAACAAGATAATATGCACTTACCAAGACGAAAGTCAGCGACTTCATGAACTGATGCCATGCCTTGATGTGGGCGCCTATAGTTATCTTCCATCCTTTATATCAGTTGGTGATAATTTGCAAAAAATAGTTACCGACTTTTCATCTTTGTCTAATGCCATAATTCTTGTCCTACTATTTCTCCCTTTGTTGCTGTGCAATGCCTGTGCGATACCTGATAGACATTTATGATTAAATAATCACAGGCCAAATATGAAATTTATTTCCATAGACCATGTCATTAAGTAATATAGAGAGTGACTGATGATCGTCATTCTCTCAGTTAACTACTTCACTCCCTATGTTCATTTCAAGAGTCGACTCAGACTATTCTTGAAGTAGCTTTTTACGCCTACAACAATGCATCAAAGCGACTTGGTTCTCTCTACCTCATTCTGGATACCGAGTAATTTTGCATGCTTATCCTTTAGATACTATAATATTAGTCAAATGATTTATCTTTGTTCATCAAAAGACCTTTAGCAACTGAGGTTCTTGCTAGTATCTCAGCCAATTTACCTGCTTAAAGAATTTCTTGTAACACAAAGTTTCGAGATTGAATCTCATATGGTTTATCTTCTGTACACACTATTGAAGTGTTTAACAGGTTATCTAAGATCAATCTATAATATGTAAACTATGAAAATTCAATAATTTCCACATACTGATCTCCTTATACTACTGATTGTTTAATAATCTGAATGTTATCTGTTTTTTTTTCTACAAGCTACATTAACAACATATCGTAAAAAATCCTCATCTAATCCATATGAATTATTTCTCCTCAAATTATCATCGATCTTATCTGAAATCCCAACAAAATTAAATCAAAGTTTGTCTCATGATTTTACAGTAAAAGGTAATAAATATCGTGTACCTCCTCTAGCAAACAATGATGATGACGATATGGATAATGATTACACCGGTGACAATAACCCTGACGATTTTGATAATTCAATGCATAGAGATGTTTTTATTCAACCAGGTATTACAAATTTTATAACTACTTGTAGCCCTTTCATCACCAATACCTATGGACCATATTGTTTAATGAAAGATAAAAGACGTCTACATCGACGTTATGTTATTCATCAGTCATCGACTGATTCAGACTATTCAAATGTTATAGCTGATGCTGAAGATGTGAATTCAATAAAATGTAATAAATCTGATGTTGCTAATAAATTTCGAACACGAACTCGAGAGAAAATTGATTTAGGTTGGTAATTTTATTATTGAATTTAAGTTTGTCTCTATTTGTTGTTGTTGTTGTTGTGAAAACAGATATTAGTTTGTGATTTGGTTACAAAATAGTAGATGGTCGACTCACCATTTCGTAAGACTATAATGAACAAAAACTCAGGTATTGTAGGCCACACTGTGCCTTTGAAAAATATAAAAATCATACATTAAATACATCATTTGTATATCTTCCTTGAGTTGTCCTTTACATACTCCATCATTATTTCAATCCTGTTGTTATTCTAATTGCCCTTCGTTTTCTTTCCTGTTCGTGACAAAATGCAGAGTCTTCTGGCCACTCTAAGCAACAATGTTAGCATGTTCGAAATGCAGTTCTCTTCATTCTCGAAATCAAAATGTTGCTTCAGGATCGGGTTGCATTGACACCCGAACCAATGATACGGAGTGAAGTAATTGAACGTGTCGACCGCTTCACTTATCTTGGAAGTTTCATCAGCCCTTGTGGTCTTGTATGTGACGAAATCTCAGCACGGATACAGAAGACTCGACTAGCTTGCTTTTGTTAACTTGCGTCATCTATGGCGTAGGTGAGATATCCGTCTATCAACCAAAGAACGTGTTTACTGCGCAGCAGTTCGTTCCATCCTACTTTATGGCAGTGAAACATGACCGGTAAGAGTAGAGGATATTCGTAGGCTACTAGTATTTGATCATAGGTGTCTTCGAAACATTGTTCGTATATCGTGGGACCATCGAGTAAGTAACTCAGTTGTTAGGAAACGGGTACTAGGTAAGGATGGCAAATCAATTGATGAAGTAGTGAAACTTCATCAGTTGAGATGGCTTGGACACGTGTTACGTATGCCCAACGATCGACTGCCCCGATGTGCGATGTTTTCTGGTGTAAAAGTAGGCTGGAAGAAAGCTAGTTGCGGCCGGACCAAAACATGGCACAAATCCATGAAGTTGCTGACAAATGGACCGAGCCATGTTGGTAGGTGTAGACTACCTGGTTGGGGACCGCGAGATGATAGCAACCGATGGTTAGAGATCCTGAATGACATGGCTCAAAATCGTTCGCAATGCTGAAGCTGCATCCACTCTTCGTGTTCTCCCAAATTCTAATCTTCTGAATTCTTCATGTCCCTTTCTTTTTTCTCTTTCCAAATTTATTTCACTGTATTATACTCCTTGAATAACATATTCAAACCCTAATTTTTCTGATTTCAGCTTATAATTTTACTACATCTAGCACTACAGAATTTGAATCGACCACTGCATCTCTGTACTAATGTGGTGTGGCAACTCAAACTGATGTACGTACGTACGAACTTCTACGTTGTTACTGACTGACTGACTGACTTTCCTGTTCTCTTTATTTCCATCTTCTTCATTCTATACATTTATGTAAGCATATCAACATTGATACAATGAGGCACCGAATATATGTACGCCGCACAAATCATTCGATTGCTGTGAGAGCTGGAATATTGTCCGGTTGCCCGAACTAAACCGGATGGTTTTCTTACATTGGCACTCCCAGAGCCTTTCACTTAGAGGTAGAGGTCTAACCCACGAGGCAGTAGAACAACGGTAGGAGATGTAGTCCAATAATAGCCAGTCGCCAACAATATGTTCAAACACCATTCGTTCCCTTAGGATCATGGAGCCCATGTACACTATTGGCTTGGAATCAGGGTTTTCCAACTCCCCTAGGTGGATCCTCCATCATACCTATCAGCTCGGATTAATCTCCTACCGGACATTCGATTTTCGTCCTCTTAATTTCGTAAACAACACTTGTGGTATGAGAAGCCAATGGGTAGAACTTCCTTGATAGTGTCTGTATACATGTGTTCATGTGGAAGCATTTATAGATGAAGAGCTTACTCTTTCCACTCTCGAACGTACTGGGTCATTTGGGGGTACTAAACACAATCGTGCATTGATGGAGTTTAAAAGAATTTTTTGTAATAGTGGCCTTATATCTCTTTTTACTTTGACATTTTCAAAAAGTGCCCAGTAGGATCAATTTCTCATTTATACTGATATTTTTTTGCATTTATTCGAATAAAAGTTTTAAATAATTCTCGACTTTTCTTATCTGTAGATGGTATTCGATCGGACAACACTGAGACAATAATAAACGATATCTCCAATAATAATAACAGTAATAATCAGACAACGTCTGATGTAACTCCTAGTAATATTAACAACATCGTTGACGATAAATCACATTCAACTAGTTTAATTCGTACAAATAAAATACTACGCGGATTCAAACAATGGCTTCAACGTCCTGTTGGTGTAAATAATAATAATATTAATAGCAATAATAATGCCAGTAGTACCAGTAATAGTATTAGTTCTAATGGTCCCTCAGTTGGTTCAATTAATTTCTCAACTGCAAATAATCCAACCAGTACAATGAACAACATTGTCACCTCTGCCACTGGTTATTTTAGTGGTAGCTGTGGAAGTACCACCACCAGTAGTGTAAATTATCATAATGTAAACAGTAATAACAATTGGGATATATCTTCTACCGTGGATGTTTCACATTCGGAATCTCCAAATAATGAACATAAATTCAGCTCACTAATGACAGGTATGTATACATATGTATATAGATATACAGTTTGTGTGTGTGTGTACATATATACCCGTTTTTATGTACACATACATAAGAACGGTGACTTTATTTACAATAATTTTACTAAACTTGCCATCTTGCTTTTCTTCCCAGTTTGTATGACGTACTGACTGTAGTTAGATCACTACTGAAAACCAGGAAACACTGCATAGCTGTTTCATTCTAGTATTGAATTTTTCATCAGTGCACATGTACGGCCACACAAACGGGACTCGAACCCAGATATCTCATCTAAATACTAAGCCTCTAAACCATGCAATGGTGTACATATCTTATTTCACTTAATTCGCGATATCACACAACCACCTTCTGTTGCATTGTCTAAGACAAAATAACTTCCTCATACCCAACATGGTTGGACTTGGCTAGTTGCACCCTCTTACTAGAACTCCTGGAATTACATCTAGAAATAAAAGGTCACCAGTAAGCATAGAATTATTTTTAGTATGTCGAGGGGGACGGGAGCAGGTTTGTAGAGATTGTTAAATTTAGATAGTTTACATTTATGACTATGTTAAACTGAAAATTTTGTTTCTTTGTTTCTTTCTAATCGTCGCCGTTATTGTGGTCACACTAATATTTCTAATCTACTATTTGGTGGTTGCTGAATTTTAGGCGCATTATGGTTGATCGTTATTGAGAGCGTGCGTGAGTCAGTGATCGACATTGAGTGAATCATAAAAGTTATATTTGTCATTCAGAAATACAATAGACTGTTTTCATGATTTATCCGTTAAAAATTATAGCAATACAAACAAATTGAATTTGTTAATCTGTGGAGGGAGTCATCTCTCCCGCTCTAAACGCTCTCATATGACCACTGTCAAGAAAGTTTTACTCACTGGCTTCTCACACCACGAGTGTTGTGTATGAAATTAAGAGGACGAAAAGCGAATATCTGGTCGGGGCCTAAACCTATATGATAGGTATGACGGAGGATCCACCTAGGGGAGTTGGGAAATTCTGACTCCAAACCATTAGTGCACATGGCCGATATTTTAACTGGTGTAAAAGTGAGTTAGAAGAAAAATAGGAACTACCAAATCAAAGCATCGCATCATTTTTCCAAGTTCTTGAATTTTCGTTTCAGCTCAATGTTGGTAGCTACGAACTACTGGCTGGTTTAAAGTGCTGAGTGACTTGGTTTGTAATCTGTCACAAAGTCGTAGATGCATTCAACTTTCATCGTCTTCTAAATCCTTGAGTTGTAGTGTTCGTCCATATATACCTTTTCGAAATATATTCTCAACATTTGTCTATCTTACTAACGTTATTAACCCTACATGTGTTTCAAATCCTTTGCCATTCATTAGGTGAATGATATTTCGTGGTTGGATGATGTAGTTAGAATGACACATCTTTAGGTCAAGTTCTTCATTGATTACAACTGACTATTTACCTAAAAACGTTTTCTTTTACCTCAGACTACCTAGTCATAGTCAATAGTTAGGGACTTGGGATGACATGGGTCAAAATCGTTCACAGTAACGGGGGTGTATTCTTTCAGATCCTATATTTTCTTCACGAATAGTATCTTCGATGTTTAATCTTTTCTATTTTCATTCATACTGTTTCTACCTCTGTTACCCCGGAATTTACCCTAATAATTTCTTCTCACTATGCAAATGGGACGTTTCAAATCTTGGACTGATTTACATTGCATTTGACTGACTTTATTTTACTGCATTAATTTTTACTAATCCTCATAAATGCATAACACATTTTGCTTGTAATTCATTGAAATTAACTAAGCACTCTTTTTATGTCACTATTCCATTAGACATTGTTCAATAGTACGTTAATCATGTTTATTTTATTGCCTTAGAAATAATAATTCTGTACTTATACAACTTGATAAGCTGAATTATTTTGTATTTGTAGTTTTCCTCATTATCTACCACTAAATTTGCCACTATCCTGTTCAACTTTTTTTTTTTTAAAAAAAAGAAAATATTGTAGCATTGATACTGAATGATGATACCTATTCCGATCAAAGACTGATCCAGTGTTTAATCAATATTTATTAGTTCCAATGGATACATTTCATGTTTTTTTTCTTTCAGTACACATGTGTTCTATTTATATAGATATACTTTTTTTGTATATGGAAAATAACAAATAAGTTATGATACTAGACCATACACTACCTTTTTTCTTCATGCGTGTATCTGTGTGTGACTTGTTTCAACGATGAATGTGTAACTGATTTTTTTTGTCTCTTCATACCTCATTTTGTTGTTATCGCTGAACAGAAGGCATTTTTTTTCTTGGCAGGATTAATAATTCGTAGTTTTTCTGTGATTGTAAAACTTGTAGTGTATGTGTGTGTGACTAGTTGATAGGCTATTTTATCAATATCACAAGTTCCTACTACTACTTATCCACGCTTGATTATAAAGATGCTTAGTCGATATTACCAGAGCAAGATTCACCAATCAGAATCCCAGATTCAAAATACTCTATTCTAAGCATAATACTTTATATATGGTCTAACGTACTAATTTTTCACTAATGACACCCTGCTGAGATAACTCCACTTCTATTGGTTTGGAACACAGTTTTTTCCTCTCTCTCTCTCTCTCTCTCCAGTAGTAGATAAGCTCTTTTATATTTTTCACGCACTCATAGGTTTATATACATAACTTATCAGACTACGATACACCCCAAGTTAGGTATCACACTTCACATACAATCAAGCCATACATGATGGAGAATGGAACAAAAGTTGGAAAATTAATTAACGTTTAACAATTGTTAATTGATTGGGATCATAAATCGACCAATGGTAGGCTGCCATTGAGAACCTGGAGGCACAGTAAGGTCATTGAATGCCGGTTCAATGGTTCAATGATGGTATAACATTGATCGATTTATGAACTCAATCAAAAGTCATCAATCTCCACAACTCTATACTGATAATGCTTTTGGTTTCAGGTTTCAAACCATTAAGTCGGCTATGTGATGAGGACGAATGTTACTTCCCGTTGTTATTGGTTTAAGGTTGCTTTGTATATGACAGGTTTATCAAATTTGAGTACATGGATTTTCGGTTCAATGGTTGTATGGTTATGTTGAAGTTTAACTTTTTGGATTCGTATATCCAATCTGTTACCGTATGTGTATAGTAGTCTCAGACTAGTTCAACAAAATAGTTTCAGTATATTTAATATGTGATTAATAGTGGAAACAAGTTCCTAACGGGTTTCGTCAACTGAGTGTACTTGTATTAATGTAAGTGTTTACGAATGTTACTTCCCGTTGTTATTGGTTTAAGGTTGCTTTGTATATGACAGGTTTATCAAATTTGAGTACATGGATTTTCGGTTCAATGGTTGTATGGTTATGTTGAAGTTTAACTTTTTGGATTCGTATATCCAATCTGTTACCGTATGTGTATAGTAGTCTCAGACTAGTTCAACAAAATAGTTTCAGTATATTTAATATGTGATTAATAGTGGAAACAAGTTCCTAACGGGTTTCGTCAACTGAGTGTACTTGTATTAATGTAAGTGTTTACGAATGTTACTTCCCGTTGTTATTGGTTTAAGGTTGCTTTGTATATGACAGGTTTATCAAATTTGAGTACATGGATTTTCGGTTCAATGGTTGTATGGTTATGTTGAAGTTTAACTTTTTGGATTCGTATATCCAATCTGTTACCGTATGTGTATAGTAGTCTCAGACTAGTTCAACAAAATAGTTTCAGTATATTTAATATGTGATTAATAGTGGAAACAAGTTCCTAACGGGTTTCGTCAACTGAGTGTACTTGTATTAATGTAAGTGTTTACATTAAGACTCATACTCAACAATTTACGCTTTAAGCACAAATATATTATCTACTGAACTATCAAGCACTAACCAGTAACTTGTTCAATAAATATGAAGGTGTTATTCTGAACCTCCAATTCCCTGTTATTATTATTTGTAACTGTAATTGATCAGTCTATGTTGATATATACCCATCTTGAAAAAGTTGATTCGATATTGTTATTCAATTACAAGTTTACATTAAAGTCGATTAATAGCTAAATATAAATACCAACATTACTTACTTACGACTGTTACTCCCAATGGAGCATAGGCCGCCGACCAGCATTCTCCAACCCACTCTGTCCTGGGCCTTCTTTTCTAGTTCCATCCAATTCTTGTTCATTTTTCTCATGTTTATCTCCATTTCCCGGCGTAATGTGTTCTTTGGTCTTCCTCTTTTCCTTTGGTTTTGAGGATTCTATGTGAGGGCTTGCCTTGTGACACAGTTTGTTGCTTTCCTCACTGTGTCTCCTATCCACTTCCAGCGCTTCTTTCTGATTTCTACCTCTTCTGAGATCTGGTTTGTTCTCTCCCACAGTAGGTTGTTGCTAATAGTGTCCGACCAACGGGTCCGAAGTATTTTACGTAGACAACTGTTAATAAACACTTGTATCTTCTGGATGATGGCTTTCGTAGTTTTCCATGTTTCCGCCTCATACAGTAGAACTGTCTAGACATTTGAATACCAACATACATCTTAATTCTTAGTTCTTTAACTAATTTCATTGTTGATGAGAATTACCGTGAAAAAAGACTTTTTCACTATTGTTCATCATAATTGTTGATCTTTCTTTTTCTTCTTCTTTGACTTTCTTGTCATGTGGGAAATGTTCATGGTTATTACATTTGAAAAGAAAATTTCTATGTAATCTTAATTATACAAGTTATTTATATCTTGATGTATATCATTATATCACAGCATGATATTCTAATTGTATTTGTTTTTCACTTAGAAACAACCTCATGATTTTAAGTGATCTGTCGTTTTTTCCCCACACTTGTTTCTATGAATGAAAATGTTTTTTTTCTTAAAAACTGTTTACTTCATTATTACTATTATCATTCTCTTGTGAATGTTTTTTTTCTTTGTATCTTAGTTGTTGATCCTCCAAATATGACTGATTTAGATAGCCCTGGTCCTGTATTCGGTGCTTCATTAGAATCTCAATTAGAAAGTCCTGATTATCCAGTAAGTTTTTTTTTATTAGTTATCATTAGTATTAAGTTTGTGCGTATGGTTGTATATTACCTGGTCGCATAAACTGAAATAGATAGTGTTCTGAGGTATAGCTGCTCTTGCAACCTTTCATCGAAAGGTCGGATCCAAAAGTTAGTGGGACAACGGTTGGCGATACAATCTCATAATGATGAACAGTGAATAAAATAGATTCACCTTATCAATTGTTCCTTCGTTGTCTTGTATTTCATTTGTCTCATTGGTTTAGAATATGAGTCTCCCAACTCCTTTGGACGGATCCTTTCTATCCACCAGTTTTGCTTAGGCGCCGCAGTTCGTTATTTGTGCTTTCATTTTCTTAAAAACACAACTTCTATATAATGACATTGAGTAGAACTTCCCTAGTAAGAGCTATAGACATACAATCTTCGTAAACTATTGGAGAATGAGAATTATCTTTAACAGACAAAGTTTACAAAATTTCTTTAATAATAATAAATAACGTTTTCAATTCTTATTCATATGTCCTCTCCATCGTTTTCGGATTCAATCAAGATTCATGTATACTTACCGGTCAATAATATTTTCAACAAAAGTCCATTTATGTGCACCATCAGTCGATGGGAATTTCAATACGAACAAGCAAAAGTCAACAATTCCAGTATTCCAACTTTAATAATAGATATATTGCACTGCTTTTTTAAATAAAACTTAGTGTTTTTAAAAACATTTGTTCCTTTATATCATAGTAAGTATTATCAGTCAGTCAGTCGGCTACGATGTAGGACTAGGCACATATATCCGCCGGTCCAAGTTGCCACACCTCATTAGCACAACAGGATGAACACTAATTGCATAGAAGCAGTATAAGGATATAGTAGAGGAAGAAAGAATTAGTTCGTAGAAAGATATAAAGCGATTTTAATCTCACTGTTTAAGGGAAGACAATTAGTGTATACAATTACACCATTGTGACCGATTCTGAGTCATGTCACCCAGATTCTCCAACCATTGGTTACGATAGTCACGCAGACCACAACCAAGTAGTCTGCATCTCCCAACATGGCTCAGACTAGAAGTTAGTGACTTCAAGGACTAGTGCCACGTATTATCAAGTAATGAAAATGCCAAGAAAACGTAATCAACATTCTTTGTTTTTTCTTCATATATTTTTTTAGTGCGTTCCAGTCCTGTTACAAGCTATTGTCATAGCCTTAGAGATACATGGACTTAATTTACCTGGTCTGTATAGAAAACCTGGTCGACATCGTACAATTGCGCAATTTGTCTCTTCAGTAAACCTGGTACGTGTCACCCTTATTATTATCATTATATATTTCTGTATTCTACTTTTAAATTGGATCATTTTTTTCTTGAAGAAATGAATCTGTTATGATTCTGGTAGAGAATGGTTAGTTCTGATTTGCTGAACCAATTTTAATTATAGGAAGCATTCTATATTTCTGTTTTCTGGTAGATTTTACAATATAATGATGTTGTCTACGCTACTTTGATCAGTTAGTCTCTTATTATCATGTATGAAATGAAAGAAAATAACATCTAGGCCAATATTGTTAATCAGAATATGGTGTGACTAACGAAAATTGTCATTTATTCAAATGAATATTATAGAATGCTGAACGTTTGATACTATGTAGCCGAGTTGAGCCGACTTATCAAGAGACTAATTTATTCACTTAATCTCTCAATGAGATCTTATCAAGGATCATGACCATTATTAGCCTAGTAGATTAAACTAATTTTTTCTTAGAGAAATCTAAAGATAATTAGATATCATAGACAAGCGCATAATAACAACTCTGTCGATTGCTCAGTAATATCTATCCTATCAGAATATTTTCTAGCATTAATGTTGTAAAGTTATGTAATACCATTGGTAAATAGTAATTAATATGTATGAAATGAAAGGCTTTTGGATAATAATTTCATATTGGAGTGATTTGAACTGTCACATGTGACAATCGCCAATATCCGTAGTGAAATTTATCGGCAGAAATTGAACCCACAAATGCACTGGTGTAGTTGGTGTTGGGGTTAGTCCACTCTCCTCCCTCTTCGAATATTCTCATATGGTTATGTGTATAAAGCCACTACCAGGGATGTCCCACTCATCGCCTTTTCGTGGCTGTGATGTTGTTTGCCTGATGGAGTTGACGAAAACAGAATATTCCGCGGGAACGTAGACAGGGTTTGTGTGTACGGAGGATCTACCTAGAGGGAGTTAGAAAATTCTGATTGCAGACCAATTTTGCACTTGTGCTCCAGGTACTGAAGTTTTATTTTCATCCTCACTTCCATAGCATTTTATAAATTCATGGGGCTGGTAAAGCCTTTCAAAAGAGAGGGAGAGAGATATGGTTCACTCAATTCTCAGTCTTACCATAGGATTTGTGAGCCTACTATATGCTAGTAGAGTTGATTGGTCTTATATTTTTCTCCTATAGTCATCCATTTCATAGTTTGGTGAAAGAAACTTCGAAGTACATTTTTTAAAAATGTATACGTTTCTTCCGTTTCACAATTCCCTAAAGATTTGAATTAAGCCATTGTTTCGACGATTTAGATGACTTCTAGTTTATCAGGCAACATTTTTATAATCTATCCTAATTAATATTTCCCATCTGGATTGTTCGGTTACAATAATAGTATGTATATTATGTAGGTTTTTTCATAACAACTCGTTGATTCCTATTATATTGTACTCAAAAGTTCAAATCTCGTTCAATCTTGGGTGTCTTCTGTTATTTGTAGACTTTATCACAAATAAGATTATTTCAAGTTATGAATAAATTTCTTCTCACTTTGTGTAGCATCAGTGCTTGAAGTCACTGACTTCTAGTCTGAGCCATGTTAGGAAATGCAGACTACTTGGTTGGGGTCCGCGTGAATATCGTAACCAATGGTTGGAGAATCTGGGTGACATGACTCAGAATCGATCACAATGGTGTAGGTGTAGGTGTATACACTCTCTGTCTTCCCTTAAACCGTGATATTAAAATCGCTTCATATGTTTCTTTCTACGAACTACTTCTTTCTTCCTCTGTTATATCCTTATACACAATCTTTCTTTTATACATTACTATCATTGAAGTGACTACTTCTATGCAATTGGTGTTCATCCTGTTGTGCTAATGAGGTGTGGCAACTTGAACCGGTGGATGTATGTGCCTAGTCCTACGTTGTTACTGATTGACTGTGTATTTGTATGCAATTTTTAGTTTAAAAGACATTCTTGTATGAAATACACTTTTTTTAAGATTAACTATTCTCTTCTTCAATCGATAATTCTTTCTGTTCGAATTATAAGACTTATAAAGAGTCTGATTCATATACTAAAGTTATTTGATGATCAAATGCTTGTCTATAATTTAATAGAAATAACACCAATAAGGTTCTGTTTATTTATTTTCAAAACATCCTGCTTTATTAACAATGAATTCAATCTCTTTTATATATATAATAACCTACCACTAGTAACCTTTTTGTTTTGCTAGTTGTTCATATATATTACTTCATTATACATGTCTGCTGTTACATCAGAAAATTTCCATTTTTTCATCTTTTCAATAAAGCATCCTGAAGATATTGATTTGATGTTTAGTTTGGATGCTTGGCGTGAACCTAATGCATTATGCGGTTTATTTAAACATTTTCTTCGACGATTACCTGTTGGATTATTTTCTTTATGTGAGTGTGATTATTTAAATGTTTTTTTTTCGTGGAATTAAATTGATGTTTTCTTTTTGATTTTTTTTTACAAATGTTCCTACCGGACCGCTTAAATGACCGAGGGTTGGTAAAGCCACTTTATTATAGTCATACCCATAGAAGTTCTCACTATCTCCATGTATGGATAGTATTTTTACGAAAAGTGAACGTGTGGTTGTTTTATTGGTGTTGTAGATATGAGGCGTTCACATATGGGAGTTAGAAAACTCTGCTTCTAAACTAATAATGTACATGCACTCCAGAATCCTGAGGGGTTGAATGGCGTATGACCCTATTTTCGACTTTTAGTTACCAAAGCACTATCTCTTTACGTTGTTATACTCTTGTAGACCTTTAGGTTAAAAGGTCAGGAGGAGTGGCTATACCTAAGAAAGTCACTTGGCACTATTTGAGTTACCGGGAGGTATTCCAGTTCTCACATAAATATAATTATTTAGTGTGGCATATATTACGTTTTGGTACCCAATTACCTCAGATTTTATGTGAATTAAATAAATGAAAATCTAAAGCGTGTTAAGCAAATGAAATTTGCTAGAGTCGTTACGTATCAACCAGTGTTTAATGCAATCCATCCTTTATGCTTAGTGTATATAACGTTGAGAGTTTACGAGTCACGAATGCATGAAATAAAACAACTAATAATAAATTAAATATATTTGAATCGAATTAATGATTTAGAAACTGGGAAGGAAGAGTATGATGAACACATATTGTACTTGAAGAGAATGATTCTAGTAGAGTTTTTGTTCTCTCTGAAGTTGGGCAATCTAATCATGAAAACTCTATTAATTTTCTAAATGAAATCACCAGCTCCATCCTTTCTGAAGTTTCTACAAATGATATTTACATAGATCATGAAAGTTTCACAGTTAAGCCTTCCATCCATGATCACCACACAACTCTAACAGAAGAATAAATTGGTTTCACTTTAATCAATAATTGAATGAACTAATTTATGTCTTAGCATTTTTAATTTCTAAAATTGTTTCATTTGTCTAATTATTGGTAACTTAGTAATATTGTAATGAATGAAAACTTTGTGAGGAAAACCAATTTATTTTATATAATGCAAAATTATACTGTATTTGTAAAGTATGGAAGCAATACATTAAACACACTATTTGTCCATCTTCCTTTAGTTAACCTTTTTAGTGTCTAAAATTCTTTCAATCCTGTTGTTTTTTGCGATTACTCTTTGCTTTATTTCTTGTTCTCTTCAACAGTCCCATTTCCTATTCCTGTTAATATATACTACTTATATCTGTCTGTTTAAGTAGCACACAGCACAATACAAAAAATTAACTTTAATTACTTGATTATAATAGCTAACTTTAGTTGGAATACTTGTTTGATAAATTCAGACTGCCTTATTTAGTTAGGCGAGGTAATTTCTGTCAGTGGTTAAATATGTTGTATGAAAATATAATGATTAGAACTAGTTCAGATAGCACACATCCATTCATGCTTCATCTTCCAACTTGTGAGTTTCTACATTATTTCATACATATTAATCCTCTTATTTCACTCTTTTCTTTTTAAAACTACGTTCTGTATGTTCAGTTTTCACTACTATCATTAGTACTATTAAATTATTTCAAATTCTTTGCTAATTTGACCTCATTGTTCTACTATGGTTAAACCTAATTAAACTGATTCATAGGTGTACCAAGTCTTAGGATGATTATGAAAGAATGAATGAATAGAACATCAGAGTGGGTATCATAAAGTCCTCAAACATTTATTATTATTTTTTAGTCTGGATACTGGGTACAATTTCATGGATCATTTGATCTTTTGCCTACTTTAACCTTGGCATAAATTGTTGTAGTTTGCAATGTGATATTGGTTTATTAAGTTAAATTATATATAGTCTGAGAAGAGAATTTCTCAGTAGTTAGACTCAGATTATACAGTTATTGTAAATCATGAAGCATTGAACAGCTGTTTACTCCTAATATAGGGCTTGTCAATAATATACATACAGGATTCTACCATGAATCTTCCGTTTCACATGAGTATCCTTAATTTCTTGGTAACTAAGCTAGTATTTGAATTCCCCTTTATTTCATCAACAGTTATTTTGAGGTATATCTTCTTGTAGTCGATTAATTATCGTAACTATTTATACAGGATAATATTCCAATGTACTGTTATTGATTAACATATTGTATTTTATTGAAATGAACTATTATGCTTGTATACACTTTTCAGATGACAATAAACAGATTTACATGTTTTTTGTTGTTGTTTATGATTAGTTTTTAACTGTCATACAACTTCTTAAGTCCTTATGATCTTTATCAACAACCAATTGTTATCACATGGTTCATTATGTTGTTATGATGTGTAATTTCTATAACAGAAACAAACAAGATCATTTATAGCACTAAAATGTCAATGTGCTATTTTTTTGTTTTCGTTGTTGTTGTTGTTGTTGTTGTTGTTGAAAAACTTCATTCCGTTTACTGGAAACTTCTAACTTTCTTTTTCTTGGCAACATTAAAGTAATTCGTTTCCTTTTTTTCTCAAAGTCAAACAGAGTTGGAAAAACAACAAGAATCTAGATTGCTAGATGTATTAATAAAAATATATATATTAAGCATAAATCAATATAATTTGAGAACAGAGAGTCAGTTAGTACAATGAAAGAAACATATGATAACTTTTAAGCTCAAGATCTATGAGGTATACAATGATTGAATGTGTCGTTGCCTTTAAAACTAATTCCTGTTTATTTGAACACGACGGGGCACCAAATACATATAAAGCTACACAATAACAGTGAGGCCAGTAGTAGATATCATTGATTTATGTAAGGGCTGTGATACTGTTTGAGTGCCCAAATCGAAGCAGGTGATTTTCTTAGGTGGCTGCACCCCAATCCTTCGATCTAATAGTCTAATCCACATGACTGTGAAACTACGTTAGGAGAAGCAGTCCCATAGAAGCCGGTCATCAACAATAAGTTCAAACACCATTCGTTCCCTCAGGATCATAGTGCCCATGTACACTATTGGCTTGGAATCGGGGTTTACTAACTCCCCTATGTGGATCCTCCGTCATACCTATCAATTCGTTTTAGGCCCCGGCCAGATATTCGATCTCTGTCCTCTCAGTTTCCTAAACAACACTCGTGGTGTGAGAAGTCAGTGAGTAGGACTTCTTTGACAGAATCTGTATACACGTATTCATGTGGAAGTATTTGTAGATGGAGAGCTGACTCTCCTCACTCTCAGCTGTACCAAGACATTTGCGGACAAGACTGATTCTGACTCATGTTACTTGGCAGTTTTCCAAATTTGTTTTTGTTTGGGATCATGAACCGGTTGATGTTAGACCACCATGAAAAACCTGGAAGCACTGGACACCAGCTTCGTCCCATTGTGGGAGTCCTCAGCTGTGCGCATGCACGATTTCGCTCGCGGGGTTCCAACCCAGGGCCTTCGGTCTCGCGCGCGACCACTGACTCAGCATCCAATGGTGTCCGGTAGAGACTGGTACCTACCTTAGTACAATAGAAGATGGTCGCGCAATTTCGTGGTTGAGGTTAGACACTAACACTGTTGGATGCCGGCTCAGTAGTCTAGATGCTAAGCGTTCGCGTGCGAGACTGAAGGACCTGGATCGGAACTCCGCGAGCGAGATCGTGGATGCGCACTGCTGAGGAGTCCCACAATAACATGGAACGGCCGTTTATTGCTTCCTGGTTTTACATGGTCGTCTAGCTTCAATTGACTCATGATCTCAACTATTAAAATTATCTGATTATAGATCCATTTTTTTTACAGTCAATCTAACATCACGATAGCGCCCAAATGGTAGAAATTGGCATGAGCCACTCTGGCTTTCACTATACATGAGTTGGCCTCATCTTTCATGCCATCATCGGCACTTACACAGATACCTAGATAAACGAATTTCTCGACTATATCTGTCTACTCACTGCCCGCAGTATGTGCATGTTCAGGTTCCTATCAGCCTTGTAAAAGTACTTTTCACTTAGAAGATGCAAGGCACATAATATACTTACAGATACTGAGTCGTGTTTGTTGATACAGTTTATTGAGTTTAGATCGTTATGATCATTAAGTGATTAAAAACTTTGTGTGTAATGTTTCAAAATCAATTCAAATGGTAGATACATACACTTTTTTTTTTAAAATACCTTCCTCTAAATCTTCATTCTCATTATCCTTTCAAGCATATTATTTCATTTCATCTTCTCAAACTATATTTTCAATATTCAACATTTCTCATTAATGATTATTTTAATCAATTAACATTTGGATACCAATCTTTGCATTGATTATCACTAAGTGATTTACTTCATAACCATTTTATTAATTATCAAATAAAACATGTTTTAACATGGTTATATTACAATATTATTGAATTCAATTACTAATTCAAATGACATGTATTATGTCATACTTTAAGATAACAATGCGGGTTAATCTGGTTTTCTTTAATCTGATTCGTATCATTTTAGTTCATTCAGTAATAATAATAATAATAATAATAATAATAATAATAATAATAATAATAATAATAATAATAATAATAATAATAATAATCTTGTATCCATGTGTACATGTATAATGTGTCTATTTACCGAGTTCTCTAACGTATATTGTGTATTACTACTACTAGTACTACTACTATTACTACTATTATATTATTGTTTGAAGAAAATAACCATATATAGTTATTTGTTATGTACACATACATTCTACATTCTTATGTTACATAGTTAGTTAGTATATAATTAAGAAAAACAGATGAGCATGAAATTGAAAGGCTAGATGACTTCCAGAATTGATTAGTGAATTTATATTGATTGTTCTCTTCATTTAAGTTGATTTACATTAATGTATAGTTTCATGAGATCATGTGAATTAAATAAGTAATTTCATTAATCACTTCCATTAGTTTAAAAACTATCATCCGATATGTTTGATTAGTGTTACTACAAAATTTTGACGTGTATATGTATATGTTTAAACTTTCTTGATTTCCTCTCGACTTATACCGCCCCCAAATGCCCCGGTATGGCCGAGAGTGGGAAGAGTCCTCCCTCCCTCTCGAAATGTTCTCACACGGCCACGCGTATACAGCCTCTGCCAGGGAAGTCCTACTCACTGCCTTCTCGTGGCGGGAGTGTTGTTTACGAAAATGAGAGGACGAAAAGCGAATGTCCGGCGCTTTAACCGGATCCCAAACAAAATCAATGGTGCACATGGGCTCCAGTATCCTGCGGGAACAAATGGCGTATGAGCTAATCGTTGGTCACTGGCTTCCATGTGACTGCATCTCCTTACGATGCTCCACCGCCTTGTGGATCAGACCTTTAGGTCAAAGGCTTGGGGTGTGGCCCCCTAAGATAACCACCAGCTTCGGTTTGGGCACCCGGGCAGCCCACACACACAAATATGGTGTGGCGCATATATATCTGGTGTCCTCTTGTACCAATATTTATGTGTTCAAATAAATAATAATAAATATACCGTTTTCGATACACGCAAAATATTCAAATTTTCTTGAAAAGTCACTGAAGCTCTATGTGATTCACAGTTTTTGAGTTTGTAAAACTTGTAGTTTTTACGATTTCTCAGGTTCAAATTCATGTATTTGGTTTTGTTTAACATTCTGAGCAACACTGTTTGTTTACATAAACCGAAGTATAGGAAGTATAGTTTGTATCTGAGATTAAGTAGCTAGAGGTTTAGCGCGTTAACTACGATTAGTTTATGAGTTGTGAATTTCTTTGTTCCTTGTTTTTGTGCAATACAACACCTTGAATGTACATCAAGTTGAATTGGAATTAGTGTGTTTAATTAACCAACTGACTATAATAATTATTGTCACAAATACACAGTTATATAAAATTTTTATTTTCATCTAACAAACTACATCATTTATAAAGGCAATTGTAAGGATCTACTTTCTGTATGATTGAATATTTCGTAGAAATAAATAACATGTCAAACTGTTTTATTACGCTCTCTATTATTCATCGGATGGAGTACTGTAATGATTGTGTCATCGTGAAATTATTATTTCACTGGTTGAAATCATGAGTCAATTAAAGCTAAACCACCATGAAAAACCTGGAAGCACTGGACGACCGTTTCGTCCTAACATGGCACTCCTCAGCAGTGCGCATCCACGATCCCGCCCCCCGCGAGATTCGAACCTAGGGCCTATCAGTCCCGTGCCATACGCTTAACCAACTAAACCACTGAGCCGGCCGGCATCCAATGATGTTAATGTCTAACTTCAACCAATCCACGAAGTTGCGCCACCGTACACCATTGTCTTCAGTGAGTTCCTATCTCATAACAAACCTGGTCGAACTCCACTGTTAACGACTTCTCACTAGAACTCCAAGAGTGTCTCCTGAAGTTAGTCACTAGTGAGCAGGTGATTATTATTATTATTATTATAAATTACTAAGTTATTACTCAATCGTATCTCCTCAACACAAATTCACCAGAATTTGTCTATTATTTTATGATTTAATTATGGAATATTAGCAAAGCACTTTGTTTCATTTTATTGTGATTACAAACTCGTTGTCATGTATTTTTACGATCATTTTCGAATAATCTTTTGACTTTGATTATCTTCTGAGGAAGTACTGACTTCACGAATCGTTTAACCTTGTTGACAGTAGAAAGTTTATGTATAAGTTGGATTGGTTGCAAAATCTATTGAAATGTGCTTAGATCTTAGGGGTAGCTTGAATGACCCTTTGGATGACCCTGACGGGTTCAAGATTCCAATCAACCATCCAAAAAGTAACAAACATATATGAATGATTTATGATTAATATTTATTGTCTCAATAAAGATTACAGTTTAGAGAATTAGGTTTTGGTGTTAGAGAAAGAGTTCAGATTAGAATGTTAAATGTGCGGTTATAGTTTGGATTATAATATGAACTTTACAGTTGTGATTCATTTTGGTTTATAATGAGGATTGAGTTTCACAGTTAGTCCATTAAGTCCTTACTCTAAACCTAACTTTTGGACTCCACTTCCTAAATTGTAATCCCTACTTTCATTATATAATTATGTTTTCGTCAATAAAACTAATCACCTATATATTACATAGAGAACATTTTGTTTTAGTGTTTGTGCCGCAACTTTGAGCTGTCTTATCCCTTTCGTGATTTACTCAGCTTTACCGAATTTTGGGTTTATTGTTGAATGATTTTAACTTATAGATGGATTTGTATTTGCGTGTACATTTTTGGAAGATGATTCATTTAATCTGAATTAAAACCTAATTTAATTGTGCTTTTCTTCTGTCAACTATTCTTTCTTCCAGCCTCTTGGGAGCCACTTTTCTGTCTTGTTCCAGAGATTGGGAATTCTTCCGATATGAAACAATTAGCCTATCTATTACTTTCTATTCGTGTTCAATTGAAAAAAATGGCATTTGATGTAAGTTCTATGTAGTTTGACATGAATTATTTTTGTGTTATCCGATTGTTAACACTAAATGAACAATGGATTTATTGTGTCTGCATATCGTTTACCTTCATAAAATACTTACTGTTTTTCTTTGAAGTAATTACTGAGAAATATTAAAAATTTCATCCTCATTCTTCTTCTGTCGTTTAAAGTGATGCAGGGGGTGTTCATCATATAATTCATTGATAATATGATTGGCTATGGAAAGCGATATTATAAAGTCAAGAATAGTTGTAAACATTTACAGATAACTATGACTATGTTAGTGATCACTGTTTTGAAGATATTATGCTATTGTGACTTTTGACCTGTTTGCTATCACGTGATAAGATCGCCAATTATATGAACTTGGCAGTGTGCCAAACCAGTGACGCGTTAAGCAGTACGAACAACCTCGAGTCAACTCTAAGTTCTTATTGCTCCTTCTCGTCTAGCCCTACCTAATTGAGTCTAGAACACAATCTCAGCTTCCACTGTATGAATTATGTATTTCGGACATACTTGGTTTATACATAAGCAACTAGACTACATCATACCATAAAATAGAAAATAGCAATGATACAAGATCAAACCAAAAGTAGCTGTGATTATAAGAGTCCGTAATTAAAAATTGGGAATAACTCATGTGTGATAAATCGTATAATAATAGTCATTCATTTATTCTTCATTAGGACATAGCATACATTTAGTTTTTTTTAATATTCACAAGTTAAATCCACATGGTAGGGGAATTTCGTTGCTGTTTCGCACATTTTGTGATGAGAATATTTTATTGTAATCGGATATATAGTAGTGTTCAAAAAAGAAATCATCATGGTTTGTACTTTTTCTGTGCATTTTCTTTTAGGCTTTTGGTATTCCAACTATGAACACAATGCCTGTAGATGTACAAAATAATCCTTCCTCTCCGACTAATGGCTCTAATGAATATCAATTTAGCGGAATGAATCCCATCAGTGACCATCTATTCAAACCATCTATATCTCCACCTATATCTCCTCACACTACTGTCGTTCCATCGAATACATCCCACTTACAACTCAAAGAGGATTTCAGTTTAATGAAAATGAGTAATTTTAACGAAAAGGAGTTCAGCATCTCTAAACAATCATTTCGTGTTTGGCGTTGGGCTACATTATGCTTTATCATGAATCATATAACAAGAGTTGTAGCACATGAACATCATAATGCAGTAACATATCAATGTATAGCTATATGTTTCGGTCCTGTTTTCTTTGGAAATTCATCAAAACTTCCAAAATTAAATGAGGTGTGTATTTACTACTGAAGTTTCTTTTTAAGTAACTATACAAATGTTAACGATTGGAAATTTTTCTAGGCACCATAAACCATGAAGCTTATCATGCATTGTATAGGTTGGAAAATTCAATGACCATACAATTTTTGCCAGTGTTAATTACACAAACTACACATTTCATTCACCTTAGCCATGGTAGTTGAAGTGGAATTCAGCCATATTTGATAACCTAACATTTACCGTTTGACTTAATCACTACACTGAGTGAGATATGATTTATTTCATGTATATTTAGTCATTTATTGCTAATCAAATTACAGTATTTCTTCTAGTCTAAATGAATTGACACCACATATAGTACGTCAATTTGTTATGTTGTTGGAGGTGGTAGGTCAGTAGCAAAAATTTTTTTTACCCATATTTCTCCCCAGTTTGCTATCCATTTAGGTCGTTTGTAGCTAAGTTGCATTATTTTTTTTCAAAATAGACTTATGAAGTTTTGTTCACCTATTGCATAATACGTTTTTGAACATTTAAAAAGATGTCATCACTAAGTTGTACCGTATAAAAATACGGTACAACTTTCATTTTCATTCATCGGTCTAAGAAGTTATGGACTGAGGAACTAAACTATATGGGTAAATGCAAATTACCCGTTTTATTGTTTGTGCAATAACCGCAATAAGTGGTTGGAGATATATAGGTGATATGACTCAGAATCGGTCACAACAACCCAGATTTATTCCCTCTTTATCAGTCAGTCAAACGCAATATAGAGCCTGGGACATGAGTAATACAGTCCAAGTTGTCATACTCTTTCAATATAGCGAGGTGAAACTGTTAGGATAAATCCTAGAGTAGTAAAAGTCGTAACAGAACATGTTAGATATCTAAGATACAACTTCAGAAAATTTAATTATGAGAAATAAGAATAGAAACAGTTATGAGGAATTTAGAAACTTAGGATTTAGAGAAGAACAAAGAGTTAATACAACTGCTACACTATGATCGATTCTGATCCTTATCATCAAAAGTCTAACCATTGATTACGGTGATCACCTGACCCCAAACAGGTAGTCTACACCTACCTTCATAACACACTTCACTTGTCAATGTTTTTACGTGTTGGTTTTCTTTCAACCAACTACTTTTATATCGATCTTCACTTTTGGTCGAGGTAGTCATACTACAAATCTCATGTTCCAATATTCCCTTTCATTGTTGTTTCGGACCATATCCTCAATATTTAAGCTTTCTTATTATCACTACTACTGTGGTGGGTGATACTTATGTCGACAGACAGTGCGCTACAGACTCAACATTTTTACAGGGTGTGTGGTACAGACCGCGGTAAAGAAGAAGGTGGCACCGCGAGCAGAACAACCACAAGAGGGACAGCTTAAATTAGGGACGAGTGCGGTGCATGATACTTATGTCAACAGACATAAGCAATATGTAACACTAGTTGGAAGTGGAAAACCTGGCAGCAGAAGGCTAAGGAGATCAAGTTGAAGAGAATAGAAGGGAAATAGGAAGGAATTATGAACTGGAAGAATTATACAGAATGTACAGGACAAATGATGGAAATTTACAAATGAAGTACTCAGTGTATGGTTCTCATATCTTACCAAGATATTATGTAATTTTGTATTTTAAAAAAACATTGGTCGTTCCTACTTGAGTGTTCGTTTACAACACTACTACTACTACTACTTCCATTATTTGAACACTTTTACTGTCCATCTTGTTAATTTTATGTCATCATCTCGATGTATTTTGACAACTTTGAAGCCATTACATGGCTCTACATTAATGTTATTATTTATTATTATTATTATTATTATAAGCTTTATTCAATATTATATTTTCGGTACAATATAGAATTCTCAGCACAAAGTATTTCAACAAGTTTCCGTTTCTTTCTTCTGGGTCGATCCTGACGATAAATATTGAGTGATAGCCAGTTAGATGTTAGCAGTCCAGTAAATAAACATCTGAATAATGTATATTCTTTTCTCTGCATATTGCCAGCGACCACATTATCTCTTATTGAGCTTTTAGTAACTTTGACAACGAAGGGTTGTAAACTTTTCAGAAATGCACAAGGATGGGTTATGCGATTAATATACATAATGATATATTAAAACAAACAAAAATAGATAACTTGTTGAAATATTTAGATGACAGGAACAGGTAGCCCAGATGCTCAAGCAGGCCGCCCATACATTTTCGATCGGTTGGTTAGTCTATTTGAATATAGTAATGATCACTATTATCCTATTTTTAACTTGTTATAGGTTCTTGAACATTTATTTCGACATTGGAAATGGCTTATTGACAGTTTACCAATGATTACAAAGAATCCTATCACAAATATCGATTTCAGTACAATCAATGAACCAACTTTAATGGATGCTATTACTTATTTAACTACTACTAATACTACTGCTACTGACAAGTCTAAACAACAAAAGAAACCAATTCTTCAAGATCATAATAATAATAATCATATTCAAAGATTAGATTTAACACATGGACCAATAAATAATGATACATTATTGTCTTCATCTTCTATTTTTTCTTCGGCACGACGTAAATCTACTGATGTTACTCTTAGTCAACAATCTTCTATATCATCATCTGAACAAGAACAACAACTCACTGTTGATTATGACTTGATTGTTAAAAAGTTTGATAATGAAGATGAATTGAATAAAGGTGAGTAACTGTTGTGTATTCATGTCTATCTGTGTATATTTATTTATTATTTATATAAACACATAAACACTGATACAAGGTCAGTCCGCAGGTACTCCAGAATGAGCGACAATCTTCTACCAACCCTATACAACGATGACTGATGGCAATATGGTCTATTTGAGTCCGTCGTTGGTTTGGTGTAGGAGGTCGTCATGTTAGACGATGTCTCTACTTGTGCTTAAAATTTATGTTTGCTAAAAATAAACGATTGTCTGAGCACAATTGCAGCAGACGATCAACATTATCTGTTCGCCGTGCCGGAATACTAAAATACCCACCTAAATGCCTTTCTGTTTGGTTTAAACTACCTATCAGGGCGTTAAAGTCACCTGCTACGAGTACTATGTCTGAACGTTTAGCTTTCTGAAGAAGATCAGAGAGCTTTTTGTAAAATTCATCTGAGCTGCAGTCAGTGGGAGCGTAGGTAGAAACGACGAAAAGGCAACGACGTGTGTCCCTATCCTTCCGAGTTCTTACGGAGCCGTTTAGACGTACAGCACATAAACAACTGTTGGCGGGGATCCACTCTAACAATGCTTGTTCCGCCCTCATGCTTAGTGCTATGCCTACACCTGCCAGTCCACGAGAACTGGCCATCGGGTCACCAGATACATGAAGGATGTATCTCGTCGGTTCTCCGTTTTTCCGAGGTGAGGTAGATGAATGACCACACTAAGATCTTGTATGCGTGTTTCGGAGACACAGCATACATCAATGGTACGAGATTCTAGGGTTTTAGCCACGGAAGCCTGCTGACCGATTTAACATAGGGTGCGTTCGTTGAAGGCTCCAATGTGTAGTTTGAAGCGAGGTTTCAGTAGACGTGGGACAGTGTTTTGCGCACTAGAATCGTTGGACATGGTGACACTACTTGAGGAAGGCGAAAGAGGAGGTTTAGAGCTGAAAGTCGATGTAGGAGGAATAATAGGAATTAAAGAGGGAGGTTGATTATGAATACAGTGGTCTTGAGTGTTGTTAGAGGCATGAGGGCGGTTATCACTTCCTGCTTGCCCACACCGTGGAAGGGTTCTTCTGGAAGTACCTGAAAAGTAAACTGGATTAGAGGTGGTCTTAGTGACCTGGGAGCGTGACCGCAGTGCCCAAGGGACAACTGCTTGAGGTCGGTCACACACGACCTTTTTATGGGTAATTTTTGTGTTAGCTCCGTACTTGTTGAGACCTTACCGCCGGAGACGGATATCCGTGGGATAAGGCGAGGTGTGCATTTTTAGGGTCGACCTTTTCTAATCCCACCCCTCCTTGTGGGAAGGCAGCATCGCTGTTATGCTGGTTGTCTGAAGGGAACACATTACTGCCGTCAAACCTCCATACAGTCAATTGTACGACTTCGCCTCCAGACCTTGGGTTTGTTGCTTTTAGTCTTACCGCTCATCAACCGACCTGTTTGACATGGTAGGACCTCGAGGAACAGTTGTTCCAGCCAGTATAGCTCGGTTGCTTCATCACGATAGGCAAGCCCGACCACCACGTCAAGGTAGCGACAACGGTCGGGCTGATACAAGGAGGCACCAAATTTATATGCGCCACATAAATCATTTGATTTCTGTGAGAGCTGGAATATTGTCCGGGTTCCCAAACTCAACCGGATGGTTTTCTTACAAGGGCACTCCCCGAGACATTCACTCAGAGGTCTAATCCATAAGGCAGTGAAACTACGTTAGGAGATGTAGTCCCATTGTAGTCGGTGACCAACAATAAGTTCATACGCCATTTGTCCCACTCTCGACTGTACCACGTCATTTGGGGGCTATATTTAAATATAGAAAACGTGTAAATGGAATGAATCGGATTCAAGTACAATAATGCAAATCCATTTATTTATTTTAGATATTGTATTCTCCAATAATCTTTCATGTATATTGTCCATTTATGTCTTTTAAAAAAACCCTATTCTCGAAGCTTAGTGTTTCCCGCTTTTGTGATGGATCTTGTCAACTGGATTTCTTTATATTGAATAGTAGTATGGGAATTCTGGTTAATACACAGACGTTTGTATCAGTCTATATGTTAGTTATGATATACAGATTGTGTAACTCACTACCTGAGGTAGCAAATATCTCTTTTCAAGAAGTTATATACTCTTTCATGTAGTAGGTTATTATTCATTGTTGTTATAACTGGTTTGTATAGGCTGTTTTGATCTTCCCATTGATCTTTAGGTCTTCAATTTATTAGTCTCTATTTTCGGCATATATTCATCGTGTGTGGATTAACTCGATATTGCCATTAAGTCACAAATACGACGAAACGCACGTCCTGGATTCCACTACTAGCCATCATAATCCTTACTTACATCATTTTCACAGCTTACAGACTGTGAAAATTTTGAAAACTCCAACAGAGTCAAGCGTGTTCATTTATTTATTTGAACACATAAACATTCGTACAAGGGGGCACCAAATACATATGTGCCACACAACAATTATGCACATATCAATGATCATCATTGATATATGCATAATGATGCTATTTCCCTGTCTGGATTCCCATTAGTGATAGTTATTTGTTAAAAAAAATTCCTCAAATAATTTGCTTTTTTTTCAGGTAAATTAGTATGTTGTTAACATATTGCTTAGTTTGTAGTCTTTCAGTTCCTAATAATATCCTCTTGTATGGTTTACGATTTTGTACTCCTGCTCTTATTTTCACAGGTGATGTCGTGCATGCGCACTGCTAAGGTGTCCCATATTAGGACGATACAACTATCCAGTGCTACATAGTTTTCAATGGTTATTTAATTAAATTTAGTTTTTGACGTAAAACGAAAAATAAGTTAAAGAATTTTCACCAATTCTTTATATTGAAAGTGATTAACTTCGAGAGGTGATTCTCATGAGAAGTCATGTCATATTTAGTAGTATCCTACATGACTTGGAGATTCCATGCATAAATAGCAAAAGACTCCTGTGTATTAGTTAGTAGAGTTTGTTGTTCAATTTAACATAAGGTTCGCCCATTGACAACTCCGACATTGTTATTCGGAATACAGTTTCACGAAACTTGAAATTAGATTTCTTATACATGGATCGTTAACACTGGTAGCGCATGTGGACAAAAAAGAAAAATAGAAAATAGTGGTTGATAGTAGGGATATTAACGAGTGAAAAAAGGTTAAAATGATGATCAAGGTAATAAACACTACTGTCAGAGATATAAGGTCGGTAGGTAGGGTTTGTCAACGTTGTCCGCTTTCACTATTTTTACTGTCACATACTTTAAAAGATAACGCTTTCATCTTCCGATTTCTCAGGAATTAATCCACTACTAAGAGATCCACTTGTTAACAGATGATGTAGTTCTACTTAGTGAAGATGCTGAGTCTTCTAACCGCCTTGGGGAACAATGTAACCGTACTTAAGATGCGTTTCCTTCCATTTTGATGCAAGTCATTTCTTCAAGGCTGGTTTGCACCAATACCCGAACTTATGATAAGGAGTGAAGTAGTTGGGTGCGTTGATTATTTCACCTATTTTGTAAGTCATCAATAATAGCGGGTAGGTATCTGACTAAATCTCGGCACATGTTGAGAAGACTTAGTTGAGTTTTGCTTACTTATTTCACTTGGGCAGCTGGTCCAGATGGATTGGCTCCAGAGGTCTTTAAGGATGGTGGTCCAATTTTAGCGATTAGGTTGACTAATATTTTAGCTAAGATCTGGGAATTAGACTTTATCCCATCTGACTGGTCGCAATCACTTATCGTCCCAATATATAAGAAAGGGTCAAAATCATCCTGTGACAACCACAGAGGGATTAGTTTAACAAACATAGTATCTAAAATACTGGCCTCGATAATTATCAGACGTCTAACTAAGACTCGTGAACTACAAACTCGAGAGAACCAAGCTGGCTTTAGACCTGGTCGTGGCTGCATCGACCACATATTCACCATTCGTCAGGTTCTAGAACACAGGCATACCTATCGGCGTCCGACGATGGTGGTCTTTCTTGACTTAAAAGCAGCGTTTGACTCTGTAGACCGCGAGACTCTGTGGCAGTGTCTGTCATTGAAAGGCGTACCTCAGAAGTACATAAACCTTGTGAAGGCTCTTTACTCGAACACTACTAGTCGAGTCAGGGCTTATGGCGAACTGTCATCTACTTTTGCAACTTCAAGTGGTGTCCGTCAAGGCTGTCCACTTTCCCCATTTTTGTTTAACTTCATCATAGACCTATTGATGGAAATAACACTCTCGTCGACTGAATTCTCGGGTATTGATCTCCTTCCAGGAGGTCCACTTATCGACTTAGAATACGCAGATGATATAGTCCTGTTTGGTGAAGACGCTGACAAAATGCAGAGTCTTCTGGTAGCACTAAGCAACAATGCCAGAATGTTTGGGATGCGCTTCTCTCCCTCGAAATGCAAGTTGTTGCTTCAGGACTGGTCTGCGTCAACACCTGAACTAAGGATAGGGAGTGAAGTAGTCGAACGCGTTGACAACTTCACTTATCTTGGAAGTCTGATCAGCCCTAATGGGTTGGTGTCTGACGAAATCTCAGCACGGATTCGAAAAGCTCGTTTGGCTTTTGCCAACTTACGTCACCTTTGGCGGAGGCGAGATATCCGTCTATCAATAAAAGGACGAGTATACTGCGCGGCAGTCCGTTCTGTCTTACTTTACGGCAGCGAAACATGGCCTTTAAGAGTAGAAGACACCCGGAAGCTACAAGTATTTGACCACAGATGCCTTAGAAATATTGCTGGCATCTGCTGGGATCACCGGGTAAGTAATAGTGAGGTTAGACGTAGGGTATTAGGGAATGATGGTAAATCAGTTGATGAGGTTATGAATCTTCATCGACTGAGATGGTTGGGCCACGTATTACGTATGCCTGAACACCGATTACCACGACGTGCAATGCTAACCGGTGTAGGGGATGGTTGGAAGAAAGTTAGGGGCGGCCAAACCAAAACGTGGTATCAGTGCTTGAAGTCACTAACTTCTAGTCTTAGCCATGTTGGTAGATGCAGACTACTTGGTTGGGGTCCGCGTGACTTTCGTAACCAATGGTTGGAGACTCTTGGTGACATGGCTCAGAATCGATCACAATGGCGTCGGTGTATACACTCTTTGTCTTCCCTTAAACTAAGAGAGTAAAATCACTTCATATCTTTCTTTCTACGAACTAATTCTTCCTTCCTATACTATATCCTTATTGCAACCTTTGACCTAATCACTCCTATGAATCCGGTGTTCATCTTGTTGTGCTAATGAGGTATGGCAACCTGGACCGATGCACATATGTGCCTGGTCCTACGTTGTAGCTGACTGACTGACTGACTGTACCGTAAACAATATGTTCGTCTGTCAACTGACATAAGTGAACTCCGCAACATATCACTCCATTTTGTTTTGTGACTGAAACTTGACCTTTTAAAATAGAGGATATTTTTAAATTAATAGCATTCGATCATAAGTGTCCTCAAAGCATCACTCATATATTTCGAAACTACTTAGTTAACAGTGCTTGGGTGAGATGCAAAGTAAGGATGACAAATCGATTGACAAGATAGTAAATCTTCATCGGTTGAAATGGCTAAGATAAGTATTGTGTGTATATTCGGGCACTCCCTACGTTGATGTGCGATGTTTGCTGGTGTAGGAGTATGTTGGAAGAAAGTTACTAAATTCATTTACCACTGAGTGAAAATGTGTTGGTAGTTTCAGCTTACCTTGCTGAGGGTCTTAGGGGATCATCGTAACCAATGTTTGGAGAAGTTTGGCAAGGTGGTTTAGGATCGATCATGATGATGCAGATGTAATCACTCTTTTTCTTATATTTCAAACCTATCTCACACTTTTTTACTTGTCAAATCCACATTTTATCGAACCATATCACCAGTACCGATTCTTTTCTACTGTCACTAAGACTTTTACTACTCTGTCATGTCTCTGTGCTGAAGTGTTGTGACAGCTTCATATATATACATATAGGTTTTTGTATCACTGAATAATGATTTCTTCTATGTGTTATTACAGAATGTCATGCTTTGGATATACGTATGTTTCTTTAGTAAACTTATACACTGTACTTTACATGAGTCTATGATTTATCGAGCATGTTTCACCGTATTGTGTTTCCTTTTTTTTCTCTTTCTCTTTTGTTAACTAAACAGAAGTTATTGAACAAGTTCGCTCCTTGTGGTTAAAAGCTTTGGATAAGATGAATAATCAATCACATAGAAACTTACAAATGAAAGAAAAATCCTCTAAGTAAGTTAACTAATTTATTAAACATTTACAATTAAGAAGAGATATTTACATATATATGATTGTATTTGATCGCAAAAATTATGCGACTAGTTTATTTTCTAGTTAGTTGTTGAAGATGCTAGACCTCTATAAATCACTTGTTAAATATCTTATTTTGGAAATTTGAATATTCCATATTCGCAACAAAAACGCCCACTTTTACCTTCAGTTTGTATTTCCCACTTGGAAGGATCTTAAATGTCATTAATTCTTTTCCTCTTTTCGTACTCTTTTTTTTGACGTTTTTTGTACTGTATATACACTCATAAGTTGTATGCTTGTTAGTTCGTGCTTCTAATTGATTGTGGAACATAGATTTCCCTCTGTTGAATCTGGTGTTCCCCCCTCTAGTTGTCAGGACTGAGGCGCAATCGAATCGTTTACCTTATCCCGTTGTTGTGTTGTTTACTTTCGTTCCATTCTCTGGTTTTTGGGTGATATCTTATTCTCTTCAAACGTAGCTGTAGTTCAGATTAATCCCTTTAGCTAATATCTGCATTAATTATTTGGATTTTTTCAGTATGCATTTTTTATCTTCTGTATATAGTATGCTCTTAAATCTATTTGATAAGTTGTTCAAAATAGATTTCTTAATTTTCAATGTAAACAGACACTCCACTTTCCAATTATTATATGTATAAACATAATCAGTGTAATGATAATTCATTCAAGAAGTCTACATTACCCTACTGATTCAGATTAATTCATCTCTCTGAGTATTAACAGTAAAAAAAGTCTTTATCCTTACGATTATTAGCAGTAGGAATAGTAATAATACATTGTAAATACTGTAATAGCATGTTGGTTTGTTAGAGGTAGATAGTTGGAAACTCTGTTTGACCTTGGTCTCGTACCGAGGTTTACTGTGCAATCTTGAAGAGACTGATACTTTCCTAGGGATTAGAACTTATGTTCAGCCTAAGATGTTATCATCACTGAATCACTCAGGTCACGAATAACTTCCTGTAGAAGTGAGATGGTTATATTTATTTGATGAATAACCAATATCATCTTGATTTAGTTCAACATCAGACATCTTTATTCATTTCTTGTAGACAGAATTCTTGTACTACACACTGGTATGTAACAGGTTTCGAATCAATTAGTTGTTAATTGACTTAATTACTGAATATTTCTTTCTATTTTTACTTGGTAAACTATTTCAGTGATAACGCATATACTGACCAATGATCAATATATATGTGTATAAGTCACATATACATTTATTAAATACCATCAATGTACGTACTATAATATTTTGTTTAAATTTACTAATTATTTTCTAATTTAATCAAAACCGCTGATTTTGAAATTGAAAAGTTTTGAGCGCACATTGTGATTGTGTTACTGATTGATTGCACAATTAACAGGAATGAATATTTTGAAGAGTTTCAGCTTCGTTTAATGCTGATTGCATTGTGACAAGTTTTTTCCACTGTCAAAGTTTACCAGCTATACTAATATTTTATTCTGTAAAACATTCACAGTTACTAATTTCTTAAAAGGAAAATCTTATGACTAGTATTTGATTATTTTTATTGATTTTATTTATCTGAACACATAAATATTGGTACAAAGAGGCATCCAATAGATATGCGCTACACAAGTCACTTGATTTATGTATGGGTTGTGATACTGACCGGGTGCCCAAACCGAAACAGGTGGTTTTCTTAGGGGGCCACATTCAAAGCCTTTGACCACGAGGCAATAGAGCAACGTCAGGAGATGCAGTCCCATGGTAGCCAGTGACCAACAATAGGTTCAACTACCATTTGTCCCTTCAAGATACTGGATCCCATGTGTACCATTGATTTGGAATGAGGGTTTTCTAACTCACCTAGTTGAACTCTCCGTATCCACCGACCCGGTTACATCGCCGGACATTCGCTTTTAGTCCTTTCAAGCTCATAAACGACACCCGTGGTTTGAGAAGACAGTGAGTAGGACTTCCCTGACAGTGATTGTATACGCGTGGTCATGTGAGAGCCTTTAGAGAGGGAGAGAGGACTCTCCCTACCCTCGGCCGTACTAACTGAAGTTATAAACACCTCAGTCAGTCATTGATTCAACAGTTGTTTGTTTGTGTGTGTATATGCTAATTCGTTTTTTTCCCTACCACGATTTTCAACTAAAATTTAAATTCTGTTGTTTCTCTGTAAAATTTATTAGAATAATTCAAAGTACAATTTCCTTTCTGTTTACAATTTCATTTATCAGTTTTCACTATAATCTTGACAAGATTAAATTATTCTACGATTTCGTATAATTCCCTTTATTCATCTAATTAATCAATGCTGGACATAAAAAATCCTACTGAATAAGACTGATGGGATTGTTAAGAAATTCATGTATAATGGTTATTTGTAGATGTGTGTATGTATGTATGTATGTAGGTGGTCATTTCGGTTGAGCAGCAGATCTCCTTGAAACTTGAAAAACATACAGCATCATATTGTTATATTTGAAACGATTACGAGTTCACCTAATCTGAGGACAGAACGAAGACTGTGTGATACAATGATAGATAAGCTAGCTATTCCGGCGCCTTCCAACCCCGCTAACTAGAGAGAGAAGTCCAATTTCGAAACGCGGAAATATATTCTGCAAGCAGCCAGAAGCACAAGCAATAATAACAGGCATAAATCAAACGTATATATACAGCATAAAATTGTCCTTGGGAAGCGTTACAAAATAGCATACTAAAATATACAACGAACCAATAGCGTATAAAATCTTTCCAAGTGGGAAATATAACATGAAGGTATAAATGAGTGCTTTTGGTGCGAAAACAAGAAATTCAAATTTTTAGAATAAAATTACAAAAATAAGGTATTTGCCAAGTGAGTTCTAAGGATCTAACATCCCCAGCATATTTAAGTTCATTTTTTTATTTCGAAAAATTACTTTGAGCAGCGAGATCGTAACATGAACATCAACAAACAATTTAGTTTTATCCAAAACTCACATTATTAATGAGTGTTTCAAGAAAAGGTAATACTCCGTGTGTACTTGTGTAAAAGAAAATTTTTATCCATTAAAGGTAAAAAAAGTTGGTGGTTTTTGTCTATCAACTATAAAGTTTGTCAGTACTTGAAACGTATACAATATAAACATATAGATGATATAGTATGGTTCAAACCAACATCAATCAGCTTTACAGTCTAAGACGTCATCATTGAACTATATGAGTCTCGAGTAACCTACTTTAAGACTGGCCCCTAAACGCCCTGGTACGGCTGAGAGTGTGGAAAGTCCGCTTTCCCTCTCGAAATGCTCTCACATGGCCACGCGTATATAGCCTCTGTCAGGAAAGTCCCACTTACTGCGTTCTCACAAAGGGGTGTTGTCTACGAAATTGAGAGAACGAAAATCGAATGTCCGGCAGGAGCTTTGACCGGGTTGGTGGACACGGAGTTGGAAAACCCTGATTTCAAACCAATGGTGTAGATGGGCTCCGGTATCCTGAGGGAACAAATGGCATATGAACCAATCGTTGGTGACCGGCCACCATGGGACTGCATCTCCTTACGATCTTCCGCTGCCTTGTAGATTAGACCTTTGGGTCGAAGGCTCCGAGTGTCGCCCCCTAAGAAAACCACGTGCTTCGGTTTGGGCACCCGGGCAGTATCATAGCCCCCACACAATGACAATGATTTTTGGATATACTGCTTTCACTCTTATCACACTTCAAACTTTAAGACTGATATTTTTTATTTGATTGATCTTCGATTAGGAACTAATATAATGATTGTCTAATCCTTTAGTACTGATCGAATATCACCAACCAATCTGGTTAGTACGAGTTCGAATCCTACGACGGACATATGTTTTGTTTAAATTTCACGTACTCCTTAGTAATGAATACTAACTAGCACATAACTTAAATCAAGATGAGTTGAGAACTTGATCAATAGAATTCTATTAGCTCTGAAGTATTTTGTAAACATGACATTGGCCATTACTACTTAGTGTTGAGTCAATCATTTATGATTATTTTAACTGACCTTGAAAGTCTTCACCAAATAACTAGAACCAAATGTGGGTTATAAACCAGTGTAAGGAATTAGAATTATGATCTACAGTTGATGGTTAATGTTAGAAATTAGATTTAGGGTTTCCATCACGAACTAACATCAGCTATAATGACGAAACGTTATTTAACCAAATGGATGAATGAATTTCGCGCCCAGATCCACGACCTATTATCTGATTGGTTCGTCTATAAATTATAATCTCGTCGAAATCGCTATACTATTGTGTGTTTTTCTTCTCATTTGTATTGCACAGATTTGTTTACATTGAACACTCCTATACATAATGCCCTAATCATTTGATTGGTTAAAATTTTTTTGGTAAAGAATCATTTTGAAATGTAAGAACAAATGTCTTATTTATATCTATCTATTAGATTAATTGTTTATTTGATCATGTTTTCTTTTCCTTTTTTCTTAGAACAAATTATTTCAGTCCTAAGAAAACAACAAATCATTCTAATAATAACACTACTACTGTTACACTTCATCGTACAGCATCAGCAATTCCAAAAAAATCAACTGAACGTAATAGACAAAAAGGTGTTAGACGATTAACTGTTGGTGTTGCCAATTCATTGCCTCATTCATCATCATCAACTTTAGATTATTATTGCATTTCACCACCATCATCATCATCATCATCATTATCATCACAACTTTTACATACAAAAAATAAAGAGGACACATTATTAACACAATTGAATAATGTTAAAAATATTTCTAACTTATCATCACCACCACCATCATCATCGTCATTATCAACTTCCCCTCCTTCTACTACACGGTGTGATTTAATGATTGTTCGACGACCTGTCATTCCTGTGACAACTTCTCATTCAACTACAACTATTTCATAGGAAGAAATTAGTAAATGGTGTTATTCTCTATGAAAATTGATTGACTGGTTGACTTCCTTGCAATCGCTATTTGTTACTGTGTGTGTGTGTGCTTTGTCATCCTGTCTTTTCGTTCTGCTTTTTTTCCTGAATGTTTATTTAAGAATCACATTCAGTTTGATTTTGTACTTTTTTTGGAATACGTTTAAGCCAAATATTATTATTATTATTATTATTATTATTATTATTATTATTATTATTATTATTATTATTATTATTATCATCGTCGTCATCATCATCAGTTAACCCCCCTCCTATAAATCGTTCTACATACACTTCTCTTCTTCCCCCATCCATATAATTTGTAAGCTGTTCAAATACAAGTAAGAGGGAATAGAAGAAGAACAATACCCGGTTGTGTGTTTATGACGATATACATCTTGGTACCTTTTTCTGTGTATAAAGTTTTTATTCATTCGAATTTTATCCAATTCCATTATTTTGTGTATTCAACATTCATTTGTATGTTTACTAATACACAATTGTATTATTGTTGCTTTGAGTAAAATCAATTTTATCTCTCTCCCTCCCTCTCTATTAATATTACTACTGTGGTTGTTGAGGGGGGGGCTAAGATCATCTTCACAATGATTTATTATTATTCAACTAATAAAGTACGGATGAGTTTTCTTTTTCATTCGGCTTCATCCATAAATTGACATTTTGGATCATTCATATCATTTTAGAAAGAGAAGATAAAACTACACTGATTAATCAAAAAAAGTTGTTTTTGTTTGATAATTTTTTTCTTCTTTCATTTTCATGCAATACGCACAAATATGTAATTAATTCAAGAAATTTCTCTTGTGAACTTCAATTCAGATTGACTTGGTTCCCTGCCTCAATGAACGATTGTTACTCCTGTTGTTGTTTTTGTTCTTGTTGTTGTTGTTGTTGTCTACCTCGAATTATTTTCAATTCTCCTATTATTACTATTATCAGTTTGTAAAAATGAAAACATAAACTTATCCATGGGTAAAAATTTTTTTAAAAAAAAGTTTCTCTTCAGTATTCGTATGTTTTATTTGTATGTATGAAGAGATTCTTGTGCTGAAAACTGACAGTATGATAAAAAGTGCGTGCCATTGTACTTGATTCTCTGAGTCATATTTCCAATCGCTGACCGTGCAGATCCTATTAAAAGCAAAGATGGATAGTGGCTAGCAACGGAATCCTATTTGGGACTAGTCAGCTGGATGTATCTGCATCTCAGGGTTGATGTTCACTCCGGGACTCGAACCCAGTACCGTCCGCTTCAAACACCATCGCGTCACCAACTTAGCTACTGAGTCCTGAATTTCACTACTAACCACTATCCGTCTTTGCTTATAATGCTTGTGAATTAAGGGAATATCGAGGCAGTACACACAGTATGCATATATGGCAATAAGAGACTGCTCAATTGCAGTCCTGAATATCAATGGATCCCAACCAGATATCATGAACTTACCAGAATAGTTAACGATCCAATGAACCAATTTCGTGTATTTCTTTGTCGATCTTTAGTTTTCTCCTAGACCTTGTATATACTTATTTATTTAAACAAAAATATCGGTACGAAGAAGTAACAAAACATATATTTACACCACAATTGCGGAAATGTGACTGTAAAGGGATAACTGAACGTGAATATGATAAAATGAATTGGAATTAATGACTGAGAATAAAAAAAGAATGGTGAGGTAGTTTAGTCAGGGAAAATACAATTAGAGAGGATTCTTGAAGAAGTTCGTCTCACTTGTATGAAAAAAGTAAAACCAAGTTATAGCAGGATCGTCACTGACTACTATTTTGAGCCATTACTGATAACGTCTCTAGACACTGTGTTGCACCGTCTCTAGTACTCCAACCAGGGAGTTGTGAAAGACTAATGTGCATTATCAAATCTCCACAACAGTAACACGGTGTTGCAAGTGGATGTCAGGGCCAACGATGATCGAACACAGAAAGTCGCTTAACATCGTCAAATAGGAAAGGATAGGTTTCATAAGCACAGAGCGGGACTGCCCTGACTTTAACCTAAAAGGGGCACACCCTTTTTCGACAGATAATTCCAGTAAACAATCCTGTTCAATGAATTGAAGCCAGTTCTGACATTAAGAAACAATGATTGCTACATTGCACATAAGTATGGCAGTGTTCTGACATTTGGTGGAGGGTGGTGATACTGTAAATACATCCTCGAAAACCTGCCTGCTCCTCTCGAGTCGATCTTCCCCGGTTTTTGAACAATCTGCGAAGTACAACGTAACCTATTAATTTGTTTGTAAAAAGATTAAACTTATCCCATAATAGTTGTCTCATAGGTGACGTGAACCCTTTTAAAAGATAGTAATGGCCATCACCTCATCTTAGTATTTTGGGACATTCTGTATTTGGTAAACGGTTGCAAGCATCTCAGTTCCGTTATCCCTAAAAAGGTTATTTGCTAGGTCATCACGGCCTAGGAATTTATGTAGTCCTAGGAGTTCGCGTTCTTTGTGCCAAATCCAAAGCAGGCGGTTTTCTTAGTAAGCCACTCTCCAAGCCTTTGGTCTATCCCAACAATCCAGAATAGATTCATACGTTATATGTCACCTCAGGATGCTCAACTCTATGTGCACCGATTCTCTCAGGTAGGTCCTCTGTACCCTGATTTAGATGTTAACTTTTCATCTCAGTTGTCTAAACAACACTCCTGCCACGAATAAGAATTGTTAGACTTCTCTGGCAGTGGCTGTGTGCACGTAGCTGTACAATAGAATTTTAGTGACAGAGCGGACTTTACTCACCTTCGTTCTTAACCAGCCCACTTCTGCACCAGCAAACATATCTTGTTTAGGCCGATGGTATGTATTTGTAGCACAACTCTTAACCACTTCTATCGTTAAGATTTGTGATCTTATCAGCCAATTAACCATTTGTGTCTATCAAGAAAAAAACTATCCACGAGACTGTGTTATAAATTCGTGTTTGATTTACAACTGTTATGCAGTCCATGAATATCTGGTAACATACTTTTAACTTTTAAGTATTATCTTTGCGTTCACCCAGTATGTTACCATACCATGTACACTTATTTTGTCGTTTGTTAATCTACTATCAGTATAATTCATCATATTGTTGAATCTGGATTCACCTCAAAACAAGAAATTAATAAGATAATATGTCAAGGGGAAGTAGTACATACTAATTTCTGCTCTAGTATAAAGCTAGATATATAGTTTGGTTCTAAAACAGGAAACTTAACAAGAGATGCAACAATAATAGTGAGTGTGTGATAGCAATCGGTCCAAAATAATTTGATTAAACTTTTCGTACTTCTCAGCAACTTATTCATTTTGTGGCGTCTATTGGCAATAAGTGCTGATTGAAATAGAATTGTTCCCTCATCCCTGCAATAACCGACAGGTTGTGCCTTAAGCTTAACAGAAATTTCTTATACTTTAAAATATCAACCCTGGATTTCGGATCGATACTAGTTAGATATGCCACATGTATTCGGAGCTTAACAATGCTTTTACACGTATGGTAGTGAACAGAACACGGGTGGGAACAATCGAATGTGTTTAACACAAAGTTACAGGACTTGTTAGTAAAGTCTAACAATCATAAAGTAAATACTTAATTTGCGAAATGTCCACCAATTGTCTCAAAATGACTCAGACTTCATTGTTCTTACATTTTCATACAAATTGCATCCTGTTTTTATTCTTTACTGTTCGATCCTCTTGTGTCTCTGCTGTCAGACCTTCTGTTCACGACCGATATCATATACTACTTATGTCAATATAAGTAACACACACCACAGTATAACTTTTATAACCAAAGTATACCAACCCAGTCAAATCAGAAGTCAGAAATAAAGAGGTTCGAAGATATATTTAGAAAGCTATCGATATGTTGAGAAGCGTTTGGTCTAATCTGGCTAGCAGTTGCAAGCGATGCGTAGCACGACGCACCAGCTCGTGATGTGACGCGAATATGTGACCGAGAACATTTAGCTAAGTGTGCCCAGTAAAATTAATAGGGTCGGCGTCAACGTCGAAGACATACAGAGCTATTTATTTTAGGGTTTTATTTACCGCTACAACTGAATGATGTAGGGATTTATTGAGTAACGTTCGTCAACATCTACGAAAAGTACTCTGGTGTTTAAATTGATAGTAAACGTACATCAATTTACTGCCTGTTATAATATGTGGTTTCTATTGTTGGTCGTCCTGGTAGCTTTGATCCTCTACTAGCCTGTTATGATTTAGACGATTACTAATGACTGAGTGTGCTGTGAAGGTTTATCCCTCATCAGTACTGTGGTGAAAATGGAATAACTTTGGTTTGTAACCAAACGATCCTTTAAGCTGAATCTATTCTGACCTGTAAGTTTCACCTTTGGACATTAAATTGTGAGTTAAAAATAGTGACAATCAATGTGGAAACACTATCGAAACTTCATGGTTCGGCCGTGCCTGCCTTCCCACTTGACCTCTATCACCTTTCAATTAAATACATTGTTCTTTTGGTTAGCTTGCATTTACTCAAAGGTTCATACCAAGCATTAATCCCGTCTAGAGCGATGAAGCGGGTCACGTTATGGCTAGACAACTACAATATATTATGTCCATTATCATAAATAGGTTCATTTGTAAACAATCACAGACCTAAATTTACACACTATCTTTGAAAACTCTGAATGCTCAGTTGTATTTGATTTCCCTAGTCATGCAACCATTGTTTAATCGCAGAGAAGCTATTAATTTCACGAAAATTAAGTTGGATTTTTGTGATGAGCATAAAGAGAAACTATTAAAGGCGAGTCGACCTTTCTATATTAAGTTGCAATATATATAGTAACAGTCAACTACAGGATACCTCGTTAGCCACCACTGATTAACTAATATAATATAACTAGGAGTGACCACGTCTTCACATTCTATTGATCCATGAAATCAGTGATTGCTAGTTTGAACTGATCTTGAGAACTACATTTCTACGTCTACAACACGAGGTATAAATAATCTGTGACTTCATACCTTACGTAAAACGACCCACTTTCATTGTCAGTGAGCAAGTTACACCAATATTTCATAATTTCAGTAGTGAACTTTTAACTTCACTCGTTGAATTTTATTTAGGTTTTATTTACTTGACTGTGTGACCTTTAAGTCCATACTGTCAATCTCCTGTCTCTTTACTTTTGAAAAGTTTGGTTATTCTAGGTGATATGTGTTTTCCAGGTCATTTATTTTATTTTATTTAAACACATAAACATTGGTACAAGGAGGCACCAAGTAGATATGCGCCACACAAATCTCATTCAATATGTGTGAGGGCTGTGATACTGCCCGGGTGACCAGACCGAAGCAGGCGGTTTTCTTAGGAGGCCACACCCCGAGCCCTTGACCTAAAGGTCTGACCCACAAGGCACTGGAGCATCGTAAGGAGATGCAGTTTCATGGTAGTCGGTAGTTGGTTTGGAATCCGGTTAAAGCGCCGGGCATTCGCTTTTCGTCCTCTCAATTTCGTAAACAACACCCATAGTGCGAGAAGACAGTGAGTAGGACGTCCTTGGCAGAGTCTGTGTACGCGTGGCTATGTGAGAACATTTTCAGAGGGAGGGAGGGCCCACCCCACTCTCGCCCATAGCAGGGCATTTGGGGTCTTTTCCAGGTCAAAAACCTCTAGAAGTGGCCGCTGTAAGATAGTTTTGGTATATTTCTGTGTTGATATGTTTAGATGCAGGTGAAAATCCTTCCACGTAAATGTTTTATGTGATAATAGCATTTTGTTTTACTCTTAAATGTAAAGCTTTGTTACTACAGACACTTTCATTTATGTACTTCGTGTATGTTTGGCTCTAGGTTTCATCAAAGATTTGTGTAGCCTATATTCCGATGTTTCTCATTCTTGTGTGACCAACCTTTATTATTTAATTTTTGTTTATATTTGCCTCTTATATTCTGCTGAAAACTATTGAGGCTGGACTTGTTTTTGAGAATAGAATTACTGTCCTATTCACTTGGGAATGTTGCTGTTGACTAGTTATTGCTTAACTGTTGTTTTATTAACCAGTTATAGTTGTACAGTAA